GAAAATTTCTTATTTTTTCCTAAGTTCAAGAGGAATATCTGTCAAAAATCATCGGACCATTACCAAATTAAATCTTGACCTGCGTATTCCTATGACGTATCCATATGTCAGATTTGAGTTGAATGTGTGCAACTGTTGCAGAGATAATGAACGGAAAGTGAATGGTGACAGAATGACGGAACAGGGTAACATTATATGCCCCGGCCATTTTATGGCGGGGGCATAAAAAACATCTTTTGAAACTCGGAACAACTTGGGACACATTCATTAAAGAACGATCGAAGCAACATTTGGAGACTGCATGAGTTCACTTGTCTAGAATAGAAAATTCGTAGCTGATCTTTAAGAATTTCTGTAAGAAAATCAACGCTGAATATATATACATAAAAACATCTTTTGAAACTCGGAACAACTTGGGACACATTCATTAAAGAACGATCGAAGCAACATTTGGAGACTGCATGAGTTCACTTGTCTAGAATAAAAAATTCGTAGCTGATCTGTAAGAATTTCTGTAAGAAAATCAACGCTGAATATATATACATTGATCTCCCTTTCAAAATCTGCCAAACGGAGAAATGTTTTGGGAAATGAAGTCAAACTTGAATTATATTGCACTTTTGAATATACAGTACACAGTTATAATTCCCAGACAGGAGATTTCCTTTGTGTGGATCCAGCTGATTTGCATGCTTTCCATTTTAAACTGAAAAAAATAATGTGTGTTTATCATGAAAAATATACATGATAATTCTAAAAATAATTATATCACTGAAATCGAAGAAAAAATGGGTTAAGGCTGAAATTGGGAGCAGAAAGTTTACAGAAAGACTTGGAGAGGAAAACATTTTGTAGCTAGGGTTCCTAGTCGTCCAAGAACTCCACACACAGTCTGAGATTCAAAGAGCAACTAACAAGAGGTGGGCTATTCAGCATCTGAGGCAAAAGAAGATTGAATTCGTTAATGACTATTAGGTTCATTAATCTGGACATAAAATCCCTGCTACCTTGTTAATGGAGGAAATACATTCCTTTCGTTTTACAGCTGGAGTGCCGATACAGTAAAACTAATGGGGTCTGCCATGGTTCGCCGTGCATATTCGTTCGCCATGCCTAATATTTCCAGCAGATTTCACTGAAACGGAAAAAAATCTAATAGCAACAAATATTTGAATCTCCTGAAATCCTTTTTATGAAGTCAAGGGAGCAGAACACATATACTTCTACAGTGTATATATTAATCTGTGCTGGTGCATCGAAATTTTTCAGACCATTGAGTTAGATAATTGCAGCTAAATCTTATAGACCGAAGACCTATATATTTTTGATACATACTACATGTTATTTTAGCACATTACAGGTGGAGGATGGGGTGGGGGTGACATATCTTCATTCAACTGAGTACAATACGTCACCGTACAATACGGCCCGGCTGGACATTATTAGAGAAACTTTAGATCATGACGTCTCCCCAAGTTTGACAGACAAAACTATAGTATCCGAAGTAAACACGAAGAACTATAATTCACAGTCACATAAGGCCTATCAGTATATTAATATCCAGTGATATTGACTCTGGCCTTGATCCTAAGTTTCATACTGTGTTGACTATCCCTAAGGCCATCTTTTAAAAAAATTGTTTGGTTGCCCTTTCCCGACCGACTGACTAAAAACGGTCCGACTCAAATTTTTTTTTTATCCTCAGTCGGGAGAGGGGAAGCAAACAAATTTTTTAAAGATGGCCTAACTAAAAAATTCCCAGAAAGAGGCCACTTTAGCCAACGATTGGGTAGAAGCCAGAAGCACATCTTCTACCGTAACCGTGATATATCAACTGATTTTTTTTTTAAATCATTTGTATAGTCAGAGTATCCTTAACACAGTTAATCTGTGTCTGATGACTATCAAACAATGATTCTCAACAATCATTTGGGTAATGCAGAAAACCACACAACCCTTGATTTCTTGACGCCAAAACTGTTTGGACCATCTGTCTATCATGGACAGTTTATATACTAGTATATATGAAGTTTGATAACAAGGAAATGGTTCTCAAGATTTTAGTCGGAAATAATTTCATATGGCACAAAGAAAACATGTGACCGGCCATCCAACTCTCCAAACAACAGACATGTGCTTAGTAGTTTATCCCACTTCTTCAAAAAGGGCATAAAAATCGACTGAGAGCTGGATGACTTATGGATCCTTTACACATGGAGACCGTTGAGAGACCTTTCAGCGATTAAAATCTTTCCGATCTCTTAGTGATGTTTGGAAGCATCGGAGACTAAATTCTCCAACAAACTGTTGGAATTTCGATGGACACTAATTGTGTTCCTTTATAAGCTGACCTGTTTTTATATTCCTATGAAACAGGATTTATTCAAAAACTACTGCACGAGAAGAGGAAATCACTAGTTGTGGCCTTCAATTCGACATTCAGATATATCGACGATGTTTTGTCAATTAACAATACACGTAGTTATTTTCATCCGTATGTTGACTCGAAATATCCCAGTGAACTTGAAATCAAAGACACCACAGAATCTGCTACATCTCAGATTTAGCTATTTTACTAACTATAGACGATAAAGGTCAATTAACAACTTAATTGTATGACAAACGAGACTTTAGGTTTTCCGTCGTCAACGTTCCTTATTTATGTATTAGTATTCCACTATCACCTGCTTATAAATGGTGTTTATGTCTCCCAACTTATTCGCCACTCAAAAGCTTGCTATGAGTACGATCAATTGTTACAGTGAGACAGGCTACTCACTAATATGTTGATGTTACAGGGTTTCAACAGCCTCGTTCAAAGTCAGCATTTCGTAAATTTTATGGTCGATATAATGACCTTGTTAGCAAATATAACCTATCATTTGGTCGTATTTTGGCTGACTTTTTTCATACCAATTGTTAGGCCTTTGTTTTTGCACTGAATTGCCTACGGATAGTTCCCTCTATCTGATCAATACATTGGGCTCACAGCGGGTGTGACTGGTCAACAGGGGATGCTTACTCCTCCTAGACACCTGATCCCAACTCTGGAATTTGCAGGGTCCGTGTTTTATGCCTTCTTCACATATTTACATTGTTTGTGGATTTTTTGAGATCGATCACTGTTCGTTATCTTTACCTTGTACAATGTTTTGTATAAATGTTTAGGGAGTCGTTGTCTGATGAGGTTGAGGATATTTCCGCGGCAGTGTCTCTCTCAGATCTCACACCAGTTCCCAAGATCTCACAACCAGATTTCCCATAGATCTCTGATGCAGTCTCCAGTAAGCTCAGTTGGTATCTTTACAGTCTCCAAATGATCTCTTTATATCTCTACCTTTATAAAGAGATGGCGACCTTAGGAATAGCTGAGCGTAGCGAAAATGGTTAGATCTATGAACGATTCTTCAACGGTCGCTCAGATTTCGTCATGACCTTTCAGGATTTCCCAGAGGTCTCCACAGTATCTTTAAGTTTTTAATCTGCCCAATGATATCTTTGATCTCCTTATGATCTTTTAAATGTCTTCAAAAACACACAAAATTTTTTGAAAGAACGCCTTAAGCTCTCTAAATGGTCCACTTTAGTCTAATAGATATCTCTCTTAATTCATCATACTTGATTTCTTTGCAATTTCTATGATTTCTCAATGATGGTCGCAAACCAATCACACAACAAACTTTTAGACGTTGTTACTGGAATGTAATCATCAATCTCTGTGGGATCTTTCAGTGTGCCATCCTTATTAATCTGATATTTTCAGGAGAGTTGTAGGCCTCCCCCCCCCCCCCAAAAAAAAAAAAAAATCGGAGAGGGCTAGATCATTGCAACTACTATTTCGTGACGGATCATCATGAAATGTGGCAATACCCTCAGTTTTTCATCGCACAACAAGCACTGTATGATCTCCCTATAGCATTCAGACAGAGACGGAATCTTCCCGGCTTTAAGAGATCAGAAAATTTGCACATCACCAATGGTCATGTAGAGTCTCTCAACGATCTCTATGTGTAAAAAGCCCCCTCCAGGGCATTCAAAAAATTGAGAGACTTCTAAGAGATCATTGGGATATCCTAGATCTTTGAGTGGTCTTTCTGTGCTCTTTGAGCAATCCATGGGTGTACTTCAATAATTACTGAATTTTGCGATTGTTGAGAGACCTCTTTGGTAGAGTCTGTAAAGATCTCTGGGATATTACTGAGAGATCATGGCGATGGCTGGATGATCACCGAGAGATCCAACCCATTTTGCAACGGTCAGTAATCTACCAACGGTTGCCTTCTTTGTGTAAAGCGGGTTTTAGAGGCAAACGTAAAGCGTTGCACGATTCCCAACAGAAATATGTAGGTAGATTTGACCAATTACTATAAACAGGTCATTAAAAAAAAAAACAAGAATTGGAACGGCAACAACAAGAATACGACGAAGTCTTACATCAACAATGGAAATTCTAAATTTTGCTAATGCTAACATAAATTAAAAGCAATGAAAACAAGGCCCATATTTGAACAATTTAGAATCCCCTTAACCCAAGGATGCTTCATGCCAATTTTGGTTTAAAGTGGTCCAGTGGTTCTTGAGAGGAAGTCGAAAATGTGAAAAGTTAAAACAGATGAACAGACAGACAGCTAGACAGATGGATGCCGGACAACATGTGATCAGACAAGCTCAATTGAGCTTTCAGTTCAGGTGAACTAAAAAAAAACTTTTAAAAGATTGTACTGAGAAAGAAACCTCAGAAAGCACAACACTGGAAGAGGAAGCTTTAGGAGATCTGAAATCCTTAATTTGTCGAAGAGAAATGGACCGTTGAACATCCATCGTTACTTGTAGTTATTCATTACAAAATCACGGAACACTTGAAAGGTTACAGAAAAAAACAGAATTTATGTACAAGTACTTTCTCCATGAACATCAAAGAAAATTCAGCCCAAAACGAAGCGTTTGATATTGGAAATTGTTAGCTAGAACCTAGGCCAAAATAACAAATAAACCAAAACTGTTTTAAATTCATTTAATCTCATAATTCTTCATGATCTTCATTCTCTTTTATTTCTGAGTTAATTTTTTCTTGCCTTTCTTTATCTTTTTCAGTCACTTTTGATTCATTTTCTACATCTTCCTGTATTGGAATAACATCAGAATATTCTTCATCCAAATTACTTGTGTCTTTATTAGGAAATTTATTTTTATTTGTATCAGTCTCATGATTCCCTTGCTGAATTCTGTTTGAATGACCGTTTTGGTTTTCGTTCTCGTCATTATTTCCTATTTCTATTTGCTCCCTTGTTCGTGTTCTCCCTCGAACAAAGGTTCCGTCAGCCATCTTCTTTTGAGCCTGGAAACGAGCCAACTCCTGTGTGTTTGGATCCATGGTGTACCACATGGCTATTGCACATCTCCGACCTTTACGAACTGCCTTCACTCCATGGTAATCCCCAGCATTAAAGCCCACCATCCTACCACACTTAGGGGATATGCTTATCTGAAATAAATTATTCACAATTTAAGGAACTATCTAATGCAAGTACAATCAAGCCTCGTTATTCTGGACGTTTGTGTTCCTGAGCAAATTGTCCGGATTAATGAAGCGCCCAGATAACTGAAACATACTTGGTACATGTAGTATATCTAAATAAATAAAATGTTTCCCGCATATTTCGTCTGGAAGGCGAAGCGTTTGCATTATTGGCGTCCAGACTAATGCGACTAATCCACTTTCATTCTGAAGTCTCTGGTTTATCCTACACTATATCAATAACCGGAAGCTGTTATATCCCGTCTATAGTCTTAATATGTCGTGAAGTAATTTTCGAGGAATAAACGAGTGGTTTATATTAAAGAGGCTTGATGAAGGACGTCTGGAACAATATATTTGAAAAGGGAAATGTCTCTAGAAGCGAACTATGTCCTATTGAAGTAGGTTAATGATTGATAAAATTGTAAAATACTGGCTTGAAGTGGGGTGCCTGAAATTCAGTTAGGTACCTTGTGGTAAAAATAAGTAGCAATGGCCCGTATACGAAAAAAAGTGCAGCCGTGCAATAACCTCATGAAAAATTAACGCTTCTAAAGAATTTAGCTTTATTTGAAACACTACTGCATAACCGTAGGAACCGGGGGGGGGGGGCACGGGGGGGGGGGGCGTGGCCCCCCCCCCCAAAAAAAAATTTTGCCGATATATAGAGTACTATAGAAAACATAGCTACTATATGCTTGTGCCCCCTCAATAAAAACGTCTGATGACCATTTTTTTTTTTAGCTTGTCAAGGAAATTTTTGGTAGCTGATAGTGCCCCTTCAACTGAAAATGTATGGCTGTGTCCCCCCCCCCCCAAAAAAAAAACAACAAACAAACTGAAATTGCTTCCTACGGGCCTGTACTGAACAAACTAACTTTCTTAAAAAGGAGAGGTGTACTAGTGAAGAAAAGTGTTGAGTATACATAGAAAACATTTCTTGATAAACCATGTAACTAAATTAATTCTTCAACGCAATTTACAAGCAATGGAAAATGTTCTTTCCTTCATTATATTAAGAAATTTTTACGAAAATATGCCACAAAAAAGATGCTGGTGTGGTATCAGCTGTATTTAGCAGCAGTTCATCAAAAAACTACTACATGTAGTATATTAGTAATACCAAAATATGATCTTTCACAAATTACTAGTGCATTTCTTATTTGTAAAATTGACTTCTTCCAATCTTCTTCTATTTAGGATAATTAATTAATTACCCATAAGCAGATATATTAGCAGCACAAACCTGCTCTGTTTTATTGTCATGGGCAAAAAAGAATTCCCCTCCCAGAAAATCTTCATGTCCATTCAGATATAACACGGCGCTGTAAAGAAAAATAAGAATCAAGAATAAAGAAAGGAATCATTCAGATATAACACAGCGCTGTAAAGAAAAATAAGAATCAAGATAAAGTAGAGTTAGTAATCAATAAGATATAACACAGATGAAGAAGAATCAACATAAACTCTGGAATCTTGTCACTGAAATACTTCTTTGATGTATCATGGAAATAAGAAGACTATATCTGTAGAGTTGAGCTATTGCCTTTAATTGTTCTATTTTTTAACTGTACATCAAGACATTTAAGCTTAATTTTTATAATGCATGTATATGCAATGTGAAGAAACAAAACTGGACCTATAGTCTCTTGCAATGTATGCTGGGAACTGACGCAGACAGGATCCATCTGGCTGAATCTGGCAGTTGTCAGCATGAACAGGATGACTCAAATCTGATCGCTCTTCTTCATCTGAAGTCACAAAAAAAACAGTGTTTCCTACTTAATTTCTATTTTATTCATAATAGGAGAAAAATTGCATAAATTCTACTACTATAAAATTACAAAAAATTTATCAACATTTTTTTGCTGAATTTTTTAAAAATTACCACAAAAGCTATATTATTAGCATAAAACACTTCACTGAAACTAGAAATGTAACTAAAAATGAGTGTCTTGAAAAAGTTCATACTAAAAAGCAATAATTCCGTGAAAAGTGGATCATAGGTCTAAAACTTGTTCTTTAACTCATCATCACTCCAAAAATTCAGTTTCAATATCTACAGATGCAACAAGATAAGGTATATAATGAAATTTTCAAAAACAGCAGTAGAATTCAGTTTGATGAGGGTCAATGGGGGAAAAATGATACAGGAGGCCAAAGGCCCTTAACGGTCTGATTATAATACAACACTAAAGAATCCATATAATAGAAATTTAGTTACTATATGAGAAACAAAATAAAGTTGAAGATATGATGCTCAAAAACAATGAAATAGGATGATAAAAGGATCAACAAAATAGTCTCAGCACCAACTCAGAAAGTAGATCTATTTACTTTTTTTGTATGTGCCAGTGCTAACTGTACACTCATTTATCATCGTACAATACAACCCATGTTAAGGATTCATTGATGACAATTTGATAATCATATAACAAATCAAAATAAGCTAATAGAGGAAGATGTCTACTCAAAAACAATAGAAATGGGGCAATGAAGGGTAAAAAAAATAGATAGTCTGATAATCTGCAGAGACTCCGAAAGTAGGTATATTTACTTGCATGTATACCCAGTATGTCAATATTATTACTAAACTCCCAAAAATATCTGCCTATCCTGTCTTTAAAAATAATATTTTTGGAATTAGACTGTAAGGTGATTTTGTCTAATTTTATTTGTTTATTATTTACAAAAATCTGACCATTAACCCTATAAAAATACTTTTCAAATTATACATAAAAATTCTTGAATAATTCTTTTATTCAAGTGACCTATCAATTACATTATTTACAATGATTAATTATCATATATAAATAAGGAAAAGGGAAATAACTTCTCTCAAAGCAGAGTAAAGATGGCCTTACATGATCAACAGAACCCTGTCTTAGCACCAGAACCCCTGACAAGGGCCATGAATGTAACAATTTTGAAAGAGACTCCTTGCTTATCAAGCACTTAGTTTGTCTGCTTCATTCCCTAGAGTTTCAAAGAATTTAAAATGCATTTTCACTATATAATCAATAGAGCCCCCACCCTTACACCAGAAACCCTGAACCTGGGGCCATGATTTTCAATATTTTGGTAGAGGACTAAATGCTTATTATAATCATGCCAATAGTTTGACTGCTTGATGTCTGGGAGTAAAGAGGAAGATTTTTAAAGATTGCATTAATTTTGATGGTTTTGACCCCAACCGGAGACCACAAAATTAATAATTTCATAATTTATAAATTCATATTTTTTGTTCCCCTTTGTCCAAAGATTCTATTTACCAAATCTGGTTGAAATTGACTAATCCATTCCAGAGAAGAAGCTGGATATGCTTTAAAAATGTTGAAACATATAGACAACTGGGGAATAATGAAAACAGATAGCAAAAGTTCACCTGACCAAGTGACTATCTGCAACTGATCATCATATACAATTATTTGTACAAAAAAAAATTCTAGTTAAAAAAAAAAGATTTCACAGTGCTTTATGTACTATCTGTTTTTAGTGTATCTGATTAGAGTTGTCTTATCTTTACACAGCAGGTTCATTCCTGTTAAATTGACTTCTTAGTAAGATCCAACCCTATTTAGAGGTTTAGGTTATCTTAACACAGCATTAAGTTTGATATTTTCCCTGTTAATCAGGATTAACTTCTCATCACGTATTACCCCAGTCTGGGCAACTGTCTATAACTATTAAGCTGTACCCATAACAGTCAGAAAATCACATGGATAAACTCCATACCTGTGACAGCTTTCCGACAAACTAAGTGGGTAAAGTCAAAATAAAGGGGGCGAGTCAAATTGAAAAAGTTCTCCACAAGAAGGCGAGCCCGCTCACTGGCATCTAGGTACAACTGTACCAAATCTTTGGATAATTCCCCTGATTGTGCAAGCTAAAATATAATACAAAATTTAATATTAACAAACAAATTTTTAATACATAAGTTTTCTTTTTGAAAACAAAAATATAATTTCTTCTAATAATTATACACCGGTATTTATTTAACTTGTAACTTGATAAATTAGGTAAAATAAAAATGATCAAGTGTATGAAAACTAGTTTATCAGCTTTATTAAAGTAAACTATTGACAATGTTCTTATCCTGTGACATTTATCAAACAAATCACTAAACTTATCATTGCATTTGTGTGTTTCATTTTAAGTACAGTAAAAATAGGGATACTGTTCTTACATTGCAAATGAAAAAAATTTGGTTAAGATAACAATGGACAAACATTCTAGAAGAAAAACTGGGTTACTGCGCCTTGGAAAATATGTAATTTTAGAGATTAAAATTGAACATAATGAAAATAATCTCTTAGAATAATAATTTTAAAAATGAAATGTGTATTTGAGAAAAATACTATATAAAAAAAAATACAATACATTGAAATAGGTAACAATAATTAAAGAATGATGATACTAGTATCATGTCCCGAAAGTGAATTTTATCTTTATGTCTCTTAGCTGCAAAATTGTAAGAAAAACAAAATGCCTAGGCACTACAATTCTTGTGTAGCAACAAAATCCAAAAGCATGACACCTTCATTCATTGAACTCAGTTCTGAAAGTATTGAAATGTCTGGGTGTTGTAAGATGAAACACATTCAAGGCATTAAGCATCACTCTTAGGGCCGGTACACACGATAAGGCTTGCCTTATAAGTCATAGAACTTAAGTTCTTGCCTTACCATGTGTATGCCCTTAATACACGGTTTTTCGAGCCTTACAAGTCTGACTTAAAAATAGAACACTGCTCTATTTCCTAATACAAGACTTAGCTGAAATTTTCTTCTCAACCAATGAAAATCATTCGCCCAAATGTCATTCTATTTTTATCAAGCCATACACATGGGTATTTGAAGTGAACACAAATTATTTTCGAATAAGCTTATGAAAATATCCACAAATGTTTCTGTTCAACCTCTTCCTCTTTTTGTTAAGAAGTGTGTATGTACTTGTTGGTATAATTATTACAAAGTCCAGTAATCTATTCTTCTATTTTAATGACCGAATGCACTATTTATGGCTGGAAACACGTGGGATTTATGGAAATGTTGTATATAATCTTGTAAGTCTTGCCTTAACGTGTGGACACGAGAGCCGTACATCCTGCAAAACGTAATGTTTTAGACTTATGAGGCAAGCCTTACCGTGTGTACCGGCCCTTAGGTACATGTAGTAATGAAATTCCAGAGTTTATAGCTCCTCCATAAGACACTGTGTAGTATAAGAGGTCACTCATAAACAATAAAATTCAGCTTTACATGTAGGTAGTAATGAAAGACATGAGCATGCAGGTCATTTATCTCTCCTAGAAAATGGCAAAATACCATTGCATCAACCCTAAGCTTTGCTCCTAGGTAGTAATGAAATGTCTGGAAATTAGTTTCTCTCCTAGGAAGTAAATGCCTTGGAAAAAGTTCACCCCTATATACATGTAGTTTGATAAGAAATGCATTCTCATTAAGATTCAGTGTTAGGTAAAAATGAAATGTCTTGGGTTTATCTTCACTCTTACTCTGTAATTATATGCCTGGACTTTAAGTTTCATCCCTATGAAGTTATGCAATATACCTTGACATTTTTATTCTATGGCAATAATGGATGCTTTTGCAATAAGCTTCAATCCTAAGTAATTATGAAATTCCTTGACAAATTGTTTACTTCTTATGTAGAAATGAAATGCCTTAATCTTTATTCCAAGCTAGAGATAGTAATCATTTTCTCACCAATGTATGCTACACTTATAAAGGACAGGTAAATGACAGGTAAATCCTCTGATTGTTGGTTTGTTTAAATATCACATGCAATATTTACTTTTTAATAACATGCATTCTACAGTAAGGTTATTGCCTTGAAAACTGTCCATTGAGATTTATCCACAGTGACAATGTCAAATACACTGATAATGTTAAATGTAATACATGTTATATAAGTGGGTTCTACAAGGTACAAGAGTTCACACATGATTACAAAACCTACAAAGAATTTTTATAATTATAATAGACTCAGACTTTTTTTTTAAAAAACCACAAGACAAGGAAGACAAAAAAAAAAAACAAAACAAAACAAAACAAGAGGCCCATGGGCCACAGCGCTCACCTGAGTAATTTTGGCCCTGCTGTTCTTCACCAGACTTTCCCCCATGTAATACACCTATTGTGGTCCCATCCTATCCCAGGGGTCATGATTTTAACAATTTATAATCTACACTACCCCAGGATACTTCCACATTAGTTTCAGCTTTTCTGGCCCTGTGGTTCTTGAGAAGAAGATTTTTTCTATATATTTCAATGTAAAACTTGGATTCCCTATTGTGGCCCCGCCCTACCCGGGGGGTCATGATTTTAACAATTTAGAATCTACACTACCCCAAGATGCTTCCACATTAGTTTCAGCCTTTCTGGCCCTGTTGTTCTTGAGAAGAAGATTTGTAAAGATTTTTTCTATATATTTCAATGTAAAACTTGGATTCCCTATTGTGGCCCCGCCCTACCCCCTGGGGTCTCGATTTTAACAATTTAGAATCTACACAACCCCAAGATGCTTCCACATTAGTTTCAGCCTTCCTGGCCCTGTGGTTCTTGAGAAGAAGATTTTTAAAGATTTTTTCTATATATTTCAATATAAAACTTGGATTCCCTATTGTGGCCCCGCCCTACCCCCAGGGGTCATGATTTTAACAATTTAGAATCTACACTACCCCAGGATGCTTCCACATTAGTTTCAGCCTTTCTGGCCCCGTGGTTCTTGAGAAGAAGATTTTTAAAGATTTTTTCTATATATTTCAATATAAAACTTGGATTCCCTATTGTGGCCCCGCCCTACCCCCAGGGGTCATGATTTTAACAATTTAGAATCTACACTACCCCAGGATGCTTCCAGATAAGTTTCAGCTTTTCTGGCCCAGTGGTTTTTGAGAAGAAGATTTTTTAATGACCCCACCCTATTTTTGTCTTTTCTTGATTATCTCCCTTTGTAAGGGGGCTTGGCCCTTCATTTTAACAATTTAACTTCCCCTTCAGCCAAGGATGTTTTGCGCCAATTTTGGTTAAAATTGGCCAAGTGGTTCTTGAGAAGAAGTTGAAAATGTGAAAAGTTTACAGACGGACGGACAGACAGACGGACGGACGACAGACAATGGGTGATCAGAAAAGCTCACTTGAGCTTTCAGCTCAGGTGAGCTAAAAACAAGAGGCCCATGGGCCACAACGCTCACCTGAGTTACTTTTGCCCTGCTGTTCTTCACAAGACCTCCCCTTTGTAATATTTATTGCGGCCCCGCCCTACCCCTGGGGGCTATGATTTGAACAATTTAGAATCAACAATACCCAAGGATGCTTCCACATAAGTTTCAGCTTTTCTGGCCCAGTGGTTCTTAAGAAGAAGATTTTCAAAGATTTTGCCTATATATTTCAATGTAAAACTTTGATTCCCTATTGTGGCCCCGCCCTACCCCCAGGGGCTATGATTTGAACAATTTAGAATCTTCACTACCCAAGGATGCTTCCACATAAGTTTCAGCTTTTCTGGCCCAGTGGTTCTTAAAAATAAGATTTTCAAAGATTTTGCCTATATATTTCAATGTAAAACTTTGATACCCTATTGTGGCCCCGCCCTACCCCCAGGGGCCATGATTTGAACACACTACCCAAGGATGCTTCCACATAAGTTTCAGCTTTTCTGGCCCAGTGGTTCTTAAGAAAAAGATTTTCAAAGATTTTGCCTATATATTTCAATGTAAAACTTTGATTCCCTACTGTGGCCCCGCCCTACCCCCAGGGGCTATGATTTGAATAATTTAGAATCTACACTACCCAAGGATGCTTCCACATAAGTTTCAGCTTTTCTGGCCCAGTGGTTCTTAAAAAGAAGATTTTCAAAGATTTTTCCTATATATTTCAATGTAAAACTTTGATTCCCTATTGTGGCCCCGCCCTACCCCCAGGGGCCATGATTTGAACACACTACCCAAGGAAGCTTCCACATAAGTTTCAGCTTTTCTGGCCCAGTGGTTCTTAAGAAGAAGATTTTCAAAGATTTTGCCTATATATTTCAATGTAGAACTTTGATTCCCTACTGTGGCCCCGCCCTACCCCCAGGGGCTATGATTTGAACAATTTAGAATCTTCACTACCCAAGGAAGCTTCCACATAAGTTTCAGCTTTTCTGGCCCAGTGGTTCTTAAGAAGAAGATTTTCAAAGATTTTGCCTATATATTTCAATGTAAAACTTTGATTCCCTATTGTGGCCCCGCCCTACCCCCAGGGGCTATGATTTGAACAATTTAGAATCTACACTACCCAAGGATGCTTCCACATAAGTTTCAGCTTTTCTGGCCCAGTGGTTCTTGAGAAGAAGATTTTCAAAGATTTTGCCTATACATTTCAATGTAAAACTTTGATTCCCTATTGTGGCCCCGCCCTACCCCCAGGGGCTATGATTTGAACAATTTAGAATCTACACTACCCAAGGATGCTTCCACATAAGTTTCAGCTTTTCTGGCCCAGTGGTTCTTAAGAAGAAGATTTTCAAAGATTTTGCCTATATATTTCAATGTAAAATTTTGATTCCCTATTGTGGCCCCGCCCTACCCCCAGGGGCTATGATTTGAATAATTCAGAATCTTCACTACCCCAGGATGCTTCCACATAAGTTTCAGCTTTTCTGGCCCAGTGGTTCTTAAGAAGAAGATTTTTAAAGATTTTGCCTATATATTTCAACGTAAAACTTTGATTCCCTATTGTGGCCCCGCCCTACCCCCAGGGGCCATGATTTTAACAATTTAGAATCTACACTACCCCAGGATGCTTCCACATAAGTTTCAGCTTTTCTGGCCCAGTGGTTCTTGAGAAGAAGATTTTTAAAGATTTTTCCTATATATTTCTATGTAAAACATTGATTCCACATTGTGGCCCCGCCCTACCCCTGGGGGTCATGATTTGAACAATTTAGAATCTACTCTACCCCAGGATGCTTCCATATAAGTTTCAGCTTTACTGGCCCTGTGGTTCTTGAGAAGAAGATTTTTTAATGACCCCACCCTATTTTTGTCTTCTCTTGATTATCTCCCCTTGTGAGGTGACTTGGCCATTCATTTTAACAATTTAAATTCCCCTTCACCCAAGGATGCTTTGTACCAAGTTTGGTCAAAATTGGCCCAGTGGTTCTTGAGAAGAAGTCAAAAATGTGAAAAGTTTACAGATGGACGGACAGACAGACAGACGGACAGACAGACGGACAGACGGACGGACGGACGACGGACAAAATGTGATCAGAAAAGTTCACTTGAGCCTTCGGCTCAGGTGAGCTAAAAAGCTCATGTGTACATAGCTCAAAAGATGTAAGAATAATTCAATAAAAATACTCCTAACAAACTTCAGTATGAAACAAAAGCAAGATTGTTACTTTTTACATAAGAAGACTGCAGGTGTAAATATAATTTTATCATTTGAAACATTAACATGATTGAATGCTCTTAAAATGAGTCCAAAATATTTAAAAGGTTGACAGTCATCTAGAATGTAAAGAATACTTTTGTTCATTATAGGGTGTGTGAATTATATAATCCTGATGTCTTTGCTGAAATTACAAACCTGAGTTGCCCTACCAACTGTCAAGCCCTCGAATATTTCGTGTTTAGTGTGTGGTGATATTTTGCCGACCTGAGATGCCGTCCCTTTGTAGCCATCTCCCTGTATTCCACCTCTCTATATTAAGATAATACAATCAAGCAAAGTCAAAATCAGCCATAACCACTCCCAGCAAACTTCATAAAATCAAGAAAATGGAATTCAAGAACATTTGGAAACTGAGAAAATCCAAAAGTCAATGTTTTTGATTTTCAGTTCATTTTAGAGTGTCAGTATTGCATTTTCAAAAGTTCAAGATCTTGGTTTAAAATCCTTCTAAAAGGACTTGCATCTCTTTTAAACTGATTTAATTGGAAGGTAAAGAATATCATCATCATCTTGATTTCATTTCTTTAGACATGCAACAAAATTGAATTAAATGCCAACCCCTGTAAAATTTACAGAACTGATGGGAACTGTCTATTTAAAAAAGAGAGGTAACTCTCAGTGCAGTTACAAATATCACTAGCATACTGACATTATTCTACAGATTAAGTAAAATTTTCAAAAAATATGTATTCAATGATTATATGTAAAAAATGTTCAGGAAATTTGAATTTGGCAGTAACCTTGAACTCGATTAATATTTAATCAGATGTCAAATTAGAAAGACCAAAACAATGATCTTGACCTAGTAGTAATTCTGAATTCCATCAGATCACTGATATTTTCAATTGTTTTTTTTGTTGTTGTTAATAATGAAATTCATGGCATCTGGCAGTGTAACTTGATACAGACAGACAGATAGACACTTGACAGTGATCCCTCTGTGTCAACCATGTTCACCTCAGAACACAAAAAGGACATTTATGAGGGTAAGAGTAAACATTGGTCATGAGTACCTTTGTATAAACATTAATACACAGTACTACTTAGTATGTCTAACTTACCAAAACACGCCAAGACCTATATCTTAGTAAAAGGTACACACAACAAAGAGTTATCTGATTGTTTGCTATGAACAACACATACATAGTAACATAATTATATATATATAGGATCTCCCATGATTTGTAGTTGGATATGATTTTTATCCAACGAGTTGTGTGTTTTTTTTATCCCTGAGCCTTGGCAAGGGGATAAAAACACACAACGAGTTGGATAAAAATCATATCCAACTATAAATCATGAAAGATTCTTTTTATCCCATGTTTAATACTTCACAACCAATGTTTTACACTGTTTTATATAGGACTCCACTTTATTTTACTTCATTGCGCTAATGCAAAAACCATTGTGACGTCACAACTGTGGATTATGAAAAAATTATCCAATGAGTCATATCCACGGGATAAAGGGGTAAACATGGGATAAATAGATGTATATATAAAAAATGGCAAATCCTACTGAATTTAAAGTTTACGTGACCAAATATTTTACAAAACCAAACATTTAAAAACAAAAAGAATATGGAATGTTTAAATACAAATATTTGAATTATATCCTAAAACATGCAATAATGTTATTACAATATGAAACCCTAAAGTATAAACCTTACCTATGACAAATAATATACATAAAATGTTTGATAATAAAACACTATTAGTCGAGCATAAATATTAACAGTGGGAAAACACTGTAAAAATAAACTGGGAATAAAAAGCGAGCTGGAAAAGCCCAAATCTATAAACCCAACAACAGAAACGTACACATCAGTTTGCTCTTAGATCTATCATTACTGTGTTTTTGAAATTTCAATGGTCAGTTTTATTCTTTCTTTCTTCATAAAGCTTGAATAATAGCACATGAATATTGTTTCTTTGGTTTCTAATTTGTTTTATTATATTGCTTGTATAAATAATTAAGCAAACACAAGAGCTGGGATTTCATCAAAGCTCAACATTTTCAAGAAATTTACATTATGTCAAGTAGCCTTGACCTTTCTAAGTGCAACTAGGTTAAGATCATTACTTGACTACCACTCTTCACAAGCATTCTAAATGTTAACCTCTTATTTTATTTTAAAGTCTTAGAGCGATGATACACCAAAAGGTCATAAGCAGCCTTTTGAGTCATACATATGAGGTTCTATTAGAAAGTTAAAACCAAGGTTTATTTTTATGCATTTGAGCACTTTCATACTCTTTGACCTTGCCCAAATGACCTTAATTCAGGATGATAGCTTACAGAAATACCATAAGCAACCTTTCTGTCAAGCTTAAGTCAGTATCTCTGGACTACAATATAAAATGCCTAGAAGACAATTTTACATTTTGATCCCATTGACCTTGCCATTGAACAATTGACCCAGGTGCCATTGAACGACTGATGTAGGTTCAAGGTAATGAGACACTGCAAGGTCAGGGGCAACCTGAAGCTTCTTCTATCTCCGTGTTGTAAAGAAATGCCATGCTCTAAAATTAAAAAAATTTGATCCCCATGACCTCCTTCGGGCTTGTTGTGTTCATGGCACATCCTCAGGCATTATGCAAAGTAAAAACTTCTAATATTTCTCCAGAAAAAAGTTATAGCCTGAACAATGATTGGCAAGCAGACAGATGAACAATAGACTTGATGATTCCTATATATCTGGGGGGTTTTTGGACTTTAATTTCTACATATAGTTATGTATACAAAATTTCTAAGAATTTGAGTTTTCTGATGTGTAGATTTCTATAAAATTTGAAGCTTGTCTCACACTACCCCTGTCTACCTGCTTGGCTCTGTCATCTGTCAGACCAGTAAACACTTCATTTTGTGTAAATGGTGACCTTTCACCCCTGTAACCATCCCCTTCTATACCACCAGCCTAAAACGGGGGTTAGTCATTGTGTACCAGTATCTTAGCTTCTAACAAAAAATTATGAATCCAAAAAAGGTTCAATGGAACAATGACAAATAAATAATTTATTTTCTTTGAAACAGTCCTGGAAGCTAAAAAATTAACTTAATATTTAAACAAATACATTTTAATAAGCAAAGAAAAAATCTAATTATCTTCCCTTCCATACAAAGATTCTTCAACAGTCTATAAATAATATGTGAAAATAGTATCAATGATGGACTAATCATTAAAGTTTATTTTTCTAACCATATTTAAGACTTCAGTCAAAACCTCTGGCACAGTCTTACCTCTAACAAAGACATCAGGTTTTGACAATCTCCCTCATTCATCAAACCATCAGCTACAAATCTTTCTTCTCCATGCAATTCCTCCCCACTCTGAACAATGGTCACACCTAATATAAAATGTTATTTAAAATCATGTAACACAAACTTTAACTTTAAAACAGCTTATTTTTTGTATAACTGGCATTGGGTACCAAGGATACTTGTGTAAAAAGTGGGAGATCATGAAAGAAAATTAAAATTCAATTCTAAGGATTTTAGGAGGAAAAATTCTACAGAAAAGGGCAAAGCATGTAAGTATACTTGGGTACAAAAGACCAATGTCTTCAGATAATAGAGCAACTGTATGGTACATGTAAGTGGGGTTAAGTCCCAGCTTGATCATTGCTTTCTTTTTCTCATAAAACACTGTTAATAATTATTGATCAAATTCAAAGTAGCTCAATTTTGATTAGAACATATGTATACCAATGTTCCTTTGTGTGTGACTAATCTTTAAAAGTTTCATGAAAACTGCAAATGTGAAAGCTTGTCACCTTGTACATGTAGAAATTGTTTTGTATCTTAAAGGACAGGCAACTTAATTATGAGTACCCATGAAAGAAAATTATTGAGAAAAAATTTGAAGGGAAAAGTAGGTGCAAAGGAAAGATGGCTCATGCTGGTGGAAAAAAAAATCTATAGAGGGGATAGCTCACCTTTATGTTTGAGTTCATCCACCCTCTTTAGATGATCAATATTGAGTTTCCTGACTCGGTCTTCATCAAGGTCATTAAGAAAGGTCATGGCTTGACGATATTCGGGATTGTCCTTGTCTTTCTCAAGGGCAAAAGTCATAAATATAACACATCGCTGAGAGGCTGGCTGTGTAACGGTGTGTCTGTCTGTGGCCTCAAACACTGTAAAGAGCCCCTGTCTGGGGGATACTCCTGCCTGAGGAGAGAGAACATAAAAGTACTGTACACAATAGCAATATCTAAGGAATGGAAGCAAACTCTTGAGCATTAAAACAATGTATGCTTAAAATTCATAACTAAGAAGATAACAAGTAACATAACCCCTACAAAACAAACTTATTTAACAATGAATTTTAGAGTAGAAAATCATCATCTGAAAATTGAAGACATTGTAAGCACAGCTTGCGAGTAATGCTGAATACCATAGGTTAATGGAATAAAAAAACTCTTTCAGACAGTACGTACCACTGCAGTGTTCTTCCTGTTTAAGAATACAGTCTCCCCTCCATCTGTCACATTATTAATAAACAATACAGCTCTGCAAAACGATAAATTCCACGTCAAAATTTAGTAACAGCACATAAAACAATAAGGTATAGATATGTCAAATATTTATCTAAATATATTATTATTTCAAATCATATGTATATTTCTTCCTTTTTAGACTAAACAAAGTCTTATATTGTTTTACATTGTAATACATAACCATTGCAAATAAATCATCAACATTTATTCTACCAGCATATATCAATTGTACATTGTACGTTGCTTCCTATTTTTCCTAGATCCACTCCCATGCAGACTTTTATATACACAGTAGTCATCTAGATACCAGTATTCTATGACAGATTTCAACACTCCTAGATCCATTCCCACACTTACACATACCAGTAATCATCTAGATACCTGAGGCCTGTTCAGCAGAGCGAACGTTCGCAAGCGCTCGCGAACATTTCTGATTGAGGGATAAGGAATTTTGGCGAGCGCTTGCGAACATTCGCTCTGTTGAACAGGCCTCAGTACTCTGTAATAGATTTCAACACTCCTAGATCCATTCCCAGACTTACATGTATTCATCTAGATACCAGTATTCTGTGACAGATTTCAAAACTCCTAGATCCACTCCTAGACTTACATGTATTCGTCCAGATTTTCTGTGACAGATTTCCATGCTTCTTCATCCACACAGCTCCCATCCTCTTGAGGGAAACAGCTGCCATCTTCTGCATTTTCCAGGTCTTTCCAAAATAATGACAAATTGAGGGAATAAATATAAAAAATAAAATTTCAAAATTCATCAATACATTTTTAAAGCATGTGTCATATATTTTTACATCTTAAGCTTTTCAAGGAAACTCATTTTATTGTTAAAGAAGAATGTCCAATTCTGATCAATATCTGAATTACATAAAATGAAGATATAGCAAAAGGGGAGTAACTCTTGTCCATTATCTGCCAATATATTAATAAATACTATGTGTACCAGGATCAGTAGGCCCTCTGCACACTAATTTAGTTTCCTTGGTGTAGAAGCTGGTCTGGTTGTAGAATCTGGAGGTAAACAGTCTGACAGACTCGCTTAGTTTTAGTAACAGTCGGAGTGAAATCTCCAGATCTGGGTCCCCCCTCACAGCCTGCACAGATCACCCATCACAATTATACACAAAAATCAACTCAGAAACTTATATAGGAATTTATTGTGAAGAATTTAATGCAACCAATATGAATTATGCTAAAGATTTTTCTAAATAACCAATACCTCAATAGCATTTGGAATAGAAATTGTCTTTACACCAGACGAATCTGTTTTTGTGGACTGAAAATAAATAAAATCACAATAAAGATTATAATTATCACTGTTATATCATCTCAAACATTAGATCTCATTGAGTAAAGAGACAGAAATCATCAACATCAAAGAAGACATCTCATTTCCTCTGTTTATTTAAAACCTGTTCTCCTAAGGTTATCCAGTTCTTCAGATAAAGTTTCTCTAGACTTTGAAATTTATCAAACTGATGACAAGTTAACGTTTCATTTATGATGCATCTTTCTAAGAATTCATCATGAAGATAACAAAAATATAGGTCAATAAAATTTATATGAATATTTGCAAAATTATGGAAATTGCATTTATAAATGGAACATTTTTCTGACAATCAAAATGTAAACATTTTGACTGTACGAGGGGTGATCAAAAAGTTCGCGAACTATTTCTATATTTACAAAACAACAATTCACATCAGAATGAAATTTGGCACACATATAGTCATACACATGTTCTATAAATAACAGATGTTAAATAATGTTTTGCTCCGTGTTTGTGACGTCACAATGTGAAAATGACGTCAATATGTAGGTCACTTGTGACAAAAAATGGTTGATTCAGTCGTACTCGAACAATGAACGGCTGTAAAGTTTAACGTATATCTTGGAAATTCCTTTGCAGTAGAATATGATAATTTGTACAAGGTTTATGAAGACAAAAGACTTACCAGAAGTTCAATCATTAATTGGATTGATTGTTCAAGTGAAGACAGGGAGATGGTTAAAACTGATGTTTGTTCTGTTGTCAAGCGAAAGCAAGCCGGGGAAAAAATGTGTCCTTAGTTGAGCAATTTGTTACAAAACATCGTCAAGTTACAATTACAAAAATAGTTGAATATCTTAACAATAATATAATTATTAAATCCCTAAAATATCGGTTACTTTAGACTTTAAACATATGAGATATGATAAAAAGAAGGCACCCACAGTTTATCCACATTGGATAAACGACACTCCCAGGACAGAGGACTCGGGTTGTGATGGGTCACCATACTAATTGTGGGAAGGGATATCCTTATCCACCCATCCAGTTGCCAAGATTTGGCCATTTCTGACAGATAGACTGTTCTTGTTATAAAAAATAATTTCCACGGTAAGAACTATAAGACTCGGAAAATTCTTTTAGCTTCTGTGAACAGACTGCTACAGAGCAGGTCACGTGACTGCCTGGATCACGTGATTCGCGCATGGGCAAAACAATGGCAGATGTGCTTTAAAATCGGAGAGGACTACTTTAAAAAATAATAAACACTGAAACCTCATTTTATTTCTTTTAAGGAATTTATTCAATTAGTTCGCGAACTTCGTAAGTGATAATGCAGTATTTCAAACAAGAAAAAAAATGCATTTCATAATTAATTTCAGAGATTGTTGACTATGTTTAAGTCAGAACATACCATGTTAAATTAACAGCATCAGAATAGAAGATAAAAATGGGTTTATAATACAACTTCCTGTGTATTTTACATTTTGACTGATTGTTAAGGTACCCTAGCCTGGCTAGATTGAGTAATTCCTCTGATTGTTAAGGTACCCTATCCTGGCTAGATTGAGTTATTCCTCTAATTGTTAAGGTACCCTTCCTTGGCTAGATTGAGTTATTCCTCTGATTGTTAAGGTACTCCCTACCTTGGCTAGATTGAGTTATTCCTCTGATTGTTAGCGTACCCTATCCTGGCTAGATTGAGTTATTCCTCTGATTGTTAAGGTACCCTACCTTGGCTAGATTGAGTTATTCCTCTGATTGTTAAGGTACCCTACCTTGTCTAGATTGAGTTACTCCTCTGATTGTTAAGGTACCCTATCCTGGCTAGATTGAGTTATTCCTCTGATTGTTAAGGTACCCTACCTTGTCTAGATTGAGTTATTCCTCTGATTGTTAAGGTACCCTATCCTGGCTAGATTGAGTTATTCCTCTGATTGTTAAGGTACCCTAGTAGGGATGGATATCGGCAAAAATTTCGTATCGTGATATATCACGATTTTTTCCCAAAAATATCACAATAAATCGTAATATTTTTACACACTATTTTTACTAGAATTTCAAATGAATTTACATAGTATTTGTTAAAAATATGCTATAAAAACATAACTTTATTTTTTAAATTTTTATTCATTTAATATAAAGCATGTTTGGACGCCGTTGTTTAACTGTTTTCAACATTTTTTACACTTCCTGTAATTGTCATTCAATAGTTTGAACAAATTAATGAATGATTTCCGGAATTTATAGTTATGTACCAAGTACCGGTACTTAAGTCTCCGTATCACGATACGTATCACACAATAAAAAATCGCGATATACCAGTATACCGATAAAATCGTGCATCCCTATACCCTAGCCTGGCTAAATTGAGTTATTCCTCTGATTGTTAAGGTACCCTATCCTGGCTAGATTGCATAATTCCTCTCATTGTTAAGGTATCCTACCTGGGCTAGATTGAGTAATTCCTCTGATTGTTAAGGTATCCTACCCTGGCTAGACTGAGTAATTCCTCTGATTGATAAGGTACCCTACCCTGGCTAGATTGAGTAATTCCTCTGGTTGTTAAGGTACCCTAGCCTGGCTAGATTGAGTAATTCCTCTGATTGTTAAGGTACTCTACCCTGGCTAGATTGAGTAATTCCTCTGATTGTTAAGGTACCCTACCTTGGCTAGAATGAATAATTCTTCTGATTGTTAAGGTACCCTACCCTGGCTAGATTGAGTAATTCCTCTGATTGTTAAGGTACCCTACCTTGGCTAAATTGAGTTATTCCTCTGTTAAGGTACCTTACCCTGGCTAGATTGAGTAATTCCTCTGATTGATAAGGTACCCTACCTTGGCTAGAATGAGTAATTCTTCCTATTGTTAAGGTACCCTACCCTGGCTAGATTGAGTAATTCCTCTGGTTGTTAAGGTACCCTACCTTGGCTAGAATGAATAATTCTTCTGATTGTTAAGGTACCCTACCCTGGCTAGATTGAGTAATTCCTCTGATTGTTAAGGTACCCTACCTTGGCTAAATTGAGTAATTCCTCTGTTAAGGTACCTTACCCTGGCTAGATTGAGTAATTCCTCACTCTGCTCATCCCTCAGGACCCCCTCTGCTGTAAACCTCTCCCCCTTCAGCTCCTCAGGGTTCTGGATCACTTTTATACCCAGTTTCTCAAAAATTCCCAAGTAGTGACCTCTTTCTTTATCATTCTACAAGTATAAATAGCTTTTATTCTTAAAATATTTCAAGGCCATGAAAAGTATTTGTAGATATAATACAGCAATGTGAGAGTCACCATAGGATCCATGCAATTCAATGCACCAATATTAAAGGTTAATGATTATATTTATGACTATGAATTTTCATCTCACACAAAGACACAAGGACATTCTACCCATTAAAAAGGGTTTTTTTCTGTAATTTTGAAAATTTCCTGATAGAATATGGAAATAAAAAATTATATCAAAAAAGATTTAGGATACCATTTAAGACAGAGATTTAAGACGAATTGTATTTTGAGTTTAATAAAGGAAACACAGTGACAGAGTTATCTCTCATAGTTGAGAGTTATTGCTCATTGCTCCATCAAGACAAGAATTGTTTTGTAAAATTTTATATGACAATTCAAATGTACATAGTACAGTGTCTTACACATGTCTAATAGGATGACAATGGCAGGCAGACTTACTCCTTCAGAATCATCAACAAAATCGTCTAGTATATCATCAGACTCCAGGTACTGTAACAAAGACTCCAGTTTATTCCTCATCTCTATGTATTCCACTGCCTCCTACAAATAAACCACTCAACTTCATCAGATCCTGCTAGCAACAATCCTAAGAATTTTTTGTCAAGTACATGACATTGTATATTTTTAGTATCTACACACAGTTTAAAAAGAAAAAAAAATGGGGGTCAATTTGCTTCTTTTGGTGCATTTAATGTGATCTTTTTGCACTGTAATTGTGTCTTACACAATAATCTTTTTTTTTAAAGTTTTTCCTCCAATATTTTTTATCCAAATAAAATATGGGACCAAATACAGTCTTATTTAAATATTGAATTATTATTGTTTGAAATATGTAGTCTCATAATTACAAAGGTGTGTGCAAAAAAAACAGAGTAATGTGTGTTATATTATCTAACCTGTCTGTACTCACAAAATGTCATTTTTCTGGCATTGAAAATTTAACAAGCAATAAAATTATTTAAAATTATTATTAAGATTTTACTGAATTTAAGCAGAATGATCAAAGTTATCTTATATATTCAGAAAAAAAAAATGGGGCTCTGTGATGAAAATTTTGAGATATTACCATACTAAAAAGTGTTCATTTTAAGCTAAAATTGGGGCTATTTTTCTCTGGACTTTCACAATATATTTGCTATTCTTAATGGTTAATTTAATTTATAATTCAGGACCAGCAAAAAATATCACACTGTGCAAGATAACTGTGTAAGCAACCTGCATAGAAGAATAGAAATACAAACCCAACAGTGCCGTAAATACTATGAAAAACTGATCATTTCTTCTAAAAAAAACTTCTGCCACAGAGTATAGTTCCCCCCTTAATGCTTTTTGTATAAAATTTAATTTCAATCATGGGTTTATAATTGAATATAGTTAAATTGGCATTGTTTAATCCAATTTTATTGAAAGAACTAAAATATGATGCAGAATTTTAGAAATAGAGGTCCAGAAAAAACTCTGCTCAAAAAACTCAGATCTACATGCCACATTTTCAAGAACTAATGTACTACTTGACAATGTACAAGTACACTATCTGTTACCGGAATTAAATGATTAATACTAAACTGTACATACAAATCTAGATCCCAATCAAGTAAGATTTGACCACATATAGATAAGAACTTCATTATTACCTTTCTAGCACTGAGGTGGGAGTCATGGTAACCCAGCCTGGTGATAAAGTAGAGGCGATTACGTAGCATGTCCATGTGGGAGGAGTTAAATAACAGGAATGCTCCAATGGCCTCTGCTGCTCGGTCCAAATCACCAGCTAGGAAAATAAAGACACATAAATACTGCAGGTAACAAAAGATTTTAAGAATATATACTTAGGGTGTTATTATTGGGAAGCAGACCTACTATCAGTGGTAAATTGCAACAAGCTTTGGGAGTATGCATGATATATGCCAATATTTAACATAATGCTTATTAAAATGACATACTATGAAAAACAAAGTAGCTATGGGCCTAATAAAATGAGCTTTGATGGCTCACACATTTTTTATGAAAAAAAATATTGCAACATACTATAAATGCATACTATGACAGATGTAGAAATACCTAACATACTTTAAAGGCATACAAAGGCGTACTGTATTGAATAGACTTACAGTGACATACTTTGAGAGTAGGCATACCATCTCAGTAGAAAACACACTATATGATATACTTTGATACGGGTATACTATGTCAGAAATAAACACACTATGGTATACTTTGATACTGGGTATACTATGTCAGAAATAAACACACTATGACATACTTTGATACGGGTATACTATGTCAGAAATAAACACACTATGGTATACTTTGATACTGGGTATACTATGTCAGAAATAAACACACTATGGTATACTTTGATACTGGGTATACTATGTCAGAAATAAACACACTATGACATACTTTGATACTGGGTATACTATGTCAGAAATAAACACACTATGACATACTTTGATACTGGGTATACTATGTCAGAAATAAACACACTATGACATACTTTGATACGGGTATACTATGTCAGAAATAAACACACTATGGTATACTTTGATACTGGGTATACTATGTCAGAAATAAACACACTATGGTATACTTTGATACTGGGTATACTATGTCAGAAATAAACACACTATGACATACTTTGATACTGGGTATACTATGTCAGAAATAAACACACTATGACATACTTTGATACTGGGTATACTATGTCAGAAATAAACACACTATGACATACTTTGATACTGGGTATACTATGTCAGAAATAAACACACTATGACATACTTTGATACTGGGTATACTATGTCAGAAATAAACACACTATGGTATACTTTGATACTGGGTATACTATGTCAGAAATAAACACACTATGACATACTTTGATACTGGGTATACTATGTCAGAAATAAACACACTATGGTATACTTTGATACTGGGTATACTATGTCAGAAATAAACACACTATGACATACTTTGATACTGGGTATACTATGTCAGAAATAAACACACTATGACATACTTTGATACTGGGTATACTATGTCAGAAATAAACACACTATGACATCTTTTGATACTGGGTATACTATGTCAGAAATAAACACACTATGACATACTTTGATACTGGGTATACTATGTCAGAAATAAACACACTATGGTATACTTTGATACGGGTATACTATGTCAGAAATAAACACACTATGACATACTTTGATACTGGGTATACTATGTCAGAAATAAACACACTATGGTATACTTTGATACTGGGTATACTATGTCAGAAATAAACACACTATGGTATACTTTGATACTGGGTATACTATGTCAGAAATAAACACACTATGACATACTTTGATACTGGGTATACTATGTCAGAAATAAACACACTATGGTATACTTTGATACTGGGTATACTATGTCAGAAATAAACACACTATGACATACTTTGATACTGGGTATACTATGTCAGAAATAAACACACTATGACATACTTTGATACTGGGTATACTATGTCAGAAATAAACACACTATGGTATACTTTGATACTGGGTATACTATGTCAGAAATAAACACACTATGGTATACTTTGATACTGGGTATACTATGTCAGAAATAAACACACTATGACATACTTTGATACTGGGTATACTATGTCAGAAATAAACACACTATGACATACTTTGATACTGGGTATACTATGTCAGAAATAATCACACTATGGTATACTTTGATACTGGGTATACTATGTCAGAAATAAACACACTATGGTATACTTTGATACTGGGTATACTATGTCAGAAATAAACACACTATGACATACTTTGATACTGGGTATACTATGTCAGAAATAAACACACTATGGTATACTTTGATACTGGGTATACTATGTCAGAAATAAACACACTATGACATACTTTGATACTGGGTATACTATGTCAGAAATAAACACACTATGACATACTTTGATACTGGGTATACTATGTCAGAAATAGACACACTATGACATACTTTGATACTGGGTATACTATGTCAGAAATAAACACACTATGACATACTTTGATACTGGGTATACTATGTCAGAAATAAACACACTATGACATACTTTGATACTGGGTATACTATGTCAGAAATAAACACACTATGACATACTTTGATACTGGGTATACTATGTCAGAAATAGACACACTATGGTATACTTTGATACTGGGTATACTATGTCAGAAATAAACACACTATGACATACTTTGATACTGGGTAAAAGTGCAGAGGTAAAGACAATGTAACATACTTTGATATAGGCATGCTCTGACATACTTTGATAGTACATTATGACATATTTTGAAAGTAGGCATATGTCAGAAGTAGACACATTATGACATACCTTAATAGTAGATATATATCATAAGTAGACACAGTATGACATACTTTGATAGTAGGCATATGTCAGAAGTAGACACAGTATGACATACTTTGATAGTAGGCATATGTCAGAAGTAGACACATTATGACATATTTTGAAAGTAGGCATATGTCAGAAGTAGACACATTATGACATACCTTAATAGTAGATATATATCATAAGTAGACACATTATGACATACTTTGATAGTAGGCATATGTCAGAAGTAGACACAGTATGACATACTTTGATAGTAGGCATATGTCAGAAGTAGACACATTATGACATACTTTGATAGTAGCATATGTCAGAAGTAGACACATTATGATATACTTTGATTATTAGGCATATGTCAGAAGTAGACACATTATGACATACTTTGATAGTAGACATATGTAGGATGTAGACACATTATGACATACTTTGATTATTAGGCATATGTCCGAAGAAGACACATTATAACATACTTTGATAGTAGGCATACTGTAGATAGTGGTAATGTTCCTCCAGGAAACCTTCCTCGTGATCAGCAAAAACTCGACTCAGCTTGTACTCACAGTCCACCTGACATCTCAGTATGGGAATGTAAAGCTCTGTTCATTAACAATATATATAACTATATGTTTTACAATAACATCTTATAAATTTGTGGGCATCAGAACTTTTTTATCATATGAACATCTCTACCAAAAAGCATTCTTGTTAATGCCAAATTACCTGCAAAATAGTGAAAGAAGTCAGTCAGATGGGAAGAAGCTGGAATGACTAATTTGTCTTCACACTGGAGTCGACATCTTTGTTCCTCTTCATAGAATTCCTTTAAAGCCCTCTCAAAATGTTCAATGACACCAGTCCAATTGCTTTCATCATATGCAATGTCTCCAAGGATGTGAGATGCCTTTTAATATGAAAATATGGCATATAAAGTTAGTCTGTAAAATTGGATAAGGAGGAAACTGCAATCCCAATATATTTCGTGCTTAATGATTGCTATGAATATAAATGGGGAGACCATCTGACAACTCTCAAATGACTTTGATTATATTACAAAGACAATATTTTTTTGATCAGAACATTTTTTTTTTATTATGACCTTCATTCTAAGTTTACACTATCTGTATGTTTCCATATAATAATATACAAGTTTTTGTTGTAAATGCCTACTTTTCCTCTCAAACTCACATATTTTTCTAAAGAAATTAGGCCATTCCAAGTTTTTTCTCTGTTTAGCGTCCACCCATCTTTCAAAAACCTACCTACCTATTCGCAAAAAACACACAAACCAAAAAATAAAACACAGACTTTATATGTCTTAAAAATAATGTTACTCAAAGGATTTGATTTTATTAATCTATTTTTCTCATAGAAATATCTTCTGTTTGGTAAAATTAAAGTATTAAATGCTTAAAATATACATATGACATTCTAGTGAGAAATATTTAAAGAACTTGACAAATTTCCAAAATTTTGACCAAAAAAATCAATTTTAGGACTCCTGATTTCGTTTGTTTTTTCTGATATGGGGTGTCAAAAACCAAGGTGCACACGGGCGCTAAACATAGAAAAAACTTGGAATGGCCTTAATAAAAAAAAAATTTTAAAAATCAAAAATTGTAATAATTAAGTGTCTAAATATCAGTGTCCTGACAATGTTGTGATCCTGACCTGTGATACAGTGATTCTTAATCAACTTCCTTCTTTCCATTTAAGAATATGTTAAATCTAAATTTGTAAATTGATAGGATAATTCAACTTTCACCTGAGTTAAGTCAAGGCTCAATGTAAAATTCAGGAGATATCCTAAAACTGAAGTGATATTTATTATCAGCTGAATTTAAAACATTTTGGACAAATATGGTTTCAACTGCCTTCATGGGTGGAGGAAATTTCAAATCTAAACAATGAACAATAACATGTACTCATAATATGTCAAGTGCAATAACTATGTGAATATATTCTAAAGAATGTTTGCATTCATCATTTGTTACTGCTATGCATACATGGCATGCCTCACAAAACATACAGAATTTTTTGGTTGCCTATTCGCTAAAAATTTAAACTGGTATGACATCTCAAAAAAAAAAAAAAAAAAAAAAAGATGAAAAGCATGATTATAATATTGAAATATTTTAACTTTATTCAAAAGATTTTCAAAGTGTGCATAATATACAAATACATGTAGTTAAAAAATCGATTTGAAAACTTGAAGCCTTTTCATCAACAGAAGATAAATTTAGAGACATGACCTTTACCTGATACGGTTTTCTGTCAAGGTCAGTAATTTCCTCATCCTTGACCCCGAATCTTTCTCTGTACAGCTGGACATTATGCTGGGCATTTATGTCATGTGGATGTTTTAAATAATAAGTAAAGGCTGCAGAGGCAGCTTGGGGATAATTCTTCAGCTGAAAAAATAATGATTCCATAAAGCATCTGTAAAATTAAACAGGCATTTACCACATCCTCCATTGAACATCTGGAAATCATTTAGATTCATACATAATTTCCCAGGGTTTTGTAACTAGAATTATCCTTCCTCAGACTAAATCATCAAAATAAAGATAGGGAAATACTCTCCTACTACTGTAACAAAGATTCATTTCTAAAAGAATTAGAATTGTTCTCCATCCTCTTTTAATGGATGAAAACAATTATAAATAAGTAATTGGTAGTTCACAATAAAATAACTGGATAAATAATAATAATGATTTTTTCTATGTATACAGGTAGAATAAAGAAGAAAAATAAAAACTATTATGGAAAATTGATTGTTTACATTCTTAATACACTGTAATAAGATTATACCCTCCTGGGCTAATCATCATTCAACAACTGTATAATCTATCTGCCAGCCCCCTGCCATGAAATCTCCTGCAGTCATCATCAAAAGATCAAGATAAGGGTTCATGGTAAATCTATTTTCTAAGATGTAAACAATCTCACAACGCTCACATGCAAGGAGATAAATTTACATGAATGAATTTTCAGTTCGAGAGAAGCCAGAAAAATACACCCCCCACCCCCCCTAAATATAGCTGTAGAAATCTTCTTTTTTATTTATTTTCAAGTGTCCATTATTAATTGTCCTTTAATATTTAAGAAAATCACAGTAAACACCCCCCTTTGACAAAAGCATAGCTGCAGATCTACAGATTTCAAAACTATACAACAGGAGTTATTTCCCTTTATATCGCATTTTCAGCATCTCTCACCTCATATTGGCAAAACTGAATAAACTGGTAATGTCGTCCATCTTCAAAATCTTTGTCTATCCTCACAGTGTTTGAATCGGGAAGATGTTCTGGTCTCCCTCCAAAAATTCTTATAAAACATCTTTTTAAGCATTTGGATTGATAAATAAAACTTTGAAAAATATTAATTTCTAAAATATCTAACACTTTTCTAGAATTCGTAAGTTTTTCTTCCAGAGTGCTGTTTTTCCTTCTACACTCAACACGACAGTTAATGGCATTCTTATGGTAGAAATGGTAATCTTCCAATGCTTTCTCGAAGAGAGTGTTTGCAACGGTGTAATTTTTCTCCCGGTGATGCTGAACTCCCAGTTCATAAAGTCTGTAATAAGTCACCAAAGGATCTTCTTCCAGTGCTTTAATAGTTATCAAAAGTGACACTGTACATAAAATTACGGAATGCATCGTTTAAAAAACTTCCAGTTACATGTAACTTACACGATATCTACACGCGTCTTACGATGAGATCACAGTCACATCAACGACTTTTGGGATAGTCCCTCGCACTCTCAAATAATTGCTCGATCCCGAACGGTGAGGATGATGAGATAAAATAATGATGAGTTGGTAAAACTCAAACAGTATAGAAATATAAATTTATAACATCATGCAAAAATATCCTTTTGATAAAAAATAACTTCTTTCGTGCCGAGATTTTATGTTTAGAACATAATTATTTCGATCGGGTTAGCATTGTAGCTCTTCAGTCTTCGGAGGTAAATAAAATTGCAAAATCATGGCTGACAATTCTCAACGGGAGAAAATCGAACAATTTACTAACCTGACCGGCGTTGATGCAGACAGAGCAAAGTTTTATCTTGAGTCATCTGGATGGAATATAGAGGTATATGTACAAAGAATAAGAAATGTAGCAATATTTCTTGATTAGAACGTTTAGAATATTGCCTTTTCATTAGAAATGTTGAAGATTTTTAGAGACTAATTAATTAAAATTGAATACGAATGTTGTTAAAACAACTAAAAAAACAAAACAAACAAACAACTTCCGTGAGTCCCTTAAGCTATATTGAAAAAAGAAATATCTTGACTATTGACAAGAATATGAATAGCAAAACTAATGTCTTAGTCACTGCTCATACTTTCTCTTCTGTAAGTATTTGTAGGCCTTGTACATGGTAGTGCATCTGTTGCAAGATTAATAAGACTGGCTCAGAAGGGTTGCATTACATTAATAATGTTAAATGTTCCACAAATCAAGATAGATTGATTTAATATGTTGACGGTGGGACCGTTGGGGGCAAGCGCAGTTATTCACTAAGATCTGCCTCTTCAAACCGCACGAAACATTTGGAATGTCTAGACTGTGACATCCCATGACATCGTATATTAGCTGCATATTTCCATAAATGAAGTTTGAAATGTGCAAAGTTTTAACTAAGAACGTACATTTAATCTACTATCTGTATGCAATATCCACTAAATCAAGGTGAGTTTATTTTTTGTGAATTTTTAGTTGTTGTTACCATGAGAACAAAGTTAGCAGCAAGATCCACTTGCATTGCATTGTGGGTCTTAAGGTAAATGCTGAAAAAAATCATTTGGATCAATGTGCAAAGTCTGAATTTTCTCTTTGCCCAGGCATTGTCTTTAGAGCTCGCATTGCTATTGGCACTTCGTGTCGCTTGCTGCGCTCGTTTAAATTTCTCTACTGGATTTTCTGATGTCTACATTGTCCTTATTTTCAGCTGGCAGTAGCTAGTTTCTATGAGCATGGTGAGGATGATGATGATGTACAGGTCCTAGATGCACCACCCCCTGAAGAAGATGTATCTATAGTTGAACAGCCCCCTCCTCAGAGAACAGGGGCCACAAAATCACGGTAAGCATTTGAATATATCTGTTCCCAGTTGGAATTTGTCCCTGTAATTGAGTTATACAAGAGCATTGTCAAAATTTTATGAATACTGTCAGACATTTGGATTTACAGAGCTTAAGATTTGTCAGTGCAAAGTTTTTACACAAAGCTCTATCAATCCAAATACTGAGTACCTTCTTTTGGTTGTTCAAGTTTATCAGATACCTGGACTGATACAAAAAAAATGTTGTTCCAAATTGTTTTTTTTTCCAATCTTGCTGACAGGACAAATGTTTTTACCACAACTCAAGTTACAGTAACCTTACTTGTTAGGGAGCAGGGGATTGCAGTGTTAAAAAACCCTTCTTCAAAGAATGAGAAACAGCCTAAGAGTTGGAGATCTATGTGTCTTGTTGAAATCTATACTCATTTAATTATAACATGTAGCTCACGATCTTTCTCACAAACCATTACCAAATTACTGATTTCTTTTTTGCAGGTTTGGCACTATCTCTGGTCTCACACAAAGTGACAGTGAAAATTCCGATTCCGATGAGAAGGGACAGGCCTTTTATGCAGGGGGATCAGAACATAGGTATTAAGTTTATCAATGAACAGCCTCACTATAAGTGTTTTCTCTCAAATGTTTTCTTTTTGATTGTTGCTCACAATATTTACAAGCACTATATAAGATGTTATTTTATTGGTGAAACTTCTTTTTTTTTCAGTGGACAGCAAGTTTTAGGGCCACCAAGGAAAAAGGAAAGTGGGAAGAAAATTGTGGACAATCTGTTCAAATCAGCAAGAGAGTATGAACTAAACAATTTATAAGAATGTTAATGTTTGTGCATAAAACGTGAAAATCATTGAAGCGAAATGGGCTATAGTTAGGGATGAGTATTTCCAAAAATTGTTGTATCACGATTTTTCCCAAAATATCATGATAGTATCATGATATTTTTACATGCAAATTTTACAATGATTTTAAATGAATATCTGTAATTTTTCTGACATATATGCTGGAAAAACATAAGTTCACTTTTTTTAAACATATTTTTATTTACATAATATAAAGCATGCATGTATTTAGATGCTAAGATGCCATTCTTTTACCATTTTCAACTTTTTCTTTTACACTTCCTATAATTGTAATTTGAAAGTTTGAACAAATAAATGAATATTTGCTGGAATTTATAGTTATGTATCTAAATACCCAGGGTTCGAAATTCACTATATACAACTCGCAAAATGCGAGTTAGAATTCCCAAATTGCGAGTGAAAAATTAGGTAACTCGCAAAAACTTGCAAGTTGATTTTTTTGCATTGAAACTGTAACAAAATTATATAATATGACAGAACACAATGCTTTTGATTTAAATCAGTAATTAAACTAAAAGTCACACTGAGTTGTATTTTGTGTATTGCACAATAGTTACTTTTTCCTTAAGTTACATGTATTTAATTTATATAAATTTAACTTTATATGAAAATTGCGAGTAGTCTTATAATATTGCGAGTTCACTTTATTGGTACTCGCAATTATTTGCGAGTTGTAATTTTAGGGAGTTTCTAACCCTGAATACCCGTATTTTAGTTTCCATATCATGATATGTATCACACAAAAATCACAGTATACCTGTATACCTATAAAACTGCCCATCCCTAGCTATAGTAGGCATTTGCATCTTCTCTGCCATTTAAAATATTGTTAATCTACATTAAAAAAAAAAGTATATAACATACAATGTAAGATTTTAAAAGATAGGATTTATATTTTCAGACATGGAGCTGAGGAAGTTGGGGAGGGTTCAGAAACACAGACCCAGGGAGCTAGTCGTTTTGCTTTCCGTGGGGCAGGATACAAACTAGGGGAAACAGAGGATGACCCTGTCAGTGTGATACAGGGAAAACCCATAGAATCAGAGAAAAGACAGGTAAAGGATTGTAGGGAACACCTATAGAATCAGAGAAAAGACAGGTAAAGGACTGTAGGGAAAACCTATAGAGTCAGAAAAAAGACAGGTAAAGGAATGTAGGGAAAACCTATAGAATCTGAGAAAGGAAAGGTAAAGGATTGTAGGGAAAAACCTTTAGAGTCAGAGAAAGAAAAGGTTATGGATTGTAGGGAAAACCTATAGAATCAGAGACAAGACAGGTAAAGGACTGTAGAGAAAAACCTATAAAACCAGAGAAAAGACAGGTAAAGGATTGTAGAGAAAAACCTTTAGCATCAGAGAAAAGACAGGTAAAGGATTGTAGGGAAAACCTATAGAATCAGAGACAAGACAGGTAAAGGATTGTAGGGAAAAACCTATAGAATCAGAGACAAGACAGGTAAAGGATTGTAGAGAAGAACCTTTAGAGTCAGAGAAAAGACAGGTAAAGGATTGTAGGGAAAACCTATAGAATCAGAGAAAGGAAAGGTAAAGGATTGTAGGGAAAAACCTCTAGAATGAGAGACAAGACAGGTAAAGGATTGTAGGGAAAACCTCTAGAATGAGAGACAAGACAGGTAAAGGATTGTAGGGAAAACCTCTAGAATGAGAGACAAGACAGGTAAAGGATTGTAGGGAAAAACCTATAGAATCAGGGAGAAAGAAAAAGAGGGAAGTTAGGGAAAACCCTTGAAATCGTAGAGAAAATTGGTTAGAAATCCAATTATAGGAAAACTCAGAGAGAGAAGATAAGTTAGGTGGAAGCAAAGAAGAAATGGTAAGAATGATAGGGAAAAACTAGTAAGGAGGAAGATGGTTGACCATTGTCGGGGGAATTGTTGTTCCTTACCACAACAAACAGAGCATTATTCTTCAAAGGCATAAGTCTAATTTGAAGGTAAGATAGGAGACAGATTTAAAATATGGTATGGGTTGCAGTGAATTTAAAAACTGTTCATTCATTCTGGAAACATAAATACATTTAGCATCCATGACTTGCCAACATATAAAAAAACCCCAAAGAAGATGGCTTAAATAGATTAATTATTAAGAAGAATTTCATATCTTTAGAAAAGCTCAATTATTTGCCAAAAATTATTAAAAAAAAATTACTAGTAAGCAAAAAGCATGCATAGATATGTTGATATTTAGAATTCTTGTGTTTATTTCCAGTTTGACTATTATTCCAGGTTGACATGGTGCTTAAGTTATGGAAGAATGGATTCAGTGTCGATGATGGCCCTCTGAGAGATTTTCAGGATCCAGCAAACAAAGAATTCCTAGACGCTGTGTCAAGGGGGTCAATATCATTTATTTATCCTTAGAAATAGAAATATAATGTAGAACATAGCTTAGTTTTCCTTGGAATTGAAAGAAAATGTAGAAAATACATGTACTTTATTTTCGTGCAATTTTCTGGCTTTAGTGAGGTTCCGAGGGAGCTAATTAGCAGAGGGAAGGAAGTTAATTTAAATATGGAAGATCATCGTACAGAGGACTATGTCCAACCCAAAGTTACAACCAAACCTTTCACAGGTGCTGGCCATATGTTGGGAAGGTATGAGTTAATACAACCAAACCTTTCACAGGTGCTGGCCATATGTTGGGAAGGTATGAATTAATACAACCAAACCTTTCACAGGCTCTGGCCATGTGTTGGGAAGGTATGAATTAATACAACCAAACCTTTCACAGGCTCTGGCCATGTGTTAAGAAGGTATGAATTAATACAACCAAACCTTTCACAGGCGCTGGCCATGTGTTGGGAAGGTATGAATTAATACAACCAAACCTTTCACAGGCGCTGGCCATGTGTTGGGAAGGAATGAATTAATACAACCAAACCTTTCACAGGCTCTGGCCATGTTTTAGGAAGGTATGAATTACAGGTGTAATAGGGCAATATCGGGCATACGTAAGGAAATGTCAAATTTTTCTCTTTACCAGTTTTAGAAGCCTTAAGAATTTAAAGTAATCACTCTGTCTATTTGTATGTCTGCAGATTTCCAGAATTAGATATAACTTCTGTCAAAATTTTCTCATAAGAAATAAATTTAATTTTGTAGAGATTTAGCAAGTTGAGACACATTTTGAATTTTATGTTCAGGTCATCTGGATAGATGTATGTTTTATTTTTTTTAAGTTCACATTTAATTGAATTTCAAATGATTAAAATAAAAAAAATGGGAGGTTTAAAGTTTTTCATTTCTGCTATATCTGTATGTAAATACCAGTACATGTACATGTGCAAAAAATATTTATTTTATAGCTGAATTTAGGAAATGCACTATTTTCTTTGAATTTAATAATAAGTGTAGTTATTCATGAAAACATTCTTTTTCTTCAAGTTTTATTTTTATTGAAATTATCAAATTAGAATTCTCATTCGCTCCCCCATATATCACCACTGATGATTTCTTATTTAAGACAGTAAAGTTAGTGTGTAACATCATATGCAACTTAAATAAAGGTAATAAGTTTATTGACTTTTTACTTGTTAGTAAGTATACATCTAAATATAACTCCTAAATAATTTGTTGTAGCCCAGCACCAACAGTTGTCCGATCTCCAGGCACGTCATCCAGTAGTTCTGCGTCCACAGAAGAAGCAGCAAAACAAGGGGTCAAGGTCAACGACAAGGCCCCGACAACAAACCTTCAGGTCAGATTGGCCGATGGATCACGGTAAGTCTTATAACTTATTTACTGTCGTGCAGTCATAATTATTTTGAAAATTGAAATGATTTTTTAAATACAAGTATTCGTATGATAGTGCAAGATGTTATAATTTGGTGATTTTTGTAAAAATTTGTAATATTCTATAATTTTGATGATATTTTTATAACTTTGTGGCATTTGTATAACTATGTAATATCTGTAGGATGTTATGATATTTATTTTATTGACAGGTTAGTCATAAAGCTGAATCACACACACCGAGTTAGGGACATCAGGAATTACATCGTAACGTATCCTTTTAATACGGAAACTGATAGGTCTTCAAAAATCTTTTTTTCTTCCTTAGATTTTTTTTAATTTCAAATTTTGGGATTATTTTGTTTAGATAAGTCAGAAAAAGGAAATATGTCTTATTTGGATTGATTTCAACAAAGAGGGGTCTTATTGATAAAATGTTACATTAAAGAGCTAGGTTCACTTTATGCATAAAATGGCCCTGTCCATGTACCAATGAATTGACAAACACCCTATGTCCCATTTCAAACATCAACATAGAGACTTTGTGCTTTCATTTCCTAAATTGAATTTTCTCTGAGAATCCAGGTATTGGAAAACAGGGTTTTCAAAATTGCAATATTCTTGGAATTTTGCAGAAAACAGTTGTATTTGAGTACCATTAGAAGTGAAATAAGAGCACACCCTCAATCCAAAAATAAAGCATACAGTCAAACTTCATTATCTCAAACTCAATGGGACCGAGAAAAAACTTTGATATATCCAAGGGTTCGAGATATTGAGGGTAAAATACTTAAAGAAAAGAACTTGGGACTTCCAAATCACTTCGACATATCCATGGTGTTCGAGATATCTGTGTTCGAGATACCGAAGTTCAGCTCTATTTTTCATTCTTCAGAAACATTTCTATCATAATATAATTGCACATTTTAGATCAGAGGTTGTGCTCTATACAAAATATTGAAAAACAGCTTAAGCTTTTGTTCATTTTTGAAGAAATTTTCAGGATATGGGAATAAGTACGCAATTTACCTCATGATGCATTGACTAGAAGAAAAATCATTCATTTTCAGTAGAAATGCAGTCAGCAAGGGTCCTAGTAATATTTGATGCATTATCAACTATAACTGTGCAGTTTTGATTTTTTCAGAATTTTACGGGCCAAAAAAGTCCATACATGAACCTTGCTCTTTACTGAAGATTTTTTTAACACAAGCAGAGCTGCCTACATAATGAAATGAAAAATTATAAGGAGGGGTCCAGGGCTGCCTAGACCCCCAGTTGCTGGAGATTTTTAGTCATTTCGTTTACTATAAAATGATTTAGATCCCTTGTTAGCATAGAAATGGCAATGACAACAAAAGCAATCAATGTGAGAAATAATAGTGACCACTGAAGATGGAGAACTTTAAAATCCCAGCATTTTGAAACTTTGATGGAGAAATACAAAAATTGAAAGAATAAATAGAAAATTCATAAGGTGTATCTTAGGTGCTCAAACCATAAGCCTTACAGCAAAATGGTAAGGGTGCCAGCTCTGCACAATACAAAAATATCTTATAAATCTGCAAAATTCAAGAGTTATTTTAATTTTCGTTGAATTTATGTCTTATTACTTGTAAAATTTTGAGATTATTTTGCTATGGATACACAGATACAAAGATAAATGGCTCCCTATTTGTGTGGCATTTATTATATAATCTGATATTAGTATTTTGTGTTAATTTTTTTTTTCACATGAGATTATCAGAGTTGATCTTAACTCATTCCACAGAGCCCGTCCAGAATATGCCTCATCAAACTTTGTCCTGTTGACAACTTTCCCAAACAAAGAACTCTCAGATGAAAATCAAACCTTAGCAGATGCCAAACTATTAAATGCAGTCATAGTGCAAAGACTCAAGTGAATAGGACCAGTGATATTGCATAGTTATCTCCCTTAGGGTGCATTCAAAGAGATTTTAAAAAAAGCAACTAAGAAAAATATTACATTAGATCTCTTTATTTATCTTGAATAATTTGTTTTTTATTTCAACAAATTATTAAAAATTTGTTTTTAAAGTTTCAAAGTAAAAATTGATATAGCACTCAGAAACAAAAGTTTTGCGAGTGCCGTGTCAACTCTCTTTGTAGTCCATGTCTACGATTGTTGTCTTATAACAAGACGATAATCCTGAATATAAAAAAATAAACTTGTTGATAATACCTGAAATGTTATTGGTGTCTCTCCTGTTATTATTTCAGTTACTTTCCTCTTATTAAACAAATATTTCGTAGACCTTTGGGTGCATGTTGGGAGGGGGGAATGTATGTTACTAAAATCCCAGTCCATTTAGGCATTGATTTTCATCAATACATAAGAAACAATTATTTGTTAGAATAAAAAATTATCTTTTGAAAGTGTTTCTAATAAACTTTTTATAATATTTTATTTGGAGTAGGAAGCACATGGGTTTTAAATAGTACCTAGAGGGTAACTCTTCAAAAACAGGAGAATTTGGAAAAAAAATTCCATATTTTACAGTTTGTTATCTAGGGGAAAACTAGTGGATAAAACCATCCTCACTGTGTGATAAAGGATCAGCCAATCCTACAGACAATGTATTCAGTGTTTTCCCTTTATTTCAGAGCAAAAGGATGGAGATCAATTGTAACAGGCTTTGGGTTGAAGATTATGCAAATCTCTGTGGACCTTACAACAATGTAATTTTGATTTTTTAAAATTTATATATATATTTTTATTTCGAAGCGGCATTTATATCAATTGAAGCAGTCAATTTGGCCGCTAGCCGGTTCTTAGGGAAAATACTGATGTACTAATACAAAGGATATCAACCAACACAATAGATCCTATAGGCCTGGTGATAATATCAAATATTATACTTTCATGTAAATTAGTTGAATCTGATTCGTCGAGAAACATTTGTTAAAAAACACTATTACCCGCTGAATAATGAAGCCACACCCACCAGCGTAACAACAGTTAACATTGGTTGACGACGGGTGTTATTCCAAAAAATATTGACTGCGCAGAATTCATGCGCGCAAGGTTCACTGTAATATGTATTTGTATAAAACATTCAGTATAATATAATAAATACTGCATGTAGTTGAGTGTAACATTGAAAATTTTCACCCCTCGAAAACCATTGTCAACCTCGGCTGCGCCTCGGTTGACAATGGTTTTCTTGGGGTGAAAATTTTCAATGTTACACTCAACTACATGCAGTATTTATATATTAACGGATATCAACACAATAGATCCTATAGGCCTGGTGATAATATCATTAAAGAATATCAATGCAATAGATCCTATAGGCATAGTGCTAGAACAAAGAATATCAACACAGTAAATCCTATAGGATGGTACTTATATTAACAAAGCAATCAAATAGGACATTTTTTATTGCAGAATTAACATTTGTACATAATATACATATTTGTATAATTTTTGTGTAAATTAAAATGTTCTATAAACACAGATCTATAAAATAAAAGTTGTATCAATCACAAAACTGAAGTTCTTCATGATATCATGAAAGTATAATTCACAGCAGTTTGTAAAACAGGAATATCAACCCAAATAAATCTACAACTGACAATGTTCATGATTACTGGCTGAAAAGTCCCAATGAAAATTTATAAAAAAAAACAAAAAATATGAAACTCATTGGCTGACAATATTTTGGTGACAGTAACTCAAGCCAAGTATGTAGTTCAAATGTTCAAAAAGTAGTCTGTTTTAACTTAAATGAAATTCAAGTCATCCCCTGGCAACTGTATAGTTTTAATTTTTTTGATAGTAATTTTTCTGTTTTCTTAAAATCTGTTTTTGCTTCATATTCAGTTTATTCAGTTCCCCCCTTCATTCATTATATGTATGTATTAAGTTTTACAACAGTACTCTCTTTACCATTATATACTACAGTAAAACTCAGCGAAGTACTGGGGACCTGTGAATTTACTTCATTATACATGTATCTGTAATTCGTTATATCTATAACAAATTTGTTAAAGTATATATTGTGAATTTGCAATGTACGTTTACCTTCAAGAATGACTACTGAATATGATCAGGGAAGTATTAAGAACAGAACTTACCTTGGATTACACTAAAGTTTTCTTATAAATTGAAAGTCAAATGTTAATACATGTACTTAGTATGAAAAAATAATGTCAGTTCCTATTTTAAATTTTGTAATCTTGAAAAATTTATTATAAAAGAGGCAATTTTTGTCATTTTTAACCTCTATGGGGCACAAAATCAGTTCACTATATCCATAAATACACTATATCAGAGTTCGTTATAACAGTAAAATTTTACAAGGAATCGTTAAGAATTTAGTTAGGGATCCCCCAAAACTTTGCTATATCCATGTTATACTAAACAAGTTTTACTGTAGATATATCCGCTAAAAAAGGCAGAAATGAAACTGACAAAGACATAAAAGATAAAGCCTTGTATGTATTTTTGCATTCCTGAAAGGAAAAAAAAATTATTAAAAAATTGCATGTACTGCAGAATCATCACTTTTAATGGGAGACCAATGTTCATGGGTCTCCCTTACCCACAAATTTACATCTCCATCAATTATAACATTATCAATATATATCTTCATTTCATTTTCATTATTTATGAGTGCCACAAAATTACATCCCTATGAACCAGTAAAATTTTGATTACCCATGAACATTGACCCCCTCAAATTAAAATGATTCCACAATAGTGGAAGTATCTAGATTAAGAATAAAAAATAACGACCCAAAACTTTCAAAGAGGGTTTTTTTGGTCCATAATAGATTCATAAAGTGTCTGAAAAAATATTAATGTCAACAAAAATCACTTTTCTTTAATTAATAAATATTAATTCGACCTGACTTCTAGGCAAGATTTATGGATATACCAGACATATTGCCTAGACTTACACTGAAAAAAACAGGAATACTTTGTACACAAAATTCAAAAAAATATTACAAAATTAATCATATTTATACAATTCAAACTTAATTCTCTTCATGTCTAAAAATAATTATGCATACAGACTCTAAGATATGAACCAAACTGATATGTAACAATTTAAGAGCACAAAAAAGCTAGTACTGTCTTAAAATCCTTGGTATTTTTTTCTTCCCTTTGAGTTAAATTTCTGTACATCTAAATTTATGATATATGTATGTACATTGACAAAGAATTTTTCATGAAAGCTTCAGCAAACATTTTATTTTAATTGAGTACCAAAGCTCAGAAAAACAAAGGAAGACCAGATATTGCAGATCAGTCTAAATCTCAAAAATGAAAATAATGATGTTGCGTAATTCTTTTCATAGAAATGTTGACTACGATACAAAAATATTAGAAACTGTAAATCTACCAGATCTGAATTATTAGCAAAAAAGCTGTCATAAAAGTGGAGGCACTTAATGCTTCTGGGCACTTTTATATCAACTAATGGACAAACACATTTTGTAAATAATGATTATATAGACATGTAAACTTGTTCAGATATATATGAAAAAGGCACAGGTGTTATTTACTAATTGAAACATGAGGCAATCATGGTTCAGGTCATTGAGATTCTTTGGCTTTTACAAAATAAATTAAACAAATCAAAACATCTATATACCAACAAAAGACTAAGTGTCCTAGTAGCTAAACTGCTAATCCCCTGATCTGAAACTCAACTGGAAATAACATACTCCCTGCACAGCAGATATTTGTCTATGGACAACCTTGACCTAGTCCTTGTGTCAATGTCACAGCAAAACCCTGATAAGCAAATAAAGAGCATAGAAATGCCTCTTTTATAACAATTTTACGGACTGGACAAAGATTCTGACAGAATAATAGACAGGTTAACAGGGGAATTCTACAATATTTCTTTTCCTAACTCCACTGGAAACTACAGCACAGTGACAAGATACTAGACTTCTCAATGGCATCCACAGGATGTGACGATCATCTTAGGGAATTTTTTCAGAACTACATTACCATCATCATCAAAGTAGAGTACGGACTGGGCACTGAGCTTTGATGGGGCACACCCAGGGCTGGGGGCCTTATAGGGGGTATACATGTGGACAAGTGTCTGTACAATGGCATGATTTGTGGCGTTAACATGATTTCCTATGGGAAATGAACATTCTCCCTCACAGAAGAAAGCATGGTATCCATCAGGGGCTATAATCCAGCTCTGCCAAAATGTTAAAAATAAATTGCAGTATGTAAAAAAATAATTGAATAAAACATAAAAACTACAAACATCACCTGAATTATCGAAGGAAATTTAAAACTTATCTTTGTATATTTATGAGTTTCATTAAAATGCAATCAAACATGAGTCAGAAATTTAAAAAAAAAAAAAATCAATTCTCCCCTTCAGATGACATTTTCTAATACACTGTACTTGAAACAAGAGAGATAAAAGAAAGTGTTATTAAAACCTTCTCATGTCAATCTGTATCTGATTTATCAGTTTTCAGAAAATAGAATGGCATTCTTTTTTTCTGAATTCATTTGCATTGGTAATCAATTGATTATAAGCTTTGATGTCATTTTTTGCATGATTGTGGCTTATTTTTAGAAAACTGATTAATACCTGCCACCCAAGATCTCGGAACTTGACATACAAGGATCGCCTCTGACATGGCCACCTTCCTGCACCCCGCTTGTGACCTACAGCATTGATCATTAAAATAATTATTGTTATTTTCCTATTTCTAGTATACACATCTCACATACTTTTTGTAAATAAGGAGAAGTTACCCCTTAGAATGAAGTATGTTTGCTTTAAATATCATCTCCATTTGAAATCAACCGGAGCATGTAGCTCTAGTGTGTTTAATTACTCTGTAAACATAAGAACAAGTCTGCTCTGTTCCCTCGTTAGATGACGGGGATGATAACAATGTTTGTGATGATGACACATCTATTGTAACCCTTACTTCATGATAGTTTGATACAATCAGCACATACAACAGATGATTTTACAGAAATTACAGCACACATTTCTCCAGGTCCTAGGGACTTTACAGACAAAAGAACCCCCAAGATTTGTAATAAATTACATCAGATAATCCTGTGATGATGGTATGAGCTACACTGATATCTATATGGTCCTGTGAATCTGTAATTCTCTTAATATGATTAAAACCATTAAATTTAGATCAACTTACAAAAGCGAGAAAGCTTTAGATACACTCCCTGGTCTATAGATATATATACACTCCTTGGTCTTTATTGCTGGTCAATTTAAGATTTACAGACTGGAGTTGAAATCCCAAATGTAACTGTTGCCTTTTGTAGCTTCATCTTGTTAGTAAATTAAGAACTTCCTCTTTGTTGACAGATACTTGCAATTATGACGATGACCTAGTTCTAGACCCCCCCCCCCCCCCCCCCCGACTTAATTCATATACATGTACTTTTATCTAATAGCAATGCTGTACAATATATTATATTGGTATGTATATATTATTAGTCCCTTGCATCAAATAATTTAAAATATGGATAAATTTACACATATACATTTCTGTTGGATCCATTCTTCTTTTGGCATGAATATATTCTGCATAAAATTATCTGTATCTCACTTTCAATGCATTGTTAAGGAGGATATTCAATGTTTACGAGACAAACTGAGGATACTCAATACTTACGAGACAAATTATAATCCTGGTATTTTTCTTTCTCCTCCCTGTAGGAGTACAGCTCCCGCCGTCGTCTGAGGGCTGTTCGTGTCCTGTGGGGATAAACCATTTCTTGTGAGGAGAAAAATCCCACCATGAATGGCCTCTTATCCTCTGAACCTTTATAACTGATGATACCCAGTTTGTTAGGGTCAATTTCTCTACCTACAATATAGAGATACATATTAGACACTTAGTAGCTGATAATACCCAGTTTGTTAGGGTCAATTTCTCTACCTACAATATAGAGATACATATTAGACACTTAGTAGCTGATAATACCCAGTTTGTTAGGGTCGATTTCTCTACCTACAATATAGAGATACATATTAGATACTTAGTAGCTGATAATACCCAGTTTGTTAGGGTCGATTTCTCTACCTACAACGTAGAGATAAATATTAGATACTTTGTAACTGATGATACCCAGTTTATTTAATAGGGTCAACTTCTCTACCTACAATGTAGAGATAAATTTTAGATACTTTGTAACTGATGATACCCAGTTTATTTAATAGGGTCAATTTCTCTACCTACAACGTAGAGATAAATATTAGATACTTTGTAACTGATGATACCCAGTTTATTAGGGTCAATTTCTCTACTACAACGTAGAGATAAATATTAGATACTTTGTAACTGATGATACCCAGTTTTTTAGGGTCAATTTCTCTACCTACAACGTAGAGATAAATATTAGATACTTTATAACTGATGATACCCAGTTTATTAGGGTCCCTAACAAAATGAGTATTATCAGCTACAAAGTAACTTATATATAACTTTATTATAAGGGATGATTTGACTTTCTTCACAGACTTAATTTATCCTGCACCAGGGTTTTTCTAGGGGTTGTAGGGGGGCCTGTAATAGGCCCCATTCCCAATGGTAAAAAGTATGTGTTTTTCCCAATTTCATCAAAGAAAATTCCCAAAAGATGATTTGAAGCATGACATTAAAGTCAAATAATTCTAAATATTATAGAAAGAATAGAACTTACAACTTAACTGATTTTCAATAAGATTTATTGAATGTAAATAAGTCAATAAATGCCTTGCAAGTAAAGAAATGACTCTTATTTGAATTTTTTCTATAAAAATGTGAATTATGATATTTTCCCCAATTTTAACTAAATGTCGCTAATTTTTCCCAAATGGAAAGGCCCAGGCCCTTGATTTTAAGACCTAAATAAAAACCCTGTGCACAGCTTTATATTTCTGCTACTGCTCTGTTTTGTTTTGTTTTGTTTTGTTTTTTTTTACTTATACAGAAATGTTTGTAGGAGGACAAAATGTTTACACTAACAGTGCAGTACTAAATGTAACACATAAACAGAAAATTTCAAAGATGAGTGAAAATTGAATATTATAGTAACCATGAGAGAAATCATATGTACATCTGTCTATAGATGTGTGTCTTACTCCTAATATATCAAACATCAAATCCCATATACATGTAGTTATTTATATGGCAAAAATAATGTTAATACACTGGACATTACTAATAATCATACTGGACCACAGAAATATCAATGTCACCATTAGATTAACGTTAATATCAAAATAACAGGTGGGTCTGGACCACACCACACATCAAAATACAACTGGCCAAGCCTGGAAGAGCATACTCCCTGATTATTTGAAGCCATGCATTATCATTTCTTTAGCAAACATAGAAATTTTCCAGAATTTTACTGCATTATCTGAAAATTTGTGTGTAGGAAGTCACAGTGGAAACATGTGGTATTACAGGAGAATTCTTTACTGAATGACTTCTCCTTAGAACAAACTGCAGATGCCTTCCTCAATCTGCTTAGTGCTATACATCTGCAGTTCTTCTGTATGATTTTAAAAACAAAGGTAACAGGTATTCTTATGTACACCTGTAGATTACCATAATCAAGATGCCAAGATTTACAGTCAAAAATGGTGAACTGACAATAAAGTATGTATGTTTAACATAAACAGAGAATTTTATTCACTTTACAGTTGCAAATTCTGGATATATGATAACAAATTTCATAAAATACTGGATATACAGTCAAAATTGGTTATCCTGAACTAGATGGGACCGAGAAAAACTTAAAGACATATGAGAATTTAAGGTTATAATACATGAAGAAAGAGTAGCTGGGACTTCCAAGTGACTTTGACATATAATGGTATTCAAGTAATCTGTGTTCAAGATGAGGAAATTCTACTGTATATGAAAAATTTATGAAATATTAATTGGGATATGCATGTCAAATGATAAATATTGACAGGATACAATGACTGATATCAACTGCATATCATGACTGATATCAACTGGATATCATGACTGATATCAACTGCATGGATATCAGAAATGATAAAAAGAAGTAATTTAAACCTCTAAGGTCAGATTGTAGCCATATTTTATACAGTATAGACAGTGCACAAAAGCATTTATTAAATGTACAGTGTATATCCTCAAGTCTTTAGCCCAACAACAGCTGTAATTCTTAAGAGTCGTTCTCTGTAAGCATCAAAATGGGTGGAAATTGACTGTCACTGATTTTGTTGAAACTTGGTGAAATAATTACATTATAAGCCCATTTTACAAATATATTATTGGAAATGATCAATTGGTCTTGTTTCCATGGCAACAGGTCACGTATTTTCGTACATAAATGGTGGAAAATATCAATAAATGTAATTTCACCCGATAATATATATTTAATTAATATAGGTGATCATTATGAATTTTTTTCCTAAAAATAATTTGTATTTTTTATACAAGAAAGTTGCAAAAAAATCTTGGACTTTCCAATAAATGCCAAATAATATTTTTAATAAAAATGCTTTAAAAAGGGGGTGGAACATAACAGAAATTTAAGATGAAGTTGGCATAATTTCAGTAGGCCGCTCCATATTTTTGGCCTTAAAATGGTGGTTTTGGTTACCATGGCAACCATTACTCAAATTTAATAATTGACCCCAAATATGCTCTATACATGGTGTTTCTACATTACATGCAAAATATCAGCCAAATCTGTGATGTACCATTTCTAACTTTTTTCTAAATTCTTTGATTCTTACAGAGAATGACTCTTAAATTGTTTTCATGATAAATTAATATCTACAAATTACACATACAATCAAAATTACATAAACTGGTCAAAAAAAATCTTGGCAAATGTTTGGTTTCCTTAATACAGAAGGTAAATGTGTTTTCCAATACACAAATAAAACCATTCAAACCTATTCAGTATTCTAATAGCATTAATATAATTTAAGCACTGCAAGTAAACACAATGTTTTCTGTATATCTGAGGTAATCTGTCGCTTGAATTAAATCTTAGTTTGGTAGACATGTAGAGATTCCATCCCCTTCTCAATACCATTTCAGTCTCATTGCATCATATTTAAAATTTAACATTTTTATCAGCAATATTTCCTCAGTTACACAGATATAGTGAAAGTTTTTTAGGAACCTCAGCAAATTCTTAATTATAAATTCTTGGTAAAATTTTATTGTATAACAAACTTGGATATCAAATCTATATGTACTTGTATATAGTGAATTGATTTTGTGTTCCATAGATGTTAAAAAAAAACCCCACAATATAGTAGGTCTTTTATAACAAATTTCAAGATCACAAAATTTAAAGTATCGAAATGACATTATTTTTAGTAAGTACATGTATTTATGTTTGAAATTGAATTCATCAGAAATTTTCAGTTCTCCGCTGAAGATATTCAGTAGTCATAATTAAAGGAATTTGCTATACATGTATATATAATTGAACAATTTAACTCGATATATGAATTTAATGAATTATGGATACAGTGAAATAAATTCACAGGTCCCCAGAACTTTGCTTTAACCAAGTTTTACTGTTTTTTTTTTTTTGAACTTTTTTGGGGGGAGGGGCGTGTTTATCTTTTAAAGATACCAGTATATGTAATTTTTTATCCTATAGTGATCATGGTAGATATTTATATACGACAGAAAAATGATGACACAAAATCCTTGTAATCTCTAAAGAATGCAGAAGTAAAACCTCACTAGAGTTTTACATAACTTTCTCATCTGCTGTCAAGATAAAAACCCTTTTAATACAGATATTTCCAGAGAAGATATCCTTTAAATGGACTTGTCAAATCCCAAACTTGTCAGTCCTGTGACTAACTGAGCCTTTATATTGCCTGACATTTTATAGACTAGATTCCCTTTATCTTGTGTTGTGTTCTGGACTAGAATTTAATTTTATCCAAAGACTGTGGATCAAAGCTAAAGCACAGGTGGCAGAAAAACTCAGGCGTGCAAAACAATGTTTAATGGGTGCTGTGTACAACTGAAGAAAAGTTTACAAATAACTTAAAAGACATTTTGTAAACCATGAACCGCTAAGAAGTCTGTTTTGAATAGATTTGGTAGAAATTAAAAGGTAATACCTTTGAAGACTTTTATAAATTCACGTTATATGGAAATAAAATTAAATCAAATCATATCATTTGTAAATGATCAAAAGCCGATTGTGGTTTATCAATATGAGAAGTAACAACTGAAACTAAAGGCTGAGAAATAATCATATCTCACTAAACCACAGCTATGTCAAATTAACCTGACTGCTTTTAACCACTCTACTTATATATGCTGGCCTTGATTATAAACTGAGTGCCAGGTGTGAATTAATTGTGATATCTAGACCATGGAGGATTGTAACATTGTTTTAATATTTTTTAAATATCATTATGAATAGAAGTTTGTGAGACAGCTAGTCCAATGTACTACTACTCTACTTAATTTGTACACAGATTTAAGAATCATCTTGATATAAATAGTAATTTTTTGCAATATGCAATATAAAGATTTTATGACAACAATTTATTTTAGCTACAGGGGCATTATTCCAATGTGATCAAATGGCTGTATATTAATTGTTTTATCACTTTAACACTTAAGTTTTGATGGTCATTTTCTCATCAATGTATATTAAATAAATGAAGAGAAGTATAAATGACAGACAGCACTACTTACAGTTCCAGAGTAGGGATTGATGACATCACAATCACAAAGACTGATGACATCACAATACAAGCACTGATGGTAAGGACTGAATAAAGTCTTATGATATCACAATCACAAAGACTGATGACATCACAATACAAGCACTGATAGTAAGGACTGAATAAAGTCTGATGACATCACAATAACAAGGACTAATGACATCACAATAACATCAAAAACAAGGAACTTCTCAAATGAAGTACAAACTGGATATTGAGTGTGTAATATTACTTCTAAGGTTTGTTACTGACTGCATACAGAAATCTATTGGACTGATCAATCTCTTAGATGGTGAACACCATGTACACTGTTATAAATTATTCCAACTACATTGTTACAGGATTGTTAGACATCAGCTCTGGCCTTCCAGACATAAAAATTAGCCAGCAGTCACGTGTCACGTTTAAACCAATGAATGTGTGACATATTTCAGTCTTAGGGCTGGGATGATATATCGAGATATCGATAATATCGATTCAATGTGAGGATGATATGCATATCGATACTTATGAAGAAATATCGAAATACATGTATCACAAAAAAATTCTGACTTATGTTTTTCTTTGTTTACTTAATATTTTGGGTTAAATATATTATAATATAAATATGCTGAATATTAATATAAATATGAAATACATAATAATTAACATGACTTGTGTAAAATTATTTTCTTTTACAACAGGTATACAACTTCTTTGAATAAATTATTCTTATTTGTGAAGAAATGTTTTGTTTATTTAAATATAAAAAAGACATTTTATAACCAATTCAATATATCGTGATACATATCGTATTGTGCCTCAAATATCGTGATACATATCAATATAGAAAAAGTTCTATCGTCCCAGCCTTATTCAGTCTGAGGGAAAATAGATGTGAATAGTTTGAATCATGGCTCTAGTGGAGGGCTATAATATGGAGTCAAAGTTATATGTAACATTTTATATAAAAATAAATTATATCTTTGAAATTTTCTTCCACAGAATTTTATAAAAGGCTATAAAGAATTGTCCATAAAATTTAGTGAGGGGCAATGCCAGAATAACTGGGGGATTATGTCATTATAGGTGGGGAAACTCCCTGTTCCTGGGTCGTATGCACAACCCTGCTATAAAACTAGATGTGTCGTTATTGCCACGAATGCCCCCCCCCCCCCCCCCCAATCAGGCAAAATTTCAAATGCAATATTTAGTTTTAAATTTGTGTTCAAACTTGACCCATATTTTCTGGTAAAATACATGCATATGCAATTTCAACCTTTTACATACATCCCTACAAAAGTTAGAGAGTGGATTCTGCAACTAAAAATTTTATTTTTTCTAATTTCAAGAGGGATAACTCTGTCAAAAATCATCTGACCATGACCAAATTCAAATTTGACCTCTGTTTTCTGGTGAAGTACCTCAATATGCAATTTCAACCTTATACATATATCCTTACAGAAGTTAGAGGGTGGAAACTGAAAATTTCTTATTTTTTTCTAAGTTCAAGAGGGATAGCTCTGTCAAAAATCATCGGTCCCAGACCAAATTTGAAAGTGAATGATGACGGAATGACAGAACAGGGTAACACTATATGCCCCTGCCATTTTATGGCGGGGGCATAAAAATAACTTTGTATAAAGAAGCAACCCTGTATTATGACAGGTTTGAATTGCTTAAGTTTCTGTAAGGAGTTAAGTAATCCCTTAAAGACTTAGAGCCAGGGTGAGGGATGTGATTCAGACGATACTGTTGCCCACTGCAGGCTTCTTTTTTAGGATGGGAGTGGTTAAGGTGACATTAAATACAAACTGTAGAATGGATGTTGAATGGATTTGGAATTCAAAATTTCAGGAGAGTTGTATTCATGGATGTTGAATGGATTTGGAATTCAAAATTTCAGGAGAGTTGTATTCATGGCTATTGGACCTGATCCAGTATACTGACCAATAAATAACATAGATTTTATCCATATTGGCATTCATCTAATAAAAAAAAAAAAAAACAAGAGATGTTTGTAAAACACTTATGTTCCCTCCCCCCCCCCCCCAAAAAAAAAAAAAAAATTATAATTTTTCTAAGTCCAAGGGGCATAACTCTGTCAAAAATTGCTCGATAGTACCCAAAACACAACTTGACCTAAATATTCTCATGATAAATGTGTATACCAAGTTTCATTTCAGTATGTGCAACCTCTGCAAAGAAAATGAACGGAAACTCTTGGTGGATGGACAGACTGACAGACCAACCGACCAACCGACAGCTGCAGAGCAATATGCCCTCCCTTCTTCGAAGGAGGGCATAAAAATACCTCACTGATGGAAAGATCATTAACCTAGAAATATTTTAAAATTGTGGAAAAAAGATATTTTTTCTATGCATACATTTAATTTTAGTATCTCATAAGTTTTTGAGACAGGATGCCAATATTTTATATGCAAATGTAATCATGATATTTTATTTGTAAGACATGTATTTGGCATGTGACACTTAAATAAACAATTGCTCACTAAATTATAATATTGAATTAGAATACAATATGTAAGCTAATTCATTGTGTACTTAAAGAATGCCAACATTTTCTTCAATTATTGCATTCATTGAATTATTGTTGCTTTAATGAATGATAGTTGAACAATGTTGGTTTAGCTAGGGCAAGTAGGCGGAAAGGAGGGTGCAGTTCACATTGAGAATTACAGTAATTCAATAATATTTACAAAGTTAACCACATATTCTCTAGATCTGCTCACAGACCCCAAGCATCTTTGTTAGCATGAGGATTTTTCAGCTTAATTTACAACTTTACAGCTGTGTCGAAACAACTTTATGAAATTTAAACCAACTCCAGATATTCTAAACCATTAAGAATTATGTACATGTACTTTCAAAATTTAATTATTTTGTCTGTAACAATAGCTTTTTTGCCAGTGGGTTTATATTTGTAATTTCACCATTTTTTACCCAACAATCATTTCGATGAACTTAGGAATAGCTATAAATGAAAAATATTAATAATTTCTCTATTTTATCTGGTTAACTTATACATGCATACTATAAAGAACAACTGGAGAGTAAACAGGCAAAGAACAGGGTTGTTATCAACATCTCCTGCACAACCAGCATACAAATGTATGCACAAACAATGTACATGTACTTCTTTACTAATGGCTACCTTTTTTTCCTTTAAGTAAATGACAATCAAAACTCAGTCCCCTTTAACCCCAAAAATGAAATAAGGAGAGACTTTGATTTCTTTCATTACGCTGGTTACCTTTAATAATAAATAAGACTTTCATGAACAGTCCTAGGTTAGTCTCTGGCTGAATGGTCCACAGCTCAGCAGCTCGTGTCAAGTTGAATGTGATCCACCCCTCCGTTCTGGCCTGTACAGTTACATTGGAGACAGACTCTAGGATTTTATCTCTACAAAGAGATATGGTAGGGTCATTATCTTAGATTGAATTGTGTTTGATGAATATCTTTTAGATTAATTTTCTATTGAGAGAAGCAAGGAAAAGACTGCAATTTAAATTCTTGCATATTCAGCTGAGCAACTAAACACATAAAAGCACCATAAATTTACTTGCATTTAGACATATTTGAAGAATCTTAAGTGCTTAAAGTACTTAAGTATTCAAATTCTTACATATGTACATATTCTCTAATGCCAAAGTTCAAGTTAGATGACATCTTAACTGAACTTACAATAATTTTTTTTCATTACAAAGTAATGGTCTGAATAAAAATTTCCTGTCTTGGTTGTATAATCTTATAAACTCTGGTCAATGAATCTCTGCAGGTCATTTAAACAAAACTTCATAAATGCATAAAACATGAACTTATATAATGTTGGGCAATATAATTTAAGTTTAAGGTCAAATATATCTAATATTTCTAAAATTCTTATTTTCATGACCATGACCTTGTCAATGACCTTGAATCAGAATCACAATGTGCCCTCTGTTCATTAGCAACATTTTTGCCAGGTATGAGCATTTTCATTTCCCAGTAATGAAGTTTCAGCATTAAACAGACAAACAGATGGACAATGTGAATTCTATACAGCTCACAAACTTTGTGTAAAAGATAATGAGCTTCCTTGGAACTCTATAGATTTCTCTGCTTGCACTTCAAATAGTGTAACAAAGAGAAACCCTGTGGGTTCCAACAAGGGATTAGGGGATGAATTACTCTGCTAAGGAATGAACTATTTTATCTACAGAGACAGCTAAAACATGCAATTAAATTCACCACAGGAAATAATTACCTCCATCAGACTGCTGCATTACCATTTGACTGTTTTATGCTTTTCAGTGTCATAATTATCACATCAACACCTTCCCTCAAGGCTGAGAGATGTTCCAACTCACCCAAAAATTATTGACTTTTGATTGAATTTTTTCAGCCAAGGCTGTTGTCAACAGCTTCCTTCTCCAGGCATTACTAGATGACACTGTCAACATTGTCATCATCCAGAAACATGATTTAAAAGGTGCATCATTTATTCTACTTAAAATTATTCAGTGTATGAAGAATAATCAATCCTCCATACACAATTAATTTTTAACTAAAACTCTTTCTTTTAAACACATCTTTTTTAATTACATTTTGTAATTATAAAAGTTATTTGAGCTTCATTCTTAAATTAAAGAAAACAAAAAACAAGCAAAATCAGAGAATTGTGGTCCCTTGCTTTTTGGGTCTTATTGGTTGGGGTGCAATGAACCAATTGGCATATTGTTAACTTCTTTTCTGTCCTATCTCGCTGTCCATCACACTATAAAGAAGTTTTACATTTTTGAAGCAACATGTTTTGGTGCAAACATTACAGCTAAGTTAAATTTTTGAAAAGCAGGCCAAACTTTAAGGTCATGAAGTAAAAAAATCATAGTACATTTGGAAAGACCTTGACACAGAAAATGCAGACAAAAAAATATGAAAGCAGTTTTCTTTTCACGTACAATAGCACTGGCAACAGTCTTATCGCAGGTATTGGACACAAGACATATGGAAGCCCTATATTCTCTCATTTAAAAGCTACAAGTCATGTATTACTAAAGTTAATTTTTATTTTATGTATATTAAGGTCAAGGTCATGAGGTCAAAATTCACAGTACACGTGTTCTCAAAGATAATTCACATGTGAAATATGTAAGTCCTATCTTCTCTCATTCAAAAGTTAGGACCAAGGTTAAAGTTTTTGTAACTGACAGATGGACAGACAGGCTAGACAGATGAATGGACAGACAGATGAATGAGATTTAATGTCCCTGCACTTTCATGAAAGTGCAGGACAATAATTTGGAAATCATCTAAGAGATCAGCATTACCATGTGTGTGTGTGTGTGTGTGTAGTTAAAAACAGTTGGCCTTTTGGCAATGCTAATCTGATTCCATTTTTATCAGATGTTGAAAGTCCATGTGATAGATGGTAAAGGTTAAAGTTTTTTTTTAAATATTTATTTTGAATTAAAACTAATACATGTATTTATTTTAATTCATTTCTTTCCTTCCAAAAATTTCTTTTTGATTTTCATTTTAGACTTCTTTGGTTTGATAAACCACAAAATTATGTATCCCATAATGCTTTACCTAAAAAAACCTAAATTTGATTTTTGTTTTATAGGCTTGACAAAGTGATATTACTAATGTCAGATTTGTAAAAGTAAAAATTCCAATCTCTGTAAATATGGTAAATGTTCCGCCTTCACACAGAACTAAATCAACCAGTGAAAAATCAAACAGAAGGAAACGGCACTAACAGACTACACGCATCACCGCATTTTTAATGCCACAACAAAATCCCTCTTACTGTTAGATGTGCTTGTTCCTGACTTTAATGACTTATAAGAACAACAATGATCAATTGATCACCAAAAACTACAACTTACTCAGGGTCTTTTCCTTGTCTTATCATATAGATCTGAATTTGGAAATCATGGTTCTTTTTCCATTTTTTGGCTTTTTCTTTATAAAGCCTAAGCTCGGCCCCGACCACTGTTTCTTTGGCAGTAACATCACTAAAGTCAAAGAAAAAGGTTCTGTCCTTTTCATGCCGCAGGTGTGGAACTCTTCTGGCTTTAAAGTGCAAAAAAAAATAAAGACAAAGATCAAATGTCATGTTATGCGTACATGAAACCTTTACAGGAGTAATTCTGCCAATGACAAAAGCAGTTTTATAATGGGCCAAAATATTTCTGCCCCTGACATAACTCATTCTAAAATGCTAAAAATTCCATTTATCTTCTAGGCACTGGTATTCCAATTAACACAAAGTGACTTGTATTTATCTAATAATGAATCAGATGTCTAGAACTTCTATAATTTTGCATTAACTGTACTAACAAACATACCGTAATATTAACTGATACAAGAGTTAGCAATAGAAAAATCCCAAGAACATATTAGAATAATTCCTTCAGATACATTCATTTCTGGTAACTACAGTATAGTGTAATTAACAACTTAATGTATTCAATAAATAAAATTATAAATTTACACAATTTTATTTTCACTGAGGCTTTTTTTATTTATTTTTCTAAGTAGAGTAGATCTATCAAAATTAAGTAAAATAAAACGATATGTTAAATACATCTATTATCAAGAAACAATACTATTTAAACATTTTGCCAAAGAAAACAAAAAAATCAAAACAAAATTATCTGAACATCTTGACAATATTATGTACATCAATTCAAACTGTTTGTTTTTTCTTGCCTCTCCCCTCCTATTTTTGTTTTTATGTCGTGACAAATCAAAAGGTTGAAAAGCACCTGTTACCACTATTCTATATAAGATTTGTCCATGTCCATTATTTAGATCTACAGTACTTAAGACTTTGTAAAGACATGGATTAAAATATGAGTTCTTTGCTGAAAAATTATCAATTCCTTTTAATATAATGTTACTCATATATATTTAATTAATTTACACATCAACTTAAAGGACATAGGATACTGAAAAATATGTTACAGAAATTTGTAAAACAATTTGTACAGGATTGTCAAAACACTTACTCCTATCAAGCCATCCTTAATTTTGCATCTTCCCCAATTTATACTTTTATATTTATAAAATGAAATTCTGTAAAACCATGAAAAAAATTGAAATTGACTCTTATTTTAGCATGTAAAAAATTAATTTGAATCTAACTAGAGCTATGATCATAATGATCAATGGGTAACCTACAACCTTAAGCTTTGGGAAAAAAAAAAGAAAAAAATATTGAAGCCTGAGATTCCTTTGTTTCCTGTCTAGAAATTGTAATTAGAATTACATAAAAAACCTATCTACACAGGAACTGTAAGTGGGAATACATTCCTTAACTAAGACAGTTCAAGAGTGTTTTTTTTTTTTTTAAAGTTGTTTAACAGTTTTAAAAACACTCAAAATAAATTACTGAACTTCTTTTTCAAAGAATATGATGAGGAGAAAAAAAAAACTGAAGAAAAAAAAACAAATGTCCTTGGAAAGTTCTGCATAAAAATCCACTTTTTTAACTATAATTTTTTTTCAAGGTTTTCAAAATTTCCACACTAGTTGAACCACTATAGATTACATCTCTCTCTTGCCCCTGAACAGACAAAGTACAAAAACTGGGGGGATTGCATGTACACTGGCCCTATAATTGAATAAGAGTGCTTTGATGAATCAGAAGCCTAATTTGCACTTTGGATCTCTGACAAAGTTTGTATTTACAGGACGATTTTGTCTGTAGTCTATATACACAGACTTTACATTACGACCTATCAAAAGTCTGAGTTCTTACAATGAGCTTAATGATATATCTACACCACAAAACACCAAACTAATTCCTAAACTCAGCAATGCAATTTGAAGGTCTGGTATATTGTTGAGACAGAGAGGGCTATAATTTGTGGCCATAAAGAAAATTCAGAAATCAATGCTTGAGCAGAAAAGACTCTCTTCCCATCAACATGATCAAACCTACGACTCAGATTGACGGAGCATCATTGTTCTGATATGATTCACAATCTAAATGGATACTTTGAATGGGACATAGGTTAAGGACTCATACAGAGTCTTTTAGAAACACCATTTTCAGTGGCTTTCTTTACAAGTCCCATAATGTATTTTACAAATATATCAAGTATATATATGAAAATATATAAATTATTCTGCACATTGACTTATTTGTGTAATCCAGGATTACAAAGACTGCAAATGATATTAATTAGTGAAATTCTTTGACATTTTTTAAAGATATTTGTTTTACTCCTATAGTCCTATTAAAATAATGGATAATTGTAAGCTGCTTTTAAAATTAAAAAAGTTGAATTTTTGCTAAAGTATCTATATTCAAAATATTTTTTTTTTTAATATTTCATTAGTAAGGCCAATAAGTGACCACCCTGTGTTTACCTTTGTTGACAAAACTAATGATAACGTCAGTTCCTTCAATGGGTTGGACAACACTATCTCCCACAGTGACGTTATGACTTGTATGAAAACTACCGTCATCTCTCACCACCCCATTGTCTGAAGTAATGGAATTATACAGACTCAACATAAAAGTCGGAGCTGAATCCTTAGTTGTGCTGGATTTCGGTTTGGGTCTTTGATGTAAACCAAGTAATGTAAGAATCTCATGTTGAAGCTCGCGTTTATCTCGTGAGTTCATCTCATGCACTTTTTCTGTCTGTCCGATACCATTGTCTACATAATAAGCAGAAGATGCTAAGATCGTCCTTACAAAAAATAACGCCGTCCAAAGACAAAGAAAGAAATCCGCCATGATTAGCACAATACAAAAATGTCAAATATTTGTTGATGTTAATCAAATAATGAAGGTATTTCCAAACACGATAACTTATCCAAGGAATTTTGTTAACTTATATTATTTCATATTGTCTCCTGAATACTTATAACACAACTGATCACTTATGATTTAAGTGAATTCCAAAAGTAACAGAAAACTTTTCTCTCGCAAAAGCATGTCGAACACTACGCTAAACGCAGGTATAAAACGGTAATTACCTTAAAACAGGTCATTAGGTGCAACGGTTCGAAGTAATTCGCTCGTAAAAGTGTTCGCAAAGAACATACATTTATATAGCCTTGTGAACTCTCAGATTAAAATCAACACAGGTGCACAGGTCTATTCCAAAATAAAAATGTTGTATTGTTAAAACGAACAAAACAATAAAACGTTGAATAGAAGCTGGTTTAAATTTATTCAAATTCATACAGAGAGTGGGTTCATTCCCGGCCCATATGCAAATATTCCTCCAAGTTTCTATTTGTGCTTAAAACAATTCATTATTATCTATTGCCAGTCTACTATTTTTTTTAACTCTCAGAGGTGTAAGTGTATAATAATTGTTTCCCAAAGCAGTGAACCTTCCGATCTCAAAAATAAATAAATAAATAATAATAAAAGAAATATAATCAGATCTTAAATTCTTCAGATCGAATTATAGTGATAAAGAATGGGAATATTTAAATTTCCAACACTGAATTCAATACGATTTTCTTTTCACAGGTGTCCTTTAGTAATTATTCTCTATATCTGTCTGCAATTTACACTGGTTTACACTTCATTAATAAATTCGAGTCGAGAGAGAGAGAGATAAAAATGAAGACCAACTAGTGCAATTTTCTAAAATATGGAACGATCCTTCGTGTTGCAGTAGCTTCTGGCATGGAAAAGATTCAGTACTCGTCCAGGTCTAAACCCCCCCCCCCATAATTGGTAGTGTCCAAATTCTCGAAGAGACTGTGTGACGTAAAATGAAATATATGGAGATATCGAACAGTATTCAAGCTCAAAAGTCCATTAAACAATACAAAATAGGAGCAGAGCAAACACGGACCTCCAAACCATCAGAGGTGGGATCAGGTGCCATGGAGGAGTGAGCATCCCCTGCCGACCGGTCACACCCGCCGTGCGCTCCTTGTCATGATAGGGAAATAACGGAAAAATCCGTCGACAATTCAGTTTGTAAATAATGGCCTAACAATTAGTATGAAAAACGTCAGTCAGCATTTGACTCAATGATAAATTGTATTTGCTGACAAGGTCATTGTATCGACCATAGAACTTACGAAATGATGACTTTAAACGAGACTGCTGAAATTCTTGTTTCATCAACTTGTTTGTCAATAATTTACCTCGTTTTAGAAATTGTATACGTAGAGCATGCTCTTGCGTATCGAATCAACTGAGAGATATAAACCCCGTATGCAGGTGATGAAGGTATATTGCTGCATAAGTAAGGGAAGTTGACGATTGAAAAGTTAAAGTCATCACGTTTATCATAAAGCTTGGTTGTTAGATTACCATTAACGTCTTTTTCAAGTAAAATATCCAAATATGAAACAGATGTGTCAGACTCTGTGGTATCTTTTATCTCAAGCTCACCAGGATATATCGTATCGACATAAGAATGGAAATAACCATTGTTAATTGACAATACGTCGTCGATATATCTAAATGTCGAGTTGAAGGCCACAGCAAGGGTTTTCTTCTTTTCACGTATACGATTTTAGACAAATTCTGCTTCATATGAATACAAAAAAAGGTCTGCTAATAACGGGGCGCATTTGGTACCCATGGGAATTCCAATAGATTGTTGGAAGACCTGGTCTCCAAAAACCACATAGATATTGTCAATCAGAAACTCAAGAATCTTTTAATGTCAACTTCAGAGTACTTGTGTGTACAATCGGAATGTTTTTTAGCAAAATAATTTTGCAAATGACCAATGACAAGGTAAGTAAATTTACGAGTTCCATTTTTATTTAAAAAAGCAGCTGTCAATGATATCAAAAAGCCTGGACTTTAATTTATCGTGGGGAACAATCAAACAATCAAATGAAACAAACAAACTGACAAACATATAGGCCCTGGCTATACAGGTACTTCGAATTTCTGAGGTTTTGGAAGTTTAGACAATGAGACACCCTCACAACATCAGGGATCCTGAGTCAAGACGTTGCCGCTGGGCTCCTGGCAAATTTCATTCGATATCTTGCGGGCTGATTGCGGCGAGGTCTTTCGGGAAAAAACAATTCTTTTTTTCTTATTTCTCAACCAATCACATTAAGCCTTTTGCTGACGTGTTGACTCAGTATCCCTGACGTTGTAAGGATGACAATGAGGTTGAAGGTGACTTCTGATTTTTTGAAACCAATTCAACCAATTTTCAATCAATTTTTTATTCTCAGATTGTGTAAACAACATAGAGAAAATACAACACCGATATCAAACAAAATACATGATGCAAGAGTGTACAGTTTACATTAACCTGGAAGGGTAACTCTCTTATTAATTATACTGATGAATTTACAAAGGTTATTGATGACAGATACCTTTTTACATGAAAATAAATTTGAAAACTTAAAATCACTTGGTCGAGTTATATATGTTGATGGTAAATGGTAAACCATACCAGTATATTGAATTTAAAAACTTGTATCCCCGCTATTTTCTTCAACGACTAGTATTTAATATAAGCAAAGGTGTTTGAATAGAATTTGCTTTGATTGTATAACTGATTTGGAATATTTCATTAATTTGTCCACATAAGTCAAATTAAATTGACACAAAAATATGGAATTAGGTACTGAGATATATAGGTACTATCCTTGTACCCTAGTCACTTGTGTACGGCCTCCAGCTGATCAATATTTTCACAGAGCGAGAGGGGAGTTCGCGTCCTTTATAAGGGTGTAGATATTGAGGACTAATTTTACAAGTTTTACATATATATGACTAGGTCGTAAAATCTCGACTTTGGTCAATGTATCATTTCAAATGATTTATATATGTGTCTAAATATTCTTAAACATTTATCGATGACTATCAAGAAACTACCAAATCTCACGGGCCTGTCCCCTCCTCCACTTTTTTTTTTAATTCCAAACACTTTTTACGATTGAAATTGTTCATTGAAAGGCCGGTCCCCCCTAATGTTTTGTTGCAATATAGTCAAATAAGGGTAATATAGTACTTGTATAAATACCACCCCCACCCCCCGAAATAGGATTTTCGAGTTTAGACAATTATTTTCCTTTTTTTTTTACTTGTCAATTTTTTTTTTTTAGGCAAGTTGAAATTTTTTCTCTGGCTGCCCCCTCCCCCATCCCCTTTCAAAAACTATGCAGATCATGTAAAGTTCGCTACATTACATGCAAAGAGCAGTAACTCTCTCAAAATAAATTTCATTTATTTTTAATGTACAATATTAAAAGATAAGAAGAATCCATCTCTTAAAAACAATATCTAAAATTAAAATATGATAATTGGGATAATACCGATATATAATTTACACAGTTTAGAATGAATTTTACTTTTAAAAAGAGTCTGATGTGTATGCACATGTGGATGTGTGAGAGTAAATATATGTTTGATATGTATTTATATATAAACAAATTTGTAATATTGCTTAGAACTTTTGTAAACATATATATGTTATCTGGTTTATTACCCCTTTTAATGCCTGCATGCAACTCTTTTTCTCTTGCGTAGAAGAATATTGTATTACATGTATATGACCTTATATGAGTATTTACAATGTACTTTCTTGTTGCCCGAGCCTTGAGGGCCCTTAATTGGTAAAAAAGAGATGTGTTTGTGAAACACTGATGCCCCCGTATAGCAGCTTATGGCGAAAGTTAAAGTTTCTCAAATGCAATTCAAACTTCAAGGTCAAGAGATCAAAAATTTTGTTACCCAAAGAAGGGACCTGTGTCAATGAATAATTATGCCTGGTAAATAAGAAAGCCGAAGCGCCAACCATTCAAAAGTTATGGTCAAGGTTAATATTTTCTAAAAGTGGGTTAAACTCCAAGATTAAGGTCAATGGGGTCAAATTAATGGTATGCAGGTGAAGACCTTGTCATAAGAAATGCACATGCAAAATACAAATGCCCTAGCGCCAACTATTAAAAAATTATGGCGAAGGTTAACGTTTTTCAAAAGTAGGTCAAACTCCAGGGTCAAGGTCAAAATATTGGTATCCCAACTGTTCAAAAGTTATGGCCAAGGTTAATGTTTTTTAAAAAGTGGGTCAAACTCTTAGGTCAAGGTCAAAATTATTAACCCCCCCCCTTTCCCATGGAAAGGTCTTGTCACAATGAATACACATGTGAAATATGAGATCCCTAGCACAAATTGTTCAAAAGTTATGGCAAAGGTTAAAGTTGGATAATTTTTTTGCAAAAGTGAGTCAAACTCCAAGGTCAAGATAAAATATGATGGTACCCAAGGGAAGGTCTTGTCACAAGGAATACACGTGTGAAATATGAAAGCCATAGCTCCAACCAATAAAAAATTATAGGCAATGTTAAAGTTTTTTTTTATTTTTGGACAAACAGACAGACGGACGGACAGGGCAAAAACTATATACCCCGAATCTTCGATTACGGGGGCATTTATAACTTGAAACTTTTGATTTCACTAAAGCCCCCACATGGGGTATGTTAGTACAATGAGAGTTTAACAATTGAACAAATCAACATCTTGAACATGTGAACAGTTAACATGATGAACTACAAAAAGATCTTTGATACGGACATCTGCTCTACAGTCAGTTGTGGTTACCTCTCTTTGTGGAACTCTCCAAGGTGTCGGGTGGTTACGTTCCGATTCCGTGTTCGACCCGCGTGGTTACGGTAACGGGACGTTTCGCCCCTATTGACGTTTCGCGCCGAGACCATTCGCCCCTAAAGACGTTTCGCGCCGAGACGTTTCGCGCCGAATTTAATCTACATTGTCTACAACGATATATTACGATGTTTTAAGATAAATATTTATATATAAGGTTAATATTGACTGTGTTAAAAAAAAGTTCTAAGGTTACTAAAAAACTTTTATGTTTTAAAAGTTGTTGAAAATAGGCTTATACCATAATTAAATGTATAATTATCCATGTGCAGATATAATTATGTTTATTCAGCAATCATAATTGTCTGATTCAGTTTTGTAATTAAGGTGTTATAACTATAATTTGGAGATTCTTCATCATGTCAAGATAAAGAGGAGAATTAAATTATGAGACGGGTGTCAAGTTCATTTTACCGTTGCTCAATAGCTAGGATGCACACTGACTTCAATTTTCTTTGCGATTTTGAGTAATGCTATATAAGCATGATAAGTTCTTATCAAAAATATACTTCCAAAAAAATCTTTTCATATAACCAATTTCAAAAGTGACATTTCTATGCCTGTTACATCAAAATAGATATTTTTTTCTTTTAAATCATCATGTCATTAAATTAATCACGAGTTGCTGTTTTCTCACATCATAAAAAAAATATCAGGTCATTTAAAAATATCTTCTTTTTTTTTAAGTAACAGGAATTCATTAAAAAAAAAAATCAGGTCTGACAATTTTTTTTAAATTTTAGTGTGGTTATGGGCGGGCCGGAGGGGATATACAGTGAAGTCGCCAATTACGGGTTATTGATTGAACCAATGGATTGGATTTATATAGCACAGTACAAAAGTTATTAAGAAGTTAATAATTGCTGTTAACAAGTGATAATTACCACATAATTGATTAATTGATCTTCGGCGCGAACCGTCTTGGGGCGAAACGTCTCAGCGCGAATGGTCTTTCGGGGCGAACCGTCCCGCACTCGTGGTTACGACCCAAGTGGTTTCGACCTACTCTAATATATATATCCCTTCATGTCAATACCTGAGTACAGGGGTATACACTGTGCGGTAAACAAATGGATATCCGGTAGTTGTATATTATATGGCTTCAGAGATGTGCGTGTCAATAGGTAGTTGTTTCCGTACTGTGTAGTCAACATGCAGGTTTCCTAACATTTTTTTTCTACTATCGTGGAGCATGAATGTTGATAAATTTGATTTAGTAATGAATTATATTTGAACAGCTTTCCATAAAAATTAATCAAATACTTCTTCAAAAATACCGTGATCACATATGCACTGTCTAAACAATGTACGTTTCTCCAAATTAAATTACATACGATAATTAACACAAATATACGTGGTCAAAATAAAAAAAATGTAGACGAAAAAATAAAATGTAAAACTTTTGAAAGTGTGAATTAATTTTGTTCCGAAGCAATTAATTGTTAATTAATTGCTTTGGAACGAGACCACTCGGGTCGAACATGAATTCGTGTCGAAACCACGCGGGTCGAACAAGTCATCGGAACGTAACCACCCGCATTCCTCTCCAAGATGTAAAGGTACAATTATTCGTGCGGATATTCTGGAGAAAATTTGGAAAGGGTAACGCTAACGTTTCCAGTCCCACAGCTGTTTATTTTACAAGGTTGAAAATTATGGATGTAGAAAATACAAAATTTTATTTAAAATTCGAATTATCACTGAAAAAAGCAAGATTCGAAATATTGTTAATTCATAAATAGAATCTTTAAACCGTGATAGATTACAAGTGTCCGAAGTACATTGTTTTTTTCCAATCAGCTGATCAGTCGTATGTTTATATAGTTGTTAGTTTCTTTGCATCTCTTTAAGTGAAAAATAATATATAGAGGATATTCAATGTTTTGTAGATGAATATGGAATTTATTTCACGAGTGGGACAGGATTTTTTGATATTTTCACGAGTGCGAAGCACGAGTGAAAATATCAAAAAATCCTGTCTCACGAGTGAAATAAATTCCATATTCATCTACAAAACATTGAATTTTCTGTTTATTACATTTTCTTTGATTTTTACTTTGCCTCTGTCTTTTCATAACACAGTGTCAAAGGCTTGACGTCATAGTTGAGCGGATGAGACGTAATAGCTTAGCAGATGTGTGATTGAAAACATTACATAGTATGGATTTTAGTAACATATTTGGGAAGAAATTTGCAGTTTTAGCTCTATCAAGATGCATAGTTACTATCTCTATCTTATGAGAGGCCAGAAATTAATTTTTACTTACTTTGATATCCTTTCACACTGTGAGAGAATATCATTTTGGTATCCTTTCACACTGTGAGAGAATATCACTTTTATTCAATAAATAAATCACAGTATTTCACTGTTGAAAATGTAATAAAAAGCTTTACTGTAGGAGTATTTGACGTTAATAATTATTCCTAATAGGTAAAACATGGAGGAAGACGCAAAGAAGAGTGAATTTGTCCCACTTTGCGGAATAATGACACACGTTTTAAAATATGGCACAACCGAAAATTCAAAATATCTTTTTCTGATAATTCCAGGTAAGGAGTGTTTTGATGTCTTTAATTTTGATAAATTCAATGGGTATGAGTAATTTTAAAAGTAGCGTACTTGACTACTTGTCATTTTTAAAATGGTGAAGCATTGTTTACCTTGGTGACGGCTAATTGCTGAATAATTACTTGAAAACATAAAAGAAATACATTGAAAATTGATCAGTTTAATTTTACATTATCATCTTTTGAAATCCATTTTTACAATTAAGCTGTAAAATAGCTTATCAGGGTTGTTTGTTTCTTCAGACATCTTTAATATGTTTTACTTTGCAAACAAATGTACATGTTTGGGCAACCATGTTTCAAAACGGAGTCTGTGGACTATAAAAATGATGAATTATAAACAGTTCTATTCTGCTTAAATGTTGTATATATGATCATAATCATATTTTCACATATTGAAACTCTCCCGTTCACAAAAGGTACATAAAATTTCAGAAATATAACATTTATATTCAATGGACAAGCCTAATTTTAGTTTTAATATAAGTTAAGATAAAGAAAAGGGGCTTCTGATAAAATGTTCATTGACAATATATAAAAAAAATGGGCCTTTGGCAATGATTTATGCTCTTCTCAATATAGCAATAAGCTCAGTTTAACTAAAAAAAAAGCTTCTTTATAGAGTATTTGGTCTGATTTTTAAATTTCTAAAAATAAATAGTACTAGTGAGTCAACTGTAGATGCAAATTCATCTAAAAAGTTTATTTCTTGATCAGAATTTCAGATACAATTAGCTGTACTGGAGTATATGAATGCAAATATAAATACCTAGATGACTGTTTAACTGTTAATATTACGGTGTTGAACTTTATGCTATAATTTTGTTTTTGATTCCATCTTAACAGGAAATCCTGGAATTATTGACTACTATGAGCGATTCATGCAGGTTCTTTACAGGAATTGTGATCAAAAGATTCCTGTCTGGGGCATATCACATGCTGGTCATGTGACAGTTCCAAATAAAACATTAGATGTTGGTAAGTTTTACTATGTCAGTATTACAAATAATTCTTAATTCAGTGATGTTGTGACTAAATTTTAAATGTTAATTCTGTTTTGTCAGGATATATGTTTTATGTAAAAAAAAAAAGTTTTTTTTTTGATACTAGCATTGTATAATTCATATTTGGAATATTTACTTATTTATGTTGGTAAAGATCCAAAGGACAGTAGAATACATGTATATTCTGATGTATTATTTATGAAGTTCAGGGGTCAATTTTAACTAAATCCGTGGCACCCAATGCTTGTACAATTTTTTTTTTTTCAACAGAAAAAGCCTCCTATTCTGTTTGTTCTCTGGAAGGACAAATCAAACACAAGATTACATACATCAAAGAACACATTCCTTCAGATGTTAAATTGATTTTGATTGGCCATTCTATTGGATGTTACATGATCATGAGGATCCTGGATGAGATAGATCACAGTAATGTTCTAAGATGCTTTCAGTTATTCCCTACCATAGAAAGAATGGCACTGTCTCCAAAAGGCCAGGTAGCTACACCAATGTTGAAATACCTACGCTGGCTGGGGACAGCGATAGTTCATGGTGCATCTTATTTATCTCCCCATGTCCAATACAGACTGCTTCTTTGGTATTTCAGTGGTCGAAAAATCCCTGAGTCTGTGTACAATGCGTCAATGAACCTCTTTGACCCATTCTGTGTCAGTAATGTGATGTACATGGCCAACTTGGAGATGCAGCAAGTGGCCGCCTTAGACGAGGATTTAGTGGAGAGGCACCTCCCAAGAATGAGTTTTTACTATGGTGAAGATGACCACTGGTGCCCTAAATCTTACTATTTTGACATGAAGAAGAAATTCCCCCATGGGGACATCAAACTTTGTCAAAAGGGCTATGATCATGCCTTTGTTTTAGAAGCCAGTGATGAAATGGGAGACATTGTATGGGAATGGCTGCAGGCAGACCTGGCTAAGCTGGAATCTTGAGAATGGTATCGGGTACGTTCGCCCTATCTACCTGTTTGCATGAGTCTGTTCGCGCAGGGTCCGTTCGCCATTATTCTTGATCGCCATATATCGCCATATATCTCATTTGCCCTATTATATATACAGTATATAGTTAATATCAACATTTGTTATTAATTTTATTCGATATTTTACAACTTTTTTTTTTTTCAAATGTTGCCACAGTATTTTTTTATTTACGGTAATCTTAATTAAATAATTCAAATTTGATATTTTATGCTCTTTACGTCTGTTGTCTCCCATGTGGAATTTATGTACCAATGTACATAAAATTTATTTTAAAAAATCCATTGATTCATTATTCAACTTTCTGCAATATAAATAAGGCGAACGGACCCTGTGCGACAAGGTTTAGGGTGATTGGATTCTGGGCGAACGGGAATTAGGGCGAACGGCGTCAAGGGCGAACGAACATACAACCCTTAAGAATCAACTAAAATAGTCAAAAAAATAAAAACATTTGCTCTTAAAACTTTCATTTTATTCACTCAAATGCAATTTAATACACTGACTGAATGTAAGAATATCATACAGCGAGTGAGAGGTTGGGAATTAAGAGTCACAGAATACATTTACATTTTATGCCTTGAGGAGAATTTGATGATACTATGTAAATAAATGATACTACATGATGTTGTGAAATATGTTCAACTTTTTAAATGTGTAACCAGCAGGCCTGTACATGTATTTATATACAGTACTTTATTCTGTATACCAGTATATTTCTGCTGTGAAAAAGTACTGCTTTATAAAAATCCTAGATATATCTAATTTTAATTGTACATATACATAATAAATCTGTTCACTGTATATATTTGAGAGTGAAAATTATGCATTTTTCAATTGTGTCATTATCATTGTAAAGTCTGTGATACTCATTATAATGTTTTGCACTTATGATAAATGTGTCCTCAAGCCATGAATGCCTCGTTCTACTTTTTTTTTTGATAACCAAGAAATTTGAGACCAAGTCATGGGGAAGGTCAATGTTATTAAATTTTATATTAATGGATGATTAATAAATGTTTACTCAAAGCAAAATGATTTGTTATAAAGATGTATGTAGATAAATCTTTACTGAATTTTAGGCATTGGATAATCACATGATACTTGTGAACAATGAGGTCAAAATCAAAAGTATTAGGTCAAGATGGAAAAGGTAAAAGTGACTCTATACCATTAAGAAAAAAGTGCTGTCTCCAATATGTAAAAAGTGCTGTCTCCAATATGTATCTTCAAGATTACAAAGATGGAGCTAAGCACAAATTAAGAAAAATGTAAGGCAGAAAGATCAATTAAGGTCAATTTTTTTTTTCAATTTTATTTCAATGATCGAAATATTATTCTTGAATACAATTAAAATTTCCCTATTTTCAGCTTGTTTTCCCAAATGTCATAAGGTAGATTCATTTCATATATGATCTTTACAGGATCTGTACTTTTGTATTGAATAAAGCAAAAGAATTAATATTAAAAATCAACGTTAAAAAAGGCTAAAATTTCGGAGTTCTTTGTTAATTTTTCGGATAGGTCTGAAGTCGAATAAGTCAAGGAATGCATTAACAATGAGAAGATGGAGTTGTCGCCCTTCATTGATTCTTCAGTGTTGGTGACGTAAAATCTTATGATCATCGATTTCGGAGTAGGAGAAGTTTATCATAATTTATCAAAGATATGCACTGAAATAAATCAGGAGGACGTCTGAAAGGCATTTAATAGGGTAAGGTTAATTGTAATTGAGGATAATTAATAGCATAGACATCGGTAGTAAATCGACAGGTACGTGATCACCACCTTGTCTAAAAGTCAGCATTTGTTTGGTCACAGGACTAGCGACCGGTTTCTGTATCCTTGAGTGAAGGATATCCCTTTTTATTTTATCTTTGTCTGGGCGAATTCTTCCTGTTTTATCCTAGCGTTTGTGACTGAAACAGTAGGCATATTTTATAATCTATGTCTCTTCCATGACTTGCAGCTGTTGTGAGTATATTTGTTTTAAATTTTAACAGGTCCAGCACAATCATTTGATATAGTTATATAGCTTGAAATAGCTATATAGCTTTATTAACCTATCAAAATAGCTTAATAAAGCTATTTCATGCAGTTTTTTTTACAAGTACGTTTTTTTAATCATAAGAAAAAGAAAAAAAGTCGCAAGTATGTGACTAATCATATTTGCATATTTGTACTATGGACTATTAAAAAAAAACAATCCAAATCAAACATCATTTAAACATTGCTGCTTTTCAACACTTTTAAGCAAAAGATGTATTTCCATTGTATTGGTAACTGATTACCACCTTGTGTGTGGTGAGGAATGGCTTACCTCACACCGTGTTTATTGAATTATTACCAATCATTTATCTTGTTGACCACAATTGATCTCTTTTATAATTTCATTCAACAAGTAACTGTGTGGTCACAAATCAATTGTATTATATAGTCCAGGAATTTTAGAACTCTGAGTGCAAAGTTGTCAAGGAGATGCAATTTGATGAGTGATTTTTTTCATGCACTGTTTTCAGATTTTAAGATCAGAACAGTTCAGGTTGAAAACTTTCACTGCACCAAGTCACTGTCTGACTTTTTTTATCTGCTAAAAAATTGCACATTTAAGGAAAACAAATGATCAAATAGCTAAATCAAGCTATTTTGAATAGCAAATCAAGGGATATAGCTAATTCAAGTTATATACAGCTAAATCAAGAGATATTGCTAGACCTGTTGAATTTTGAAATTATGTTATTTCAATCTGATTTTTTAGATGGGACATCCAGTGTTTTCCCCAGAAAATTTTTAATGCATGGGGGGAATTTTGCTGAATTGACGGCGCGCGGCGTCTCATTGAGTTACTTGTGCATGTATCTGAATTTATATTTAAATGAAAAATACAAATGCATCATTCATTTATATATTTTTTTAAATTAAAATGATATATTTTGAATATATTGTCAATTTAACTTTTAAAAAAGCTAAACAATTGAGTTCTCTTTTATAAAAATAGATATAATCACAAAAAAATGTTCTATTTTATTTTCCTCTAAAGCCACTGTCTTTTTATCATGTTAAATGTGCTGTGTTATTCTTGCTTCCTACAAACTGAATAGGCCCCTAGTGATCCCCGCACCTTTTTTTTATTTACTACATTTTTGGGGGGGGGGGGGTGTCCCTACTTTTACAGTCATTTTTAAACAAAAAGGGTGCACATTATGTAGCATCATTGCTTACATGTAAATATTGTGACAACATTTAGTACATTGGTGTCTGACTTTTTTTTATTCAACGTAAGCTGTTGAATGTGGGTCAAGCATATGCGCTTGAACTATATTTGCCCATAGTTCATAGAGTAAATAAACAATGATAATATTTATTGGACATGTTTATTTTAGCATATTTATGCTAAAAAATGGCTTTAAAATTATGTGTTTAACTAATGAATCATTTTTGGTGTCGGAACATCAATGCTATTTATAGAATGACCTGTGGATGTTGGAAAAACCCATATGTGCATCTTTTACCATGTGTACAATCTGACAGTAATTAATAAATTTTTCATACTTATAAATATTTCTAATCAGATAAAAGCTTAATACTTAGTAACATATCAGTAAACTGCAATAAACATAAATTGCATCATACCCCGTTCCGCGATTCGCATCGAGTTCACCACAGGTGCGCAACATGTGTACAAGTACACGCTATGATTCTAGTGATTTGAATTGTTCTGTTGAAAGATTAATAACTGATAACATTCGAAGTATATCTTCTTCTTAAAATAGTCTACCTTTAATAATTCATGCATAGCGGCAATGTGTGATGCATGGCGGGGGATCGTGAATGCATGGCGGTACCGCAAAACGGCCTGGGGAAAACACTGGACATCTATTTTATGCATATTTAAATGTCAGAAGAACAAAATGATTTCATAGTGATGTTGTTACATAACCGTGTAGTCAACTTAACTAGGAATTTCTTATAGATACAGAAAATGACATGAATTGATTTTAGGATATGAGAGTCAGTCATCATTGGTGAATGAAGTACCTTCTCAAATTGAATATGAAAGAATTTATAACTAATATTTTGGGTAATCATGGTGAAGGAACTTTAAGATATACTGGACCATAGCATTCTTTGGCATCAATAACATATAATTTACTTGAACTGGCTCATTTCAATCCTCATGAGTCTACACCCTGTGTTAATGATGGGCAATGAGAATTTCAAAGTGCTTTAAGATTTAAACATATTCTATTGAATCATTGGACACAAGTTTTTCCAAATAAGATTGTCCTCTCCAATTTGAATTGAAACAAAATGAACATGATGAATGATAAATACATGTGATGTGCAAACCTACAAATGTATAAAAATAGATTTAAAGTACAAGGAATGAAAGAGAAAAAAAGAGTGCAGAGAAAAGGGTGAGAAGAGGGTTTTAGAAGATAGGAATGCATGCATGGTTGGGCTGATCATTGGAATCTTTTTGATTTTTTATTTATTTTTTTTTTAAGTGGTAGGTAGTTTAATTTGTTTTCTCTTAAAGGGTGGGGAGTATTTTTTGTGTTTTTTCCCCCATGAAAAATTACTTTAAGACACTAGAATATGACTTTGTAATTAACATAAATATTTTTATTTAGGAAAAAACACAGAAATTGCAGTGAGGCCATTCCAAGTTTTTTCTATGTTTAGCGTCCACGTGCGCCTTGGTTTTTGACACCCAATATCAGAAAAAACAAACAAAATTAGAACTCCTGACATCGAATATTCTGGTCGAAATCCATGAATTCTGTCAATTTCTCTAAATAATTGTCTACAGTATGCCATATTAGGAATATTGTAAGCATTTAATACCTTGATTTTGCTGAAGAATAGATATTTCTACGAGTAAAGATAGATTAACCATATTAACAAAATCAAATCCTTTGAATGACGTCATTTTTGTGACTGTAAAGTCTTGTGTTTTATTTTTTGGTTTGTGTGTTTTTTGCGAAAAGGTAGGTAGGTTTTTGAAAGAAGGGTGGACGCTAAACATAGAAAAAAACTTGGAATGGCCTGATTTAAATAACAGTAGAACCTAAGCTACACTCCCAGGAAAGAGACTTATAATACTGCAGTCTGCTGTTTAACTTTAGAATAGTATCATTTAAAATATCTCTTTAAAGAAAAATTCTGTCAGACATTTAAGCATTGGATCATTATTTTTTGAAAGATGTAGTCTCAAAACTGCAATGGTGTGTGCAAACATATTGAATAACACACAAATTGCAGTTATGAGTCTACATCTTTAAGAAAAATAATGATTCAATGCTTATATTTACAATTTTTAACTCCTTGCCTTGACTACAAATGTGATTTATATTTCAAAATCCCTGTATTATCCTTCGGGTAAGCTTCTGTTCAATATGAGTGTGAATTTTGATTTTCGCTTATAATGTTGCACTTGCGTGGTTTTCAAAGTTTGTGATGTCAAAATTAAATGCATACTTTAACCTTTTGACCCTCCGTCCGTGTTATGGTGTTTTGAATGCCATCACTTTCCATACATTTTATAAGCAAAAATATAATGACCAGTTATGTACGAAGAGAATTTTCTATCTACCATTAAATATAGACATACATGTAATTTTTAGCTCACCTTAACGAAGTTGGGGGAGCTTATGTAATACCGACGGCGGCGTCCCAGGTTAAGGTTTTTGGAGCAGTTTTCTTTTCAAGTACTTCTATGGCCTATATTACCGTATATACTCGCCTATAAGTCGGTCCGCCTATAAGTCAGTTGTGATTTTTGAGGTTATTTTGGAGAGATTTGCCATTGACCCGCCTATAAGTCGGTAAAACTTTTTGCCAGAATCGGTGGACAATTTCAAATCAATGCTCTAATGTTTTAACGTGTTTCAAAGAATATTTTGAGAAATTACGCCGATATTTTATTTCTTTTTTTCTTCTCTTATAAATCTTATATCAATACTCTAATGTATTTACCTGTGTTCAAATAATATGTTAGGATATGGCATCGGTAATTGATATTTTCATTTTTCAACAAACCAACCCACTACCATTTTAGTTTTCTTTTTATACTGTAAATCCCTTTTGTCTTGTATATTTTATACACTGATCTCAATCATAGGCGGATCTCGGTGTCTTTGGAATGGTGATGAACTATGTAACGAGTCTAGCAACATTTTGATGATATTTAATTAGGAGGTACTCAATGTCCAAACCATATCTATCGTTTTTAATAATGCTATGTTTGATCTGTTATTGGCAATTATTGTCTCTTAATTAACTGTAACGTTATCCCTTACCTGACACAGTGTTTATTTAGTGGCATGCGCCACGAGAAAATTGTGTACCACACATGGGAAGCATTTTCATAAACAATCGAGTTTTAATAGACTCCAGAATAATATTCTCAATTATATTTTAAGAATATTATATCTGTTTTCAAAAACATTGCAGACAACACATATAATTATACAATAATCATTTAATGCTGAACGTATTATATCGGGTTCGCAATTCAATTTTATCGATAAACGATAGATTTACAGTAAGTCACAAGTCAATTAAAGGAATATTTTTGTTAATAATTAATTAAATAAATAATATACACTTAAGATCAAAATAAAATCATAAAACATGTAAATACTTGTACTTTATACATAATCTTAGAATACATAAATAATATAATACGTTCAGACATTTCTTAACGATAATCGTCGAAGTTATGTAAAAAATACTACATTTTGCCGTCCAGAAAAGTACCAAGCTTTTGATGACTCGCCTATAAGTCGGACATAGAGTTTTGGACCAAAAGTTAACTCCCAAAAAAACCGACTTATAGGCGAGTATATACGGTAGTCAAAGATGCATGGAGGATGCTTCTAGTATGTTTCATTGTACCAGTCAAAGTTTCAGATGCTGCAATTTCAGCTAAAGAATGACCAGGTTAATGTTTTTGGAGCAGGTTAAAGTTTTTGGAGCAAGTTCAAGTTTTTGTAGCAGGTCTCATTTCCAAGTAACTATAAGCCCTATATTGACCAAATTTGCATGGATGATACATCTAAGGATGCACACTACTGAACTTGCTTCGGATGCTGGATCTGACCTACATTTTCCGGATGAGTGACTAGGTTAAAGATTTTGGAGTAGATCTCATTTACAAGTAACTAAAAGCCCTATATTGACCAAACTTGCATGGATGATACATCTAAGGATGCACACTACTGAACTTGCTTCGGATGCTGGATCTGACCTACATTTTCCGGATGAGTGACTAGGTTAAAGTTTTTGGAGTAGATCTCATTTCCAAGTAACTATAAGCCCTATATTGACCAAACTTGCATGGATGATATATCTAAGGATGCACACTACTGGACTTGCTTTCGATGCTGGATCTGACCTACATTTTCCGGATGAGTAACTAGGTTAAAGTTTTTTGGAGCAGATCTCATTTCCAAGTAACTATAAGGCCTATCTGAACCAAACTTGCATGGATGATGCATCAAGGAACGAACAATCTCAAACTTGCTTTGGATGCTGGATTTGACTTACATTTTCTGGATGAGTGACTAGTTTTGAGTTTTCAGATAAGTCTATTCCCAAGTAACTGCAAGCCCTATCAGACCAAAATTGCATAAATGTTGCATCTAGGGATGCACACTCCAGGGTTATTAGTTTAGTGTGGGACTTTGCCTTACTTAAAGACAACATTCGTTGAGGTGAGCTCTGTAATCTCTGATTACCTATGTTTAAGTTCTGATGTCAAGTAACTTAAAGATCAAGTGATGAAGAAAAAGTATACTCGAAAAACAATGTATACAATAACTTTATCTACAAAGAGAATATTTTAATTACAAACACTGAACACACCATGAAGTATGTACTGATAGAAAGCAGGACAACAAAACTAAGAAACAAAAAAAGAAAATGAAAGAAAAAAGCCAAAACAACAGATAATTTATCAATATCCTCAATGTGACATGTGGAATAGCACTCAAGGCCATATTACCTGTCTTACAGATGATAACTACCACATCTATTGTGTCTATATCCATCAATTAAAGCATGCATGTTATCTGGTTTTAGGATCAAAATATTTTTTTAAAGTAAATTAAAGCTTTCAGGTCCTATCTATTGATATTTTACAGGTTAAATACACTTCATATTAGAATGCTTTTACGCTTTCCTTTTAATCAAGTTTAGTATATATCTCACATTTGTGGGGGGAAAAACTTGTATCTTCTTGAAAAATACTAGGCACACTTTGATACATGTATTTTTGTGAAGTGTGCAATATAGAAACATAAAAGGAAGTTCCTTAGAGTGACTTATTGAAAAAGTCATAAATATAAATTGAAATTGAAATTTAAAACTCATCAAGAGAAATGTGTGTCCTGCCTCTTGAGTAGATTTACAATTCTACTTGAGGACATATATTTCATGTAGGAATACTTGTGTCCATGGACTGACCTTGTGAATTTCATGATTTGTCCTTTGGTTTTCAGAGAGGAGAGTTTTAACCTGCAACAATGGGGTCCCTGTTTAGGAGTGAGGAAATGACTCTATGTCAGTTGTTTCTTCAGTCAGAGGCTGCCTATGCTTGTGTATCAGAGCTGGGGGAATTAGGACTTGTGCAGTTTAGAGATGTAAGTGGAGGAAAAAAGACAACCAGTTGTATTGTATTGCAGTTGACCTAAAGAACAAATTTAAAAGTGTTGCAATTGTAAAAATGTATTTTAATGGCCATTTATTAATGTATAATTATTTACATTATTACAGAAAATTTAAACCTTTTTTGGGCCATGCTTTAATTAATCACTGTATATTTTAGTTAAACCCAGATGTGAATGCGTTTCAAAGAAAGTTTGTGAATGAAGTAAGACGATGTGATGAAATGGAGAGAAAATTACGTAAGTTATACATGTACATTACGTAAGTTATACATGTACATTACGTAAGTTATACATGTACATTACGTAAGTTATACATGTACATTACGTAAGTTATACATGTACCATGCATAGAAGAACAAGATTTTTAAAAGATTTATACAACAAATTCAGAATATACTGTATGTGTACTTAAAAAAGCAGGCTTCATATTTTAGTGGCTTTGGCGCAGACAACGATGCACAAATTCATGAGTACCACTAAGAAATCATTTATAAATACAATGTACGGCAAGGACATGTATAGGGCCAATTCATGATTTTGCCAACAACTCCATACCCAGTGATTGCGCTAAATTTTGAATATGTCAATATGTGTACATGTACAGTAATCAATGCACAAATCCTTGCCTCCAATAGAAATGTTTACAGTATACCTGGTAATATGAATTTATGTAGGTAAAGTTAAAAACAAACAAATGAATAATTTGAACAGGAATTTTAACATGAATTTTAGCTATGTGTCAGTAGTAATAAAAGTGATTTTAATGCAGGATTCTTGGAGAAGGAGATAAAGAAGGACGGGATCCCGATGCTGGACACGGGGGATAATCCAGATGCTCCTGTACCCAGAGAAATGATTGACCTCGAGGTTTGAAATTACATTGTAAATCAAGATGAAAATTTTGTTTTCAATTGAAGCATATAGAATACAAAAAGGTCCAAAAAAGGTCACACAAATATTTATGCAAATTAATTATAGAAAATTTACATGAAATTTTGTATTTTTTTAAAACTATTTAAAATATAAAACAAGAGTATGTTTATTGCCATGATTACATCTGATAAATTATGATTGAGATTAAAGTGATTTATATAAAAGTTATAATTTAAGTGCTAAAAGGTCGTGTTTTATGTACTGTTGCTCAGTAATATGCATATTGCACACTAACCTCAAATTTTTCTTTCCATTTTTGCTGTATGAGTTGATATCTGAAAATTACCTCTCAAAAAGTCCTTGATATATCTGGTTTCAGGAGTGACATACCTTAAGACCTAAAGTCTAGAAAAGATAAGATGATATATATATATATATATATATATATATATATATATATATATATATATATATATATATATATATATATATATATATATATATATCTGATATGGGAATATATGGGGATAATCTGATGAAAACTGTAGAATCATTTCTGTTCAAATCAGGACCCCTAGGCTAGGATGGGACCAAAGAAAGGGTTCATGGTTTTACATGGAAATATAAATGGAAGAAAAATTAGAACAGTCTTCTCATAAGGAAGAGCAGAACCAAATCACTTGTTAATAAAGCATCTTCAAGTAATGCCCATTTGTTCATACCATGCCAGTTTTCATTTGATGTAAATTCAAAGTTTGTTCAATGCTTGGTTTTAGAGTCTACAATGGGGCCAAAGTTGGATAACAGAGATATATGTTGACATTCACAAGAACATCAAGACCTCCAAAAAGTTGACATAATCCTCTATATAATTTTTGAATTAAAATTGTTGAAATAATGGACTTTGATTTAGTGTGCATAATAAAGGGTTTAATTTATATAAATGTACATGTTGATTTGTAACAAAAAGCAGGGTGACTCAATAGAGTGTCCATTGGGTTTTTTTTTATGGAAATGATATGCAGTCATTTGGCTTTATATATGAACTTGATAAATTGTGATCCTAATTTTTAGCTCTACTGGTCAGAGACCAGAAGAGCTTATGCAATAGTAAGCTGTCTCTCTGTGTGTTTGATTAAGTAAAAACTAGTAGAGCAGCAGTCTCATTAGATACTTCTGGTGTTTAAGGACCCTCTATACACTGATGAAAAATTTTTTTTAGACTTTGCCAAAATTATATAGTTTAAAGGAGGATATTTTGAAATTAACTAATTCATTTTTAATATAGGGAGCCTGCCTTTTTTATCCAGGAAAAATCTTCAAAGACAATGAAGTAATAATCTTGAAAAATTGATTTTGCTTTTTCAAATGGAAAAAATCCAAGCAAATAAAGTTTTCAACTACTCTATCTTGGTCTAATATAATGTGTAGAATACTTGGATTTATTTTAAATTATGTCATAGAATGCAGATTATAATTTATTTCTTTTGTGTTTCAAATTATGGGTCTGTCTAATTACACAAAAATACCCTAAAATTAGGGTGCAGTGTAGAGAGGGTCCTTAAAGTAATTGCACTGAAAAATTGCTTAATTTCTGATAGGCCTAGGAATTAACCATCATTCTGTATACATGCATTGTGGAATAGGGGTAAGAATTTACAGTTAATTTGAACTCAATGGGACAGAGAAAGAACTTCGAGATATCCAAAGATTTGAGATATCCAGGGTAAAATGCTTAATAAGTGGTTGGGACTTCTAGATCACTTCGACATATCCATGGTTTTGAGATACCAGTGTTTGAGATACCTAAGTTCAACTGTGTTTATATATGAAATCAGTCTTTATCAATCATTGACAATGATGCCATAAATCAGTAAATTTTATTTTAGGCCACATTTGAGAAACTGGAAAATGAAATGAAGGAGGTCAATGGGAACACAGAGGCACTGAAGCGTAACTACTTAGAGCTCACTGAACTGAAGCACATTCTGAGGAAGACTCAAACTTTCTTTGAGGAGGTTTGTTATATTCTAGGCAGAATCTATAAAATAAAATGGAGTTTTTCTAAGTTAATATAAAGAGAGGATATGTACTTAAAAAAAAAGCATGTGAATACTATGATTCTCTTCATGCCTTACAGTAAAACACACTTAGAGCAAACTTGTTTATAATGAATCAAAATTTAAAACGAAGCCTATGGCTTTAAAATATATTGCGAACTTAAAGGAAACAATGAATTACGTTTGTAACAATGCTAAATTGTCCGTCCCCCTCACTTCCTTATAAGCATGTTTTACTGTATATGATGTAGCAGTGGTGTTTTCTATTATAAAACACGCTCCTGAATCTGAAACATAAAATTCAATGTAAAGGGTGATTGATGATTAAAGTGCTGTAAAAATGTTATGTTTAAAATATTAAAGAGGGGCTGAGTATGTAGAAAGTGGGTTGGGTTTCATTCTTTAATTAAAAGTTTTATTTCATCTTTATGATATTATTACTCTTATTCTTTCTTATTACTTGCACATATAATTTTTTTGTTACTCCATCTTCATTATCTGTATTGAAATTTGATTTTGTTATAGATGTTTTTAGACGTAGTGCACTGAATTGAACATTTGTCTTGTGATTCCCAATTTAGTATGAATATATATATTACATAAACTGTATTGCATGCATTCATGTAATTTTGTTGTACACGTTCATTTGATATTACTTTATCATTCAATTCAGATAGACATATCATTGAGAAAAAGATAGCACTGAGATGCTGAGTATAAGTGATTTAGTTGAAATATCTTTGTTTATTCTGTATTGTATACCGTAATGTTGTCTTACATAGTTTTTGTTATACTCTTGTTTTTCTATTCCTCTGGGATGGGATTTTTTAAGTTTGGTTGGTTGTCTTATATTTTAATCAGGCTGAAATTCATCATGTTCAGGCCATGCATGACCCAAGTCTTACGGAGGAGAACTTTGGACTTCTTGGTGAGGAATCCCAACGCTCGGGGCAAGCCCTCAGATTGGGGTATGTGTTGTATATTAAACAAGATGTACATGTACATGTATGTATATATTATAAAACTGACAGGAATTACCCATGTATTTTGTGTGATAAAGTAGTTATAATCTGTCTATAGATTTGTGGCAGGAGTGATAGTCAGAGAGAAGATTCCAGCATTTGAGAGGATGTTGTGGAGGGTTTGTAGGGGGAATGTCTTCCTCAGGCAGGCAGAGATTGACACCCCATTGGAAGACCCTGTTACGGTATGGTATTACTATAGCTGAGTGAAAGCTTTTATAAGACCACTAGGATTATCATCTCTTTAAATGTAAAGTAAAAATTATCAAAAAACCTTGAATTGAAGTTAAAATTTAAATTATGTTTAAAAATATTTTCACAGGGTGACCAGGTCAACAAATCTGTTTTCATCATCTTCTTTCAAGGGGAACAACTCAAGTCAAGGGTCAAAAAGATATGCGAGGGGTAGGATAGTTTCTATTACTTCAGATAAAATGGATTGCCACGGACTTCTAAAGTGTTTTGTACAGAGCTTAACCCACCCTTTATGTTTTGTTTTTAATACATATTCATTTGAAAACTTATCTGATGTTAGGTGTTAGATCCACCCTTTACATATCTTTTTTATGCCCCGCCATGAATATGGCCGGGGCATATAGTGTTTGTCATGTCCGTCTTCCGTCCTTCCGTCCTTCTGTCCTTCCGTCCTTCCGTCCTTCCGTCTGTCCTTCCGTCACACTTTGTGTTTAGCTCTGTTCAAAGCTCAGTTTCAAAGAAACTATCCAAGATATTTTTATCAAACTTCATATGCTGATAGATATTGATGAGGGCTATGCAACTGCATCAACATTTTTTGACCTTGACCTTTCCTTTGACCTTGACCTCACTTTTCTTAAATTAGTGTTTAGCTCAGTTTTAAAGATACCATTCAAGATAGTGTAATCAAACTTCATATGTTGATACATACTGATGTAAGCTATTCAATTGCATCAACATTTTTTTGACCTTGACCTTTATTTTGACCTTGACCTCACTTTTCTTAAATTAATGTTTAGCTCTGTTTTAATGAAACCATTCAAGATATTTTTAACAAACTTCATATGCTGATACATACTGATGAGAACTATTCAACTGCATCAACATTTTTTACCTTGACCTTTCCTTTGACCTTGACCTCACTTTTCTTAAATAAGTTTTTAGCTCAGTTTTAAAGATACCATTCAAGATAGTGTTATCAAACTTCATATGCTGATACATACTGATGAGAGCTATTCAACTGCATCAACATTTTTTGACCTTGACCTTTCCTTTGACCTTGACCTCACTTTTCTTAAATTAGTGTCAAACTTCATATGCTGATACATACTGATGAGAGCTATTCAACTGCATCAATATTTTTTGACCTTGACCTTTCCTTTGACCTTGACCTCACTTTTCTTAAATAAGTGTTTAGCTCAGTTTTAAAGAAACCATTCATAATATTTTCATCAAACTTCATATGCTAATACATACTGATGTAACCTTTTCAACTGCATCAACATTTTTTGACCTTGACCTTTCCTTTGACCTTGACCTCACTTTTCTTAAATTAGTGTCAAACTTCATATGCTGATACATACTGATGAGAGCTATTCAACTGCATCAATATTTTTTGACCTTGACCTTTCCTTTGACTTTGACCTCACTTTTCTTAAAGTAGTGTTTAGCTCAGTTTTAAAGAAACCATTCATAATATTTTCATCAAACTTCATATGCTAATACATACTGATGTAACCTTTTCAACTACATCAACATTTTTTGATCTTGACCTTTCCTTTGATCTTGACCTCACTTTTCTTAAATTAGTGTCAAACTTCATATGCTGATACATACTGATGAGAGCTATTCAACTGCATCAATATTTTTTGACCTTGACCTTTCCTTTGACCTTGACCTCACTTTTCTTAAATTAGTGTTTAGCTCAGTTTTAAAGAAACCATTCATAATATTTTCATCAAACTTCATATGCTAATACATACTGATGTAACCTTTTCAACTACATCAACATTTTTTGATCTTGACCTTTCCTTTGATCTTGACCTCACTTTTCTTAAATTAGTTTCTGAATCTAACGTCATATGCTGATACATACTGATGTAAGCTATTCAACTGCAGCAATATTTTTTGACCTTGACCTTTCCTTTGACTTTGACCTCACTTTTCTCAATTTGTGTTAAAATGTTGCATTACTAATATACCCTTGGCGGGGCATTCATGTCCTATGGACATATTTCTAGTTGTTGAAACCTTTATCTGATAATAAATATTTGTGATGACAGATTTAGAGCCACCCTGTATCCCTGTCCAGAGACTCCAGCTGAGAGAAGAGAAATGGCAATAGGGGTCATGACCAGGATTGAAGATTTAAATACCGTATGATTATTTCTCATTATATACATGCCAGTGTAATATACTTAGAGAATTCATGGAATTAATTATAAAAATATCTGCTTTAATACATGATGTAGAATGCACCTTCATTTGGACAATTCATGTATAAAATTTGTGAAAACAATATTAAAATTATCTTTTACAGGTTCTTGGTCAGACACAGGATCACCGACATCGTGTGTTGGTGGCCGCAGCTCGGAACATAAAGATCTGGTTCATCAAGGTGAGAAAAATCAAGGCCATCTACCACACACTCAACATGCTCAACCTGGACGTGACTCAGAAATGTCTGATTGCAGAGTGCTGGTGTCCCGTGCAAGATCTGGACAGAATTCAGCAGGCACTTAGGAGAGGCACAGTGAGTAATGATGGAAAAACTGTCATACTTACAGTTATCTAGATGTCTGTTTATTTGTCTTTGTTGAAAGAATGAAATCAAATGCTGAACTTTAATCTTATCTACAGGAAAGAAGTGGGAGTTCTGTTCCATCCATTTTGAATCGCATGAAAACAAAAGAAGTTCCACCCACATATAACCGTAATAATAAATTCACACAAGGATTTCAGAATATAATTGATGCTTATGGGATTTCCACGTATCAGGAAGTCAACCCAGGCAAGAATTTCTCTAACACTCTAAACTTTATATTAGAATTATAGAGAAAGAAACTTTATATTAGAATTATAGAGAAAGAATAATATGATATAAAGTATATGCATTTGTAAAATCTATGTTGATTTTTTTTTTACAGCTCCTTGGGCTATAATTTCCTTTCCTTTCTTGTTTGCTGTGATGTTTGGAGATTTTGGTCATGGTTTTATTATGTTTTTGGTTGCTCTTTACCTTGTCACTAGAGAAAAGCAGCTTCAGGCAATGAAGATAAACAATGAGGCAAGTAACAGTTCATTATTTAATGTTCATCGATAAAGTAGGCATCTAGCTCTAACTCGCTATTCTCTTTCAAAACAGCAAATTCAACAACTTCTGTATTTCATGCGTTATTGTGTTTTCTTAAACTCTGAAATTGCATAAAAGATACCAACATTTACATTCTTGGAGGATATAATGGTTATTTGTACTGTATGTGCACTAGTACTTGTATCCAGTGTCATTTTTTTTTTAATAAAACTTGATCTTCCTGCAGATTTTTGACATGTTCTTTGGAGGGCGATACATCATTCTGTTGATGGGTCTGTTTTCTATGTATACTGGACTGATCTATAATGATGTCTTCTCTAAATCACTGAAATTGTTTGACTCATCCTGGGACCCACATGATCCTCAGACATTTAAGTAAGAAATCAAAGATATTATTGCTACTTATTGTGAGATTGAGGTTCAAGTTCTTGACGGCTTTCATTAACTGTACACCTTATGTTTATTTCAGACCCTATGTAGCTGACACCCTGAAGGGGTCTACCTCTCTACAGTTAGACCCTAATGCCTCCTTCCCTAAAGGCGGACCCTATCCATTTGGACTGGACCCTGTAAGTCTTTAAAAAAATTTTTAAAAATATCATCCAAGAACAGAAGATAATTGTTTACTTGTGTTATATATAGTTTTTGATATTGATCTTTTTAATAGAGTGCTGAGTCCCTGATATACTTGTATAATTGTGAGCTTTTTGTTATGCATGTTTTGATTTATTAATAGGTATGGGCCCTATCCACCAACAAGATTACAGCTCTGAATTCCTTCAAAATGAAGATTTCTGTCATTTTTGGTATCTGTCAGATGTTTCTGGGAGTTATGTTAAGCATAGTTAATCACAGGTATAAAAAAAGTAGATCTTGATTTTTGATTATTCAGTCTAAGTTTACTTGATTGAACCTTCATTACTGTAAACTAACTATTATTCACGACATCTTTTAGAATCCATCGCGACTACTGATGTTCACGACTGAGGCAACATTCTACATAAATACATAAGTAAATAATTGATTCACGACGAGAAATATTCATGGATTAAAGAAGGTTGCGAAACTCGCGGATATTTCTCACTCGCGAATAAAAGTTGGTTTACAATATTGGGAAAGTATAGTGTTGAAATCATTCTCTAAGTGTTTCCTCTTTACTTTGACCATCTCTGGAAAGTTTTTATCTTCTGTTTTCAGATTTTTCAAAAGGAAAGTGAACATTTACTTTGAGTTCATTCCACAAGTTATATTTTTGGCAGCCATATTTGGTTACCTTGTAGTGGAGATATTTGTTAAGTGGATAATATTCACGTGGAGAGATGCAGGGACTGCACCTAATTTACTTATAGGTAACTCAGCAATATTCAGTGAAACAATAAAATGTTTTCTTTTTTTACAAACAAAGAGAGACATTTTATTGTTTAGATTTTTGTCTGTATAATCATACATTAAAAGTAGGTTAATTAAGGTATGTGAAATATTGTATTGTTGATCTCATGTATATTTCATTGATGGAAGAGCTCACTGCTTAAGGAGTCTTTTATACATGTAACCTTGTAAAACTAGATCTAACTAGTTAAGCCTCAGTGGATTGATTAAGGGAAGTGGTTTTCAAAAGAAATAATGGAGAAAATATTCAGTGGATGTAAATATTACTTAATGATAGGTAACTCAATAGCATTCGGTACATATGACAAACCTTTGTTTCATTTGACTGACTATTAAGTGTACTAATGTTTATTACAGGGCTTATTCAGATGTTCCTTTTCCAAAGTGACCCTAAAAACCTGTGGTATAGTGGCCAGGTAATATATTAATTCAATTACATGTACAAATGTATGACAAAAAAAAGTAAGATGGAGACTTTTGTTTTTGTTTGTTTGTTTGTTTGTTTTTTTGGATCTCAAGAACTTTGAATTGTTTTTTCATATCATGGATTTTTTTAATCATGGGACGGACTCATTAAATATAATTGTCTTGACACCTATCTATACATGCTGTTTTGTTTGACAGGTGGGATTCCAGACTTTCCTAGTCATTCTGGCCGTTATCTGTATACCCTGGATGTTACTGATCAAGCCATTCTATCTCAGACATCAGCAGAAATTTGGACAGGTACGTCACCTCACAATGATTCATCATATCTAAATTTCTACCAGTAGATTTATATCAGTATATACTTTATAAAAATCTAAAATTCATTTGTGTAAATTGTAAAAGATATATTGAAAAACTGAAATAAATGGGAGAGTCTAGCCACTTGTTTAGAACAGTTTATATTAATGTATGGAAAAATGTCTCAAAATGCACTCACTCAATTCTGAAACTGGAGTAAAATGAAAACAGATATATATATATTTTTTAAAGTAATTTCTCTTTTAAGTACTGAGGCAATATTTTTTATGCGCCCGGATTGTTAGATCGGGGGCGCATATTGTTTTTGTCCTGTCTGTCTGTTTGTCTGTTTGTCTGTCTGTTGTCAACTTTAACCTTCGCCATAACTTTTGAACCATGAGAGATAGAGACTTCATATTTGGAATGCTTACCCCACTAATTGAGCTCTTTCAAATGACACCAAGGTCAATGACCTTGTGACCTTGATTGTGACCTATATGCTAAAAATAGCTTTTTCGAGCCTTCGCCATAACTTTTGAACCATAGGAGATAGAGACTTCATATTTGGTATGCATACTCCACTAATTAAGTTCTTTCAAATGACACCAAGGTCAATGACCTTGTGACCTTGACTGTGACCTATACGCTAAAAATAGCTTTTTCGAACTTTGTTGCCGCCGGGTGCATAGTATTTCACAAACACATCTTGTTTTTATAATTAACTTATCCTGTATCCTCTATACAGATAATTTTTGAGTTGTTTTAGCTTGATGTTCACTTGAGTAGTTAGAAATATGTCTGCTGTGTTTAGAGTAGTAAATTAAGCAATTAACAAAATGCCTCAGCACTAAAACAGATAAAAAAGTATATAATAATAGAGAGCCTTGAATTAGGGAGGAAAACATTTTGAAGTACAGTGTTTAAACTTGGAACAGTTTACCCTGTAAAGAGATAAATTTTATGTGTATATTCAGGTGTACATGTAATTCTTTCTCTTTTTAAGCTTCATATTGATTTGCTCGTTTTACTTTGATGATGTGATTACTTTTTGTACATTATGTATTAAATATGTCAATTGCATGATTAAATACTCATTTTGAGTTCAGATGTCACCGCATTTAGTCATGAAAAATGTTCTAAACCATTCTTCATTCATAGCTTGTATGGCATTTTTTCCCTAAAAAGTATGTGTGTTTATGTGTTCTCATTTGTGTGGACCCGGTACTGGTCTTCAATTTGTATGACTTACAAAAGAACCATCTTTTGCCAGTATCAGTACCAGGAAGTGCCGACTGGTAATCTTCTGGACGACAGCGATGGTGAGGAGGTCGTCTACCACAGTGACTCGGAGAGGTCACATTATGACCCTGAACCAGAGGTGACCTTGGGCTGCAGACAGCCCCCTCTCTAACAAAGAGTTTGCTTACTGTAAATGACCCTATGTGATTTGTATTTTTCAGCTCCAGTCAGTGAGTTAATTACCAGATTATGACATAGAGAAGGGGGACAAAAATAACTAAGCACCAAAATTGCATGAAATTCCCATGTTATGAAAACACATGACTGATTGATCACATGAATTGACATGTATTGAGGTTTCCTGATTATTTATTGGTGGAAGCAGTGGCTTCTTCCCTTTTGATTGGCTGAGATAAGAGTCACACATTGTCATGGTTAACCAAACTCTTTGTATTTACACTTTACACTAACTTGCTGCAGCAGCCATGCTTCTACCTCGCCCTGGTTGTTTGGAGTTCTCTCCCCTTTACATGTAATTTTATTATACCAGCATGGGGAGTAGGGATTCAAATGTTTTACACATGTAAAGGGAGATAACTCTGAAATAGGTTGTATGTAACTGTGTGCATCACAAAGCTCACTATAATCTCTTTAAAAATTTCTAGTTTAAACACCAGCCGCTCTCAGTAAATAGTGGGGACATAATTGGTCAAGATTATGAAGGTGAAGGCCAGATAGACGTGACCATCGAGGAGGTGAAAACATGATGTTGTGTATTTTATTTAGACGTGTAGTTATTTCCAATTTTCTTTTGTATCTTATTTGCTTTGCTCTTCTATTTATTTATATTTACACAACTTGTCTATGACATTAGGCCTCATCTAGAAACACCATTTACAGCTGTATTATTGCTTTCTGTGTACCATGCACTAGTTACATGTACATTTAGTTTATACTAACCAAAATTATTGCTACTAATAATTTGGGTCAAAGGGACCAGAATTTGCTAACTTCACCTTTGTAATTAGTGAGTATATTGAAGTGATTTAAGATTATTTTGTTATATAGTGTAATTAAGTGATTACCTGGTAAATCTAATCAGTCTCTGAATGTTGTGTATGAAACTCAAATTAGACCATGTATGAAATTGTAATGGAGAATGAATTGAGGAGGTAGGGGGTGGGGAATGTCCTCTTTTAATTTGAAAAAAAGGGAATATTAGTCATTATTTCTCCAAACAGTTTATAATTCTAACTGAATACTTTTGTCACCTTACTTAAAAAAGAAAATACACTTTGATGAAGATCTGTGTTCATTTTTTTTTTAAAATCTGAGAACCATTTAAAGAAAATTTCTCAGTAAGGAGCAAAATAGCTTAAGTTAGCTTGAGTTGTGTCCCTTTTGTTTTTTTTGGTTTTTTTTTTTTTGCTTTCTGCTTATTAAGATATTTATTAATTATTTTCTTGGTTATGGCTTTAAATGTTGTTAATGCTTTTGCAAATTTTGAAAATTTTGAAAGATAATTTAATGAGGAGTAGGAAAATGGATAATGACCATTTTTAATGACTCTTTATTTCTATTGTAGGAATTTAACTTTGGAGATGTGTTCACCCATCAGTGTATACACACAATAGAATACTGTCTGGGCTGTGTCTCACATACAGCTTCCTACCTGCGTCTCTGGGCGCTCAGTCTGGCTCATGCTCGTAAGTATACATTGATAAACAGGCTTCAGAAGTAGATATTAGTCTAGGCTGATTTCCTAAAGACTCAGTATCTTGCAGAATGTTCAAATTTCATTCCTGTGTATAAACATGTATCTGACAAAACTCAAACCTGGGGAGGCTCACAAGTACCTTGGTGTACATATTACAGAAATAAAGTCAGCATTGGTTTTTTTTTTTTTTTTTGGTAATTTGAACTTTTTTTTAAAGATTTTGTGATTCATGATGATTAGTCCAGAGGTGCCAGATATGCATCAACTTAAAAAATTAATATTTGTATTGTATGTAATGATTGTAGTTAAACAATTACTTCAATCTACCTCTGATGTACTTTGTATTACTTTAGTAATGTTAACAGAAATACTTCTTTCTCATATAGAGCTGTCAGAGGTTCTGTGGAATATGGTGATGAGAATAGCTCTACAGATTGAGGGAATTGCCGGGGCATTTGTTTTGGCGGGGGTCTTTGCTTTCTGGGCCTGTGCGACTGTTATTGTGTTGATTCTGATGGAGGGTCTCTCTGCATTTCTTCACACACTACGTCTTCACTGGTATTTACTGTTTCTAGTCATTGTCATATAAAATGCTGAAATGTTTGCTGATCCTGAATTTTATATTATACTTTGTTCTTTCTTTCAGGGTGGAGTTTAACTCTAAATTTTACGATGGACAGGGTTACAAGTTCCATCCATTCTCCTTCGAGGATTTGTCAGAGTATAGCATTGAGGACTAAAATGCTCTACCATCCTCTGACTGAGCAGACATCTCCACATATTGTTATACTAACACTACTCTCAGAGATTGATTAGAGAGAGTAGCCTCCCTTCTCTATAGTCATTGATTGGAGAGAGTAGCCTCCCTTCTCTATGGTCATTGATTGGAGAGAGTAGCCTCCCTTCTCTATAGTCATGAAGTTTGATTAGAGGGAGTAATCTCCCTTCTCTGTAATCAGTTTTATGAGTGTTAGATATTGTTAATGCTGTGTAGGTGTGTTTTATTTATTGTGTTATGAGATGATTTCTAAAGCATAATACACTGTGTGTATCAGTTCATTAGCTTTAAATTTGGTGACTGAAAGAGAAATCCAAAGGTATACAGTAATTTTTCATCTGCAAAGCTGTAAGGACTTGATCTGTCACCAGAATGTAACTGTCTAAGAAGGCACCCTTCAGTACCATTGTAATTTATTCATTGTTTAGGCTTATAATTGTGTTAAGACTCAAACTTACTTGGAGAGTGGTGTTAAACTGTTTGTTATATGCTACAGTTTTGTTAATTCTGAGGCTGATTGAGTTGAATGTTTATCTGAGGCGATTTTTTCCTGATTGACAGCCTGATGTTTACAGCAGCTGTTTTTATCACTACATATCATTTTTCCCAATCTCTGTGTTTGGTTTGGATTATGTTTTCTATGTATTTCTATATTATCACTGATTTTGTTTTTGTTAGAGTGTTCTGAGAAATTCGCAGCTGAATTTGGCAGTGAATATTTCCTAGTTTTTCTCATTTTTAATAAAACTGCATTAGTAAAGTACAATAAAATAATACATGAGCACTGATTAATTGATGTTCCAGGTTATAAGAATTTTCATTCCTTTTCTTTTCAAAATGTGTCATAATAGGTTTTGTGTAAAATGTTGTTGAAGTCCTTAATAAATGAGAAAATTTAACTTAAAGTATCATTTTCTTTTTTAAAAAAAGAAGACTCTTTTACCTGAAAACCTGCAATACTTTCGAGGAAAACTAAATACATACACACAAGGGAAAGGGGCTAGGTGTATGTTTAAAACATGTAAATGTTCAGATGTGGAACATTTATTGTTTGTCTAGTCCATCTTACCATCCTTCCATAGCATTTCTCTTTCTTTTCAAGTAAACTTTTAAAATGTTTTCGTTGAACTTCATACAAATACGTCCGTAAGAGCAATTCATCTGTATTAATGACCATAACTTTAACAATATAAACATACAGTGTAATTGTTTTATATTAAGATCACTCTACAAAAGTTCTCAGAATTTCCAACATCGACATATGTAAATATGTAGTGACCTAGTAACTGGGTCAAATGCAGACATTTTTAGGTTCCTCCTCTGCATATTATACCTTGTAAAATGCTACAAAGGAAAGGGAGGTAATATCCTAGTTTTTGGTCTCCAATCAGCTGACACGTCCAATGGTAAATTGGTTACTGTAACTTTCTGCATTTAGGTTTGAAATATTTTGTATTAGCACACCTAAATTTTAGCGTTGATAATATGTATATAAATAAATGATAAAAAGGAAAATTTTTATAATTCTTCAGGAATTTTATAAACTGATCATGTCCACTTTTTCATCACACCAAAGCGTTTCCAGGGTTCAAGGACATTTTGACAAGTCAGAAAAGCACTCCAGTGATGGGTTGCCCTTTATCATCTTTTTAATTTCCTTTTCTTGGACCCCCCCCCCCCTTCTCCAACACATACAACGTGTACGTGGTTATTTAATGGAAGGCTGAAATAAAATGTTATGTTATATGATGTCCATTCTCGGACATCTACGAGTCCATATTTAGGGAGCTGTTTGCAATTTGTCAACAGATGTATATAGATTCAATGCTTTCAAGATCCACCCATTAACGTTTGAGTATTGAAGACAACTGGTCCTCCGACACATGGCTGAACTACGGTTTCACGAGGACCTTTATTTTATTTTCCCTGAATAGTCCCAATATTTTCCTCTCTTTTTTTCAATATGGCATTAAATGTTTGCAGATCAAATTAATTTACTTGTTTTTATTACAAAATATGTTTACAAAACTATAATATATTCATTAGCTTCACATTCAGTCAGGAAAGGCTTCCTGACACGTTCTATTCATCAGCAAGTCACTTTAAAAATATTTTTCTTTGCCACCGTGAATAAATATAAACACTCTTGTTGTGTAATTTCAAGAATTATGTTAACATGTTTGTTCCATCCTAGACTTTGGTTAAAATTGTAACTTTATTTTTGATTGAGACAAATGTTTATCCAGTAGGATTACTTTGATTGACAGGTTGAAATCTCCAGCAGCTGTTCCTATCAGTAAGCCTCATATTCCCCCTCTTAATGTTTGCTTGGGTTATATGTTTTGTCTTGATTGCAGCTCTTTGATTTTTGTTAGCTCTCCAAAAATTCAAAATATTAGAGGGATATTTTACAGCTCTAAAACTTTTTAAGTACACAAGTATTTGTTATACGTAAAATATTTTTACTATACCAAAGATTCCTTTGAACAGTGAGTATGGAGAAATTAGGGATTAAAAATGAATAATGTTGTATAACAAAAAATTACAAACGTACGAGGGGTTATCAAAAAGATCGTTGACTGGCGCCATGAAATTAAAAGTGCTTAAGATACATCAGTGAATTTTTACAAATTTAGTTAGCATCATTTTTTCTATCATTAGAATAAAGCATGAATCCTACGTATAATGTCAATGTTTTTGTAAGCAGTGGTATGAACAATCACGTGAATTCACTTGTGTTTTTAGACATAATTGTTCCGTAAAATTTTCAATTTTTACTCATTCTCTAATTTCTATGTAGTCGTTAACTTTTATCTATAGAACTGTCAACCAAATGGAGGGGGGGGGGTGTTACCCCAATGTGGCATGGTGAAGTTTGTCTTTTTTCCCTCACATCCTTTTAAAAACTGGCATAGACTTAGGAATAGTAACAGACTAGAGAGAAAAAAATACGTTTAAGTCGAAAGTGATGTTGCTCGTTTGTGGTAGAAATTTTAATCTTGTCATAGTCAAGTGAGATCCTAGATCCATTTACAATATAATTAAAATAAGCGGTACACGCTCATGACATTGTAAAGTCATATTTAAAATAGATGCATGTTAGTCTTTATTTAAGTCCAAGGAATTTTATCAAGAAAAGTGTATTGAGGCAGAGGGAGCGGACATTGGGAAGCAATGAGGTTGTCGAACGTCATAAATAACGGCGACAGCTCCAGGTGATCAAACTTAAATTATCTCAAACCTTTTTGTTTTTTTCCCCCTTAAAATGCTGTGAACATAGCCTACTGGGATACTCTGATTTTAACGCACCAATCCGAACTTTTTGATAACCCCTCGTATAAAACAATGCAAACATCGCAGTGTGAGAAATACTGCTACACATGCATATCATGAGGAAAGGTTGTGTCTTCTCCCTACATGTTGTATTCGATTATTCAACAAAATGTTCATGACAATCGCAAAATCTGATTTATCACGTTCAAGAATAAATAAAGTTGACTGCTTTTCCCATGGTGATAACATTTCCCTACCTATTTGAGGGCATTGGTAAATTGAAATCTTTTTTTCACAAAGTATAACCTTTTTAACACTGAAAAAACAAAATAATAAAAAAAAAATCTTAGTTCATAAAATATTTTATTTTTTAATTTCAACATAAGAAATAAGTCAATATCACAGGTTTTGTGTTCATCTAACATAAACGAGAGCATTATAGCCCTATAATACAACGCGGGAGGTGAGAAGGAGTTTTGTTTCTTATCTTGGTAATTACTAGCTGTACACCGTACATGTAATTGATGTAGCACCAAATTCACCCAATCTTTTTGTAGGTCAAACGCTTTTGTCAAAACAGAATTCCTAGGAAAGATAAGAATCTTTTATGAGGGTCAGCTTGCCTTTGAAGGAACCACTTTATCCCAACTTTCTCACCAGTAAGAAACATCTGAAAACACGTCACTGATCTAGCGGTTTTCACGGATCCTGATGTTCAAAATGTCTTTATAAATATTACAAGGAAAAAGAAAATGGGTGAGCATGTTTATAAAGAGTGGAATGTATAGTTTATCAGAAATAAAAGAAAGAATAAGCATATACAATGTATTAACACTGAAGATCCCCTTGCGACAGTTCACGGTATATTTTCAACATTTGTTCTCCGGTAACATAATGCCCGGAAATTTGGTTTCTAAATGAACATCCGGAGGGTCGTCTCTTCTGGAAGGTGAAGCCACTGTGATCAAATCTAGGAATTCCGGCGGCGCTGGCACAAATCCCCGTGATGTGAATATCCTCCATCCAGAACGGTTTAATCCTGCCTGTGATATCGTAGAGAGCTCTGGCAGCTGGAACTGTAAAAGCATAGGCCGTTCCCGATAAATACGGTGGATAAAATTTTTCTCCAAATTCCTTTGATGAGGTGTAATATTTCGAATTTTTGTCTTTTATTGGTCTAGCGCCAACCTGCTTGCTTCCTATAAGAAATTTATCAACTCGTCGTCTCTTCAAATTCATGGCGGAAACCAAGTTTGGAATGTTTATAAACATGTCGTCATCAACTTTCAAGCCATATTTCGCGTTTGCACAATAATTTTTAATCCATTTGAGCATTGATATCGATTTGAGCGTCAGGTTTCTGTATGTATCCACAAAATTCCCTAAAATAATATCCCTGTGGATACTATCCTCCTGCTGGACTCTATCCAGAGTAGACTCATTTCCCATACCAACTAGAAACACAAGTTTGGTTTTGTAAAAGTGATTTTTCGAATACATTCCCCATGACTTTCGGATAAAATCGCGTGATTCAGAATTTCCAAGACTAGTACAAACAATAACTATAAGATCCACGTCACCGTTACAAGTATGAGGGTGGTTTAGGGGAAATCCTGACGGATCGTTCAACCTTATGACTGTCGGTTTAGATTTTGGACTTCTTTGAATCACTCGCTCGGTTACTATCACACTGGTCAGGTAGATCAGAAGGTTTATAAGAAGGCTCAAACAGAATATGACGGTCAGAGCAAAACGAGCAAGATTCATCGTACAGCGATCTCCTGACCAATATCACATATAGGTCATTTCTTCCTGGTCCCATTCCTTATTACACACATCACTGTAATTAGAATATATTTAGATTTTTCAGAAATGAAATTTCAAAAAAAAAAATGTAACAAAACTATCGACAATTGAACACTATACTGCTTACATATATCTACAAGAATTAAGTTCACTGAATAAGACACAATACATAAACTTATAGAGAGAAGTCACAACTAAATCATATACCCCCGAGTCTCCTTCCTCTTAGTTCTAAGCCACGGTAAAATGTTTGTATTAGTTCATATTTCGAAACCAAGTGCTGCAGGCTACGGGACCAAAGTTATCTATCATATCAGAATCTAGCTAGTATTAAGAAAAAGTTTGCCTTCCCCTTTTATCAATAAAGTCAATTCTGTGAGCATATCTGCCTACATCGGCCAGAAAATTATACTTCATTGTAGGAAATCTATACAGCTGTGTCTGATGATTATATTGGCGGTTACTAATAGTTATACACAGTACTTTACAAATGTACACTTCACTAAATCAAGGAAGCAAATGTGAGATATGACAAAACAATGTAGTTTATTCCCTAAACTGTAGCTATAATGTAGAGAGGACATTACTAACATGAAACATTTATAATGTATGCATAAGCAGAGAGAGAGAGAGAGAAAGAAACCAGAAGTATCTGACAAGACTGATGCTCTACCGGTATGAACTTGGTGTATCTTAGTATAATGTACTTGTGTACCAAGTCTTATTGAAATTTGAACAAAACTATAGCTAGGACGAGTAGCATTTTGAAAGAATTTCAAAGAAATCTCTATTTTTAGTAACCATGGCAACACCTTTTTGTTGAAATTAAAAACTGATAAATAGAATTATGCATCTTAGTATAGTGTACTTGTATATCATGTCTCATTGAAATTGAATAAAAACTGGGGGAGGAGTAGCATTTTGAAAGAACTTCACAGAAATTTTTATTTTTAGTAGCCATGCGAACACCATTTGTCGAAATAAAAAAAAAATCGATATATAGAATTATGTACCTTAATATTTAATCAATACATTTTTGCTGTTTATAGTAAATAATTGTTCAAACTTAAAAACATTAAGATTTGTTATGCCCCGCCATGAATATGGCCGGGGCATATAGTGTTTGTCATGTCCGTCTTCCGTCCTTCCGTCTGTCCTTCCGTCACACTTTGCGTTTAGCTCTGTTCAAAGCTCAGTTTCAAAGAAACTATCCAAGATATTTTTATCAAACTTCATATGCTGATAGATATTGATGAGGGCTATGCAACTGCATCAACATTTTTTGACCTTGACCTTTCCTTTGACCTTGACCTCACTTTTCTTAAATTAGTGTTTAGCTCAGTTTTAAAGATACCATTCAAGATAGTGTAATCAAACTTCATATGTTGATACATACTGATGTAAGCTATTCAATTGCATCAACATTTTTTTGACCTTGACCTTTATTTTGACCTTGACCTCACTTTTCTTAAATTAATGTTTAGCTCTGTTTTAATGAAACCATTCAAGATATTTTTAACAAACTTCATATGCTGATACATACTGATGAGAGCTATTCAACTGCATCAATATTTTTTACCTTGACCTTTCCTTTGACCTTGACCTCACTTTTCTTAAAAAGGTTTTTAGCTCAGTTTTAAAGATACCATTCAAGATAGTGTTATCAAACTTCATATGCTGATACATACTGATGAGAGCTATTCAACTGCATCAACATTTTTTGACCTTGACCTCACTTTTCTTAAATTAGTGTCAAACTTCATATGCTGATACATACTGATGAGAGCTATTCAACTGCATCAATATTTTTTGACCTTGACCTTTCCTTTGACCTTGACCTCACTTTTCTTAAATAAGTGTTTAGCTCAGTTTTAAAGAAACCATTCATAATATTTTCATCAAACTTCATATGCTAATACATACTGATGTAACCTTTTCAACTGCATCAACATTTTTTGACCTTGACCTTTCCTTTGACCTTGACCTCACTTTTCTTAAATTAGTGTCAAACCTTATATGCTGATACATACTGATGAGAGCTATTCAACTGCATCAATATTTTTTGACCTTGACCTTTCCTTTGACCTTGACCTCACTTTTCTTGAATTAGTGTTTAGCTCAGTTTTAAAGAAACCATTCATAATATTTTCATCAAACTTCATATGCTAATACATACTGATGTAACCTTTTCAACTACATCAACATTTTTTGATCTTGACCTTTCCTTTGATCTTGACCTCACTTTTCTTAAATTAGTTTCTGAATCTAACGTCATATGCTGATACATACTGATGTAAGCTATTCAACTGCAGCAATATTTTTTGACCTTGACCTTTCCTTTGACCTTGACCTCACTTTTCTCAATTTGTGTTAAAATGTTGCATTACTAATATACCCTTGGCGGGGCATTCATGTCCTATGGACATATTTCTAGTTTCATAATATTTGGACAAACATGCGAGTCTGGAAATTTTTATGTGTGGATCACTGCAGTTAAATAAGTAGTGGAATGCATCTTCCAATTTCTTTATGAACACAAGTGATAATTCTGTTCTCTCTTGCAATGCATGGCCGTAGGAACCGGGGGGGGGGGGCACGGGGGGCCGTGCCCCCCACATTAGAAAACTTAGCTACTATATGCTTGTGCCCCCTCAATAAAAACGGCTGATGACTTTTTTTTTTTGTTTTTTTTTTTTGCTTGTCAAGGAATTTTGGTAGTTGTTAGTGCCTCTCCAACTGAAAAAGTTTGGCTGTGCCCCCCCCCCCCCCCCAAAAAAAAAACCTGAAATTGCTTCCTACGGGCCTGCAATATTATTATCCTACTTTCCTGTCTTAATTGAAAGCTTATCATTCTAAAAACACGATTCATCTAGAAGAGAGGGAGAGAGGGCATGACAAGCTCAATCCATCATTAATCGACTGATGACCATCGCCTGAATTATGAGATGTTCGGATTCTCATTGATTTATAGCGACTGATCACATTTAACTCGTCACAGACCGACTCTACAACACTGAATTATCAACTGCCAGAAAGGTGGCAAAACATACCGTTATATATTAATTTGTTGATGGTGCAATATGGAAGTTCTCAATCTGTCAGGGCAAGGCTGCATTCTTCGGATAGCTTCATAAAAGAAGGAAATGAAAGACTGTGCTGCTAAAAAAATCAAAACCTTACGTAACGAACGAGAATAGCGTGTTATGTTGTTAAAGCAGATTATCCAATGACACGAGTTTTTGTGGCACATTAAACGTTTTGATGAAGTATGAGATAAGTTTAGATAAGAATGCGCTGATAGGAAGCAGATGCTTTGAATAACCTACTAAAAAGAGATCATAGGGAACATATATATTTTAATAGCACAAAAAAAATCCCCCGTCTGTTTGTCGCTGTGGTTTGATTCCAAAAGAAAAAATAATTACATTTCGTACGACTGGGCAAAAGATAATTGCACATCTTGATTTTAAGAAAAAATCCTTGTGTAATCTTGATTTTCAGATGTAGTCCAATTTAGGAGAGCTTGTTTGGCATTTACCAGTGCCCCCAAATAGGTCGGGAAATGTCATTTTCCGACCTGCTTTAGAGCACTGGGAAAATGATTCTTTTTTCACCGTGACAAAATTTCAAATAACCTTTTCAACACCGAAAAATTCCGTAAAAAATGGTTAAAATTAGCCAATGTAAATGTAACAAATTATTTTGCCCGGTTACATAAAATATTGAATACTCTGCTAGGGGAAAATGTTTTCTTATAGCTCAAAGTGGACACTAAAGCATACGGCATTTCTCTTCCATCATTCCTGTGCGATGTTATTGTGAGAAGTAAATGCGAGTTTTTATTACAGTCTTAAAGTTATTTAACACACTTTCATCTCAGAAACGCATTTCTCGTAAATAAAGAACTGAACAAATCGAAAATGACCATGTTTAAAAAAAAAAGAAAGAAAGAAAGAGGGTGTGGAATTAGAACTATTATCTTGACCCTGTATGATGTGAAAATACATTATGTCATGTCAGCTTTCATTCCTTATTCATTCCTTATAATTTAATTTTCTATTATTAAGAAAAAATAAGACAATTTCTCCTGCAAAAATGCCTACAAAGTGTACGTATTTTAAATGTAACGTCAAGCGGATTGATACGTTTTTGACGTAAGTCATTGTGACGTAGGCAACCCAGGATATACGATATAATCTATTTTTCTAATCCAATCAAATGACGCGTTACAACCAAAATTAAATTATCATTTTTTTTTTTTTTAAATTTAAATATCACCATAAGAAATAGGTCAATATCACAGGTTTTACTAATGCCCAGGGGCAAAGAAGAGTGCGGGGTGGGGTGCGAACTGCAGAAGTAAGCGAAAGCGTAAAATATTGCTCAGGTAAATACAATCTACGGTGCTTACAGGTCCACTATTTTTTGTCAAAGAGTCCAACAGTATAAAGTCGGATACAATATTCTAGCACATAATTACTGCATTTTTTCTGTAAGCTAATTCAGTAAGCATGGCGAAACTATGTTTTCAGTGGGCCCTGATGAGATTCTGTACAGATTAAGATACCCGGCTGGAAAGGATTGTAGACAAGTAAAATCAAGGCGCGTGGAATGATTAAAAGTAGCCGGTTTGTTTACAAAGTTCTCTATGTACAGCAATAACGAGGGGGTTGATTGACGGACAGTTAATTATGGTGATTGACAACATATGCCCCTTAGATATTAATATGACGGGTAGTCTTAATAGGTGTTTATTAGTCACCCTACGGGGCCGTCTTAACACAGTATGAACGTTCAGAACTGGAACTTATCAAAGAGTATCTTTGTGTTTGATTACAAACAATCACCACTTCTGAGAGAGAGAGAGAGAGAGAGAGAGAGAGAGAGAAGCAGCTAGCGCCCTATTCTGCTGATCATTCCTCCATTTATATATAAATCAAGAAATTCCAACAACATTCGTAAATTCGAAAACAACAAAATATCAAAATTAAACGGAAACATATGCATCAAATTATTATCATTAATACTAATTATGCAATTTCTTTTTTTCAGAATGTAAACAGCAGATTTATACATAACTGTTCTCTGTACATAAAATATATAATAGTATATAAGTATTATGATATTGTTACTATTTTACATCGTAATTTCGACAGAATCTGGAATGGATCTCACCATCATATAATTGTATGAAGTTCATGGAATGTGTGTACTTAGTCTAACTTAAACCTATCTTATTGTCTAGACCTGCGCATCCTTTATGATTACTATTTTCCTATCAACACACCAGAGTGTCTTATAAGACCTTGGATACAGCCGGAAGTTATGTGGTGTTTGGTGAAACACTTTCATGGTTCTTGAATTTCCGGACAAACTTCCTGGCTTGTCGGTACAAGGTGAGTCCGTTCTGCCAGGCTGACACTGAAACCGAAATTGCACGGTAAAATGAATATCCCCGCCGCCAAATCATTAAAACTTGTAATCACTTATCCAGGCTAAAGGTCCGAGGCTGCACCAAGTTCGAGACGGATTGTTTTCAGACAAAACACAATTCCGAAAGTCTCTCTCTCTCTTACCATTGCCACACAATTTCCAGACTTAAAAAAATGACAATTACATATCAAAGCAATGATTGGAATCTAGATATGTTGGTTAATGCTTTTGATCAGTTCTAAAATCCAAGAAGCTTTCGCGCTGAGTCAGAACATAGAATCTTTCACTCGAGACTCATGAAGTGAATTGAAATTGAGTTTCGTTGGCAAATAAATCAACTTTGGCAGGTGTTTCTTCGGACAACTTTTTAATGGAGGCCCCGAGTTACCCTGGTCATTAATCTTATGCCTCTTGCAGCAGGGGCCAGAACTTAATCCAAGATTTAGAGGATTAATTGAATTGGGCAGCGCAAAATTCTTTATATGACCGGTAAAGATAGTCATCTTAGTGTCTTCCCACAAATTTTTATTATTTAATAGTATGACTAGTATTTAATAGTCATAACACCAACTTTTCTATTTTAATTAAAATTTTGTGGGAAGACATTAGGAAGAAAAACCTTTATCAGTCTGTTTATGCATTCATAAAAAAATCGTTAAGAATCTTTATTTAAAAGAAAGAATCACCCAAATGCGATATTTTCTTGCCAAAGGGTGTGGAACAAAACATATAGAAAGAAAAATAATTCATAAAACACGCACCTGTTATTTGCACAAGTTATGTCCATGATGTTAAAGGAAGTGCTACACAGTGTCAAACTTCACACAATGGATGGATGCTCTGAGCGACAGACTGAGTGGCTGAGAGACAGATTAACTTCAGAGAGTGCAAATCTAACATGCTTTATGGCCCAAACATTATTAGTTTTCTACAGACACATATATAAATTAAGCATGAAATGAAGTGGCTTTATCAGATAATTCACCAATAAGCCGTCTGTTCGTGAGGTTTGGCCCTCTTCTCCTCCATCAAACGGAGAAAGATACCCCTAACTTGATCAACATATACTCATAACATATGGAAATCAAACGTCAGAAATATATATTTTTTGTTTTGGTTTGATTTTGATGTTATGATTCAATTATTTTAATATTTCTTTTGATGGAAGTACTTTACACGTATAAACTTAGCCAAGTGCAAAGAGCAGATATTGCAGGTACAATTAAGACACTCTATAGTTGATGTTGAAATGTCTGAATATCATATATGAAGATCAAAGTGTCTATTACAAGAACTTCGACAACAATCAGATCATTCAAATTTCTTTTATTGATAGGTGTTAAACGTTTCTCAATGATCGAGCTTATCTTCTGGAGGGCTAATTAGAACTCCCCACCCCACAATTTTAAACAATGACATTAAAAGTATTTATGCAAGGAAGCAGTTCTTGAAATGCAAAATATGAACACTTTTCCCAAGGCATTTTTTGTTATGTTGGGTCTATTTTTATAAACAAAAACATACCCAGTAGAAACTACTATCCTTATTTATGATCCTGATGTACCCAATATCACGCAGAGTTGGACATTGCTTTTTTCGGCAATTTATACCATCATTTTTCCCTCCCAGTCAGTTGGTTTACATGAAAAGAGCAATTTTTTATAAGTGAAAAATAGGAGAGTTTTTGAGTTCTTATACGGTGTAAAAATAGTACATGTGTTACATTAAAAGTTTAGACTTTATCAAGTTAAACTTATCTATAACAGTCTGACTGTTATAGATAAGTTTAACTTGATAAAGTCTAAACGTTTAATGTATGCCCCCCCCCTCCTTTTTTTCAACTCAGACGAAATGAACAGTCATAACTCTACAATCAATACTGTTTGCGTTTACTGTCTGTCTAGTTAAAAGTTTAAATCTGTGAAGTCCCGGTGCGTTTAATATCTTGATCATAATTAAACATCTGTTCTGTCAGTGACATTCAGAAAATTCACAATTGACAGCATCACGGGAAGCATCTGCTTATGTAGGACAAACGTAACTGAATATAAACGCAGGAAAGTAGTATTTTGTTTGAATTGGTACAATGTACTATGTATATATACAGTAAGCAATTTACATGCGTTACATTAAAATTTAATATGTATTGATCATGCAACTTTAACTTATCCATAACAAAATTCATAGTTTAAATTGAAAAACTTTAAATATTTTACGCAATATTTTGAAATAATCAAAGTTTTGTGAATAAGAGAACTGGTTACTAAATCGACCATTTAAGAACTTAAGAATCTAGAGATAGTTTTGGTTAGTTATTTCTCTTCTGAAGTTCTCCTATACCTGAAAAGGAATCATTCAATGTTACATACAAAAATAATAAATACATGCAAGCATACTATTGTTAAAATCCGTGCAAGTGTACCATTATTAGTTCCCTCTCTTTCATTAAACCGAGGTAAGAAATTTTAAACTTTAAATTTTGAGAGAAAAAAACTTACCAAAAATTCACAGAACACATCCGACAACAAACTGAAGCTCCCACTTTTTGAATGATTTCAGTCATGTGATTTTTTTAATGTAAAATATAGATATCGGCAACGCAGTAGGGTAGGCCATTCTTAGTAAGCCACTGGATCGCTTATCAGGAAATCCGGCGTGTTATCAGCTGTTCTACCGAAACCTAAGCATCCTATATCTTACTTCAGTAAAAAAACAGTCATTTTATCAAGAGAAGCCTATAGCAAAAATAGACCCCGCCATAGATTGCTTGATATCACCATGTTCTAAGTGCTTGTTCGGATGAAAGATGTATTTAATTAAGATTCAAAGACCAGACAGAAACTAGGGAAGTTTAACGTACATGTATTTGAATTTAAAAGATTTTAAATGATTTCTACAAAATGTTCCGCTACATCCTAAATATCGATTGAAAGTAACCAAAAAACGTGTGCTATACTTGTGTTAACCATGAAATATCATGCCTTTTCGTCTTCTTTCCCGAGGAGCGGATCTCGGGTAGCAATTCATATCAATTTTGAGATCATCAAAACATGCTTCAAGATAAATGAAGAGGTATACTTATTTGTCTACCTTGATAAAACGCTAAAAAATATTAAAAGAAATGAGGAGTTTAGGAGGAGATAATAGTTTTTGTGATAAAATTAAAAAGCTGGAGGCAAAGGTAATTTCAAATAAGATTCATAATGAATGATTGCTTCATGTAGTAGAAACATGACAAATATATTTCTTTCGCTCAAATCTTTTGCGTTCCAGTATATTTAAATCATATACATGTATGTACATAGATAGAGATCTACATGACTATTACAACATCTCGTACACAGTACACCAGTGTGGCCCATCAATCAAAAATTATTTGTTTCCTGGAATTTCTCGGAGTAAATATAAACACTATAAACTAACACGCACACAAACAAAATCCTCAGCACAATACCATCCAATATCTTATAAACCAGGGTTAGTTTCTATCTGCTTTCACACATTAGCTCAGATTACAGATTTAATACAGTATTGATTGTCTTGTGTTATTTCCTCTTCTCCAGTTTTATTGTGTGTGTGTTTTGTTTTGTTTTGTGTGTGAGTGTGTGTGTGTGTGCGTGTGTGAGGGTGTATATGTGTGTTTTCTCTCTATCAAATGTAGTTACACAATAAATTGAAATCAATTGGACAAAGTCTATTTGTCAAAAAGATAAACATCGTGATATCAACAGGATAATTATGCAAGACTAAATGTAAATGCATGTGAAGTTTAGATAAGCCCAAATTTTCCAATAGGTTAAAAAAAAAACCATCAAGAGAACTACTCATATTTTCCTATTTCATGTTGCCCGCTGAAATACTGCCGACTCGGTGTTATGCATTAAACAATAAATTATTTAGTTGACAGGAGGCCCACGAGCGTCCGAGGAAGAAAATTAGATATCCAGACTGCAATGGATGTACTGATGGTATGGAGCCTTTGTTTAGTCTTGCAGAGACGGTTAACACTGCGATTTCAATTTTCAAAAATTCATACACAAAGAGCGATAACTCCTAAATAATGCCTAGTTCCGCTCAAAGGAGATGGATGTACATGCCGTGTAAAATGCCTATAGTTTCAAAACTTAAAAAAAAATCATATTAATTTTTTTTAATTTAGCATTTAATGTAAATTTCTTATTAAAAGGTATGAATTTATAACAAACAAATTTTTCTGCGTAAAATTCTCCTGGCAAAAATTATTCTATGATTTTAAAACAAAAGTATATGTGGTATGCTTGGGATTCGAATCCTACCAACAACAACAACAAAAATTAACTTGGAATTTCATTTTTTTTCCCTTGAGACTAACAAGCTAATCACTACGCTATAAAACTCATGACAAACCTTTAACATATAAATCATGTTTGTGATATGACCCTTCGTATTTTTTTTTTAGGTAAAGAGGGTCTTTCCTCCATGTTTTAACCGAAAAATGCATATTTTTACGCATATTTTGAGGATAAAAAAAGGAGCGAAGAGCCATTCCTAGGGAAATACTGTGTTATAGTATGAAAAATTGATCATTATTGCCCTGGTTTGCAATTGTTTGTTATGCTATTTCTTAGACGAATAATTTCAATCTTTGCGAGATTGTTTATGGAGATTTTCCATTAAGTATCGCCAAACCCCCTAACTCCGTCACTACCCTCACTCCGTCACTTTCGGGAAACTCCGCGCTGTTTGTAAACGAATGCGATTGTGACGTCATTTTTTATATGCTGAAAATCTACAATCAATTGCCGAGAAATTATGACAGTCAAGTTCAAGTATGCGTCCAAAATAAATAACAAAATTTACACGTGATCTATTATACCCATCATATTTTAGGTGAAATCAGTAAGCACTTTTTCCTTTATGTGCTATTCCATCGATACCTCCGACATGTGCGTCAATATGCTCATTTTTACATGTCAGTCGTATTTATGAAGGTCTTTGACAAAAGATTGATAAGACATACCATATTGAATATGGCAAAAAATATTTTATTTTTTGACTCAATTTGCCCTAATACGCTACACGTTGGAGATAACGTAGCTTGACGTTATTACATATAAAATACGTTATATTAACATTATTTTTTC